GTATCAAATAATCATGTCAGATGCGTTAATAGTAGCCAAAGGGCTTACAAATTGACTATTTTCTTTGGGAGTCTGCTATCTTCATATTTTCTGTATGGTTATTTAATTTGACAATTTTATTCTCACATTTTTTGACAATGAATATTGTCGAAATTTGTAAGATAAAGTCATGCCAGACCAGAAGATTTCAAACTGAATAACATTCATATATAGGAATTCACGTTTTGACTATTCGTTTTTTATATTATTGGTATTGGTAACAATAATATTAAGCCACCTTCAAATCTCGGCGTTGTTAAAGCATCAACGGCGGATGAAGTATCCATGTCTTCACTGTCAGTGGGACCTTTTGTATAAAAATTTAAATGAAGTAAAATGATTATCATATAAATAAAAAAAAATTGAATTAAATAATGTGGTAAACTAATTAGCATCTATTGTAACAACAAAAAGCAAAAAGGAGTGCAAGCCAAACCGGTACATACCAAAAAGCTAAATTTATATAATTTTGGATATAATAAAAATATATCAGAACACCGTTCTTAAAAAACCGTAAAGAGAACAAGCGAGAGTCGTCGCAATGTGTTCATCTTGACAAACTTCAACAAATCAAGACAATACAATAATTCATTACTGTTTAGTTTAAGTTTAATATTACACTCACATTAATTTTTTTAAGCTTTTTCCAGTAATTATTTAAATTTGCAGGTAAGCTTCGGTAATTTTACGCCTACGTAAGTGACCTTATACTTAAAACCTAGTTTCTTACGGTGATGGGGCACTTCAAAAATACCGTATTTCTCCGCGTATAAAGGGGAGGGACAAATACCTTTACAAGATACTTAATGTCAAATAACATCACATCATGATTGGCAGATGTTTCACAGGCAAATACAATAAACATATTACCATATATATATATAAAAATACCTACAAGGCAAGAGAGGACGGAATTTTGATATGCGTATCATACATGGAGTGCATGGAAAATTCTCGTTAAAAATGTACTAAAACCTGGGTGCGTATTATCCACAGGTGCGTATTATTCACAAAGAAATATGGTAATTAGTTGTAATCGGTACATACAATTATCGATCATTTCTTCGTCCTCCGAACAATACTGATCTTCACTTGACGAAATATCGTCCTGTAATAAATAGGAAATACAATACTGCTTCTCTGTATCGTTTTTTTTTGTTGAAAATTTTGAATCTTTTCGGTTTCAATCAAGTATAACTACGATAGGTAAGTACTTGAATACTAGAAATGAAAGTTTTAAACACTTTTATTTTATAAAAATTCTAATTTTCTGCATCGTTTTCACTTTAATAATTATAAAATTTAAATGTAATATTGCTTATTGCATTTCATATTACACACATACATAGAAAAAATAAATAAAAACCTTACTTGATAAACTGGATATCTGTGTTTGTTGCGTTTTTTCTAAAAATGAACGCACTTTACATCCATATCTACAACTAGCATTAGACGAAATGTACATAAATGTGACTATGTAAGCACGTCAGAGTCAGATTGTTTCATTTATTTATACGTATTATTCATAATAATCAAATCTAAACATGTGAGCCACGGAACATCATAATATATCGACTCCAAACCACTTTTTTACATGGCGTACTCCGAATTGATAAATCGGATGAATATTTTAAGGATGGTAATCTATATAATTGCCATATAATAAAGTATATTTAAACTTTATCTCTAAGCTGAGTGTAAACGGCAAAATAATTGGTTTGTGTGAAATTGTAATGGAACTTTTGTTCAAAATAAGAAGTTGCTATGGTGACTGCACTTTGAGGATATATGAACATTTTGTAGCGCAATAAATGCCAACAAATAGTATAGTATAGTCGCTCGAATAACAAAATTAAATTAATACTTTTGGACGGAATTGGTTTGAAATTGCAAGTTTTGCGGCTTCCCGGTGACTTTCAGGTACATATGACAACAATCTATCAGTCACTCTTCTAAATAAGCTATTTCCATCCTGAAAATACATTTACCTGTGCTTAATGATAAATTTATTACAGTATTTTATTAAAATCATAATAAATCTCGATTTTTGGAAAACAAATCTAATATTGGTAAAAATTTTGAATTTATTCAAAACGTTGAATTGTGTTATTCAGTATCCCACTTATTTGATTTTTCACTGACTTTTTCTTGCAGCTTAAGTTTAAAAAAGTGTAAAACCCATTTTGTGGCTCTGTACTTCCAAACGTATTTTATATACGGATGTTACTGGCAAATGCTTATCCTAGCCAGATATATAAAATCATCATTGAATCCACAAACCTGATATGCTATGAGTGAGCTGTTCACTGCAGGCTTAGTCTTGAACCATTTGATCGCTAATTTCTGAAATTTTTTTGGTTGTAGTTAGATCTTCGACCATTTACAAAAGATGTCGCTGACAGGATAACTTGTCGATACGACTTTTGGTACATTAGAAAAGATAATAAAGGTAAGAATCTAAAAGGTTTCAATTTGTATCACTACCTTTGAAGATTGTGCTTGTTGCAGCGATTGTTTGTCTGCTTCAGTAAACTGCTCTTTGGGTTTTCTACAATCTTTCAAGTAAAGTTTCTTCTGAACTTTATTTTCCATCAAGATATTCATCAGTAATTCAAAACTTTTTTCATCAATAACATTGTCATTTATATTAAGTAGTTGCATCTGTTGCAAATAGAAGAATACATGTAGGGAATACATATATAGATAGCTAGTGTTTACGCACGCTTAACAACTAATTACTTTATAACCTGACTTTCGCAGTAACGAATGGAACGCAATAACGTGAAAATGTGATTTTCTTTCTGCTTCGACGGAAGCTCCAAACTTGCTATAATCCCTCGGTCAATCATGTCACGGAGAAGTTCGACACATCTACCATCACATTGATTTTCCCTGATATCCAATGACAACGGCTGTTTTGTTGTTTGAAAAAAAGATTACATTTTCATACTGCAGATGGAAATTTCATGGAATAGGATCAGTGTGAATAAATACGATTCTGAAGGGAAATTGTACACAATGAAATAATTAAACGAATATCACTACTCACCGTTGTGTCAACGTACGGGTTGCTTGAAATAGCCTGAAGTAGTCTTGCCAGATCATCCGCAGTTTCACAGCATTCTCGTACACTTATTTCCTGCAGTCGATTTCTTTTCATCAAATTAATCAGCAGAATTAACTCTGGATATTCAATACGATCCAACTTGATGACTTTGAGAAAAAACGGTTGCTTAATTTTATTCAAATCTTTTTTGATTTTTTCCAAATCTTTGGAGCTTTTAATTTCTTTTGAGACCAGTTTTTTTGTCGACATTATGAGAGCTGCAATTAATATTTCTGACCACTAAAGTTTAAACATAAATACAAAATGAAAATTAGAACTCAAACTAATGTTTCTCAAAAACGATGGATGTGCGTCCTATTTATAAAGAGATCTAGACGCTTGTCACTTAGTGGGTACATATGATTGTGATATCAATCACCTACCTCCCCCAATCCTAACCAATATAATAACTATGTTTTTATTGTTCCTTTCGGATATTAGACCTAATTGAGAATAAGTTCGCGGCTATTATCACAAGTTGAAAAAAAAAGAGAATTCATCACCACAACCGACAAAATATGCTTTTAAACAAGAATTTTTCAAGACGTCAGCAATCAGCATTCTGTTAAATTTAGGTTTTTTTTTCATGTACTTGAAGGATCTTCTGCGGGTCTATTCGACAGAATTTATAGACCATCGATTTTGAAAGACATTCATGGTTCCGCTTCTCTTTGTTTCGGACACCATGACGTGGTTGTAATGTATTCCTTGGAATCAAATTACACAAATTCTACAATGTCAACATGATGCAACGCGTAGCAATAGGAATTTCTTTTCATGTACCTGAAGGGCCTCCTGCGTGTCTATTCAACAGAATTGGTAAATCATCGATTTGAAAGGCCTTCGTAGTTCCGCTCCTCTTTGTTTCGGACACCACGACGTGCTTGTAATATATTCCTTGGAATCTTTTTCTCAAGGCTGCTTGTTGTCTGTCTTACCGATCTATTATTTTAGGCTAAGACTGATAAAGCGTGGGCCCTTCAATAACGCATATCGATGCGTTTTGTTGAACATGTTTCACAACCTAAGTTAAAAAGTGAAATAACATTAATTTTGTTTTATTGACTGATGCGCATCTGAAGATTTTACCTAATTCTAAAATTTACATTTATGGGATGCTTAATCAATCGCAAATAGACAAAACCCCTGACGACTTGAAGAACCCAGCCACATACAGGTGCAGCATTTGGCAAAACTTATTTATAATTTTTAATATAGTCTGCAATAGTCTTTTAATATAGTCTTTTGTTTCTTCGAAATCAATAAATAATCTCATCGAATCCCTTTTAGGTGATTTGCTTCATTTATTTCGACACGAAAAGACCTATGGACCGTTCTGTTATTATGTTGTGGGTGGTATCTTTTTCCTTTTTATTGTTAAAAAAAAGGTTTCTGCCTAACTAATGAACCAATTGTTTGAACTTTTGGAGCTTAAAGATTCTATTTTCCCCGCTTTGGATACTTTGTGGGATTTTATTTTTGTGTGAGATCAAAAGTACAAGGGAATGCGCCCGACTGTAACCTCGTAAACTTTTTTTCGTGAGTTGCAGTCCTTCGCAAAATACCGCGAGTTAATTTGAAACGACTAGTAAATATTTAACATAAAATTCTAAACGTCTGATGGCTCAAAGCCGTTTTACTCTTTACAATCTAATTTATTTCCAGAATTAACTCTCGCGAATGCATAGTGTCAAAAAATTCGAGCAATGCTCAATTCATTTACAAATATATGTTTACACTTAAATTTAATATAAAACTCTGAAACACATCTAAGTATTCAACCAAGCAGTTGCGGACTGGACTAAAATTATCCAATATAAATGGTATTTTATAAAGCATGCATTATGCACGGGTAAAGGGAAGAATAGCTTTAAACGTATGTTCATTTTGTTGCCAATCTTTGGATGAGGCTTGTCAAATTAACAGGAATATAAATAAAATAATACAAGTATGACAAAATTATATGAGTAGCAACTATATGATAAATGTAGGCAAACTCCGAAATGAATGCAGAAAATTATACTCATCCCAGGCATATGTTATATTTAATAATAATAATGATTTGTTAATAAATAATATTACAAAGAGAATTTGATGATATTTTCATTTGTACTTACGGCTTATAAAAATGCAGTTTTTTCAACACCAATAAAGACAATTAGCTATTAGTCATGTTAATAATGCTTTATTGGGTAATTTTACTCTCGGGAAATTAGATTTATCGTTAGAGCTCAATGTTGTTCTCCATGTACGACATTGTTCTTTGTTTGCATGCAATAAAATAGAGATTTCGACAAAGTCCTAAATTAATACACATTCTTAAATCTACTTGAAATCACTGTATAAATTGAAACTTGATAAGATGACGTGAATTTGTAATTGAGCATACAGTGATTGTGTAGTTTAGTTCGCCTATTTCATAGCCCATTATTTCAATTCTATGCGATCAATTTTTCCGAGTTTTGATTTTGGTATCATATTGACAAATTGGATACTTGCTCTCAACTGTTTATAATCGACAATCTCATCTGAAATTGAACTAAATACTTTGAATAATATTAATTGAACACGTAGATTAAAGTAAAACTAATATACTTTTTTTCACCTTTTATCAGAGTTTGAAGTTCGTTCGCTGTGACCGATTCAAGATTTTTTTTACAACAAACGTTGGTAACACTCCACAAACGGGGTCGGAACACCAACCACTCCAACATCTTTAACACCAGGGTGACGCAAAAGTACATTTTCTATTTCGACAGGTGGTACCTAAACAGACAGTATACGAATTATTCGCTACACGAATCAATTTAACCTGTGGGTAAAAAAAAATCGGCCTCATATTTTTACAATGTCGTAAGAATCTTCTTTTGCTAGTCAGTTATTGATGAAACATGTTTCTTATCGTATATGAACGCCCAGTAAACTGTCTGATTGATGGATTCAATTAACTTATGTGTCTAGTCTAGATCAGTGCTTCCCAAACTTTTTGACCATCGCCCCCCTAAAGTAGTTTATACAACTTCATCGCCCCCCTGTACTACAAAAAAATATAAAGTCAGAAACGAATATATTACAGACCAAATAAGAAGACAAATCATAGTTTATAGTGTTTTTTAATGAGATAGATGAGCTTGGTGTTCTTCAGCGAGTTTTTTTATTATATATATCTAAAATTACCCCGTTTACTGATGGAAAGGTGATTTCGTTGTTTTAATAGCAATAGTAGCACGGCTGAAAACCCCCTTTTTACCATATAATAGGTCGGAAATGAAAGAATCCAGGGTTCTACCTCCTCAAAAACCGCCGTGTACTCTGGCCTTATAGCATTTCACTTCCTAAATCCAACGACTTTTACAATAAAATAATAAAACCAAAGTTAATTTTCCCAAACTTATAATAATGATTTTCGTACATCTCATTCATTCGTACAGCCTGATGACCTGCACCAAAAAACCTCGGAAAAATTCATCTCCGATTCCTCATCCTATCACGGCCTCCAGTCCGATCACCAGTCCATCATTAACCAGCCATTTGTTTTTGGATTCATAGACTCGGATGTGGAAGAAGACGTGACTGACTATCGGCTACGGCCCAGGGGTCGGCAAATTTTATGTCGCTCGCAGGACAAATTCAGGGTTGCTAGTATTTTGCGGGTCGCGTATATTTTTCGAAAGTTAAAAACGGAACAGCGCGCAAAAACTGCGACAATTCGTGAACTCAACTCAGTCGTCTTATTAAAAAAATATTACAATGACATTCAATGTGACACTGTCTTGTTGCTGCATCACGCTGCATAGCTTTACGACGCCAAGATTGAAACATTTTCTAAATGGGCATCACCAAACCCACTTCTTTGCTTGTTCTTTGTAATGTTCATTTTCGAAAATAATGGTTTGCACAAATACGTACTTCAAAACATCGAAGTGAATATTTCCGCATGATTTGTGAAATTCTGATAAATATTTTCTTTAAGAAGATACATTCTTACAAAAATTATGCAGTGATCAGTCTCTCGAATAGAATATGAATTTTATTTCCTTATTGCTTTGCAATATATTCGAATATTTACTGCGCTATTGAAGCCCTGCACTCAGCATCAACTTTTCTGCGTGTTTCCATTTGTCTAATTATAATTAAATTGTAGGCTCGTTAAACGAGTGGCTGTTCACTAAATTGTTAGGATATAGTATAATTCAGTATAAACGTGTCTCGCGATAAATTCTGTTACGTAAAAAAATGTAATTTACTCCTCGAGCGTAGATTATAAATAAAAATAAATTCATCGTCAAAACCGCCGTTTGGATATTTCCCCGGGCATGGACTTCTTTGTTTACTTCGTGACATTGGCCAATCAGCAAGATGCAAAAATCGTAACAATGCCCCCTTTCGTATCCGCTCAGACACTTTCACTCAGATAGATTTTCAGGCGTGGTCGTGAACATTACCTCATTTTCGCGTTTTTGAATTATATTCTTTAGTTTTTAGTTGTTTTTCGGAAATTTGAATATAAATCAAATAAGTCAATGATTACTTTGTCTTTCTATGAGTTTCAGTTTAAATACAGCAATCAAAAATTACTAGGCTAAAATTCTTTATCGGTACTTTTAAAAAACAGATTGTTAAATGGTGTGTATTAGAATTATAGTTTGAAACAAATACCCCATTTCACAGGCAACAACTCGCGAAACCACTCTTAAAATAAGCACCGAAAATTTTAAAATGGTAAAGTATGGGAAGAATTTTCCGCAGTCAAAGGTCGGGGAAAGGTCCATTCAGTGAATCGTCCCGGGCCAGATTATTTTATTCCGGCCGTATTTTGCCGACCACCGGGATACGCAAACTACCTTGCCTTACTGCGAAGACGAGACCAGAAATCCTTTCGCGTGTGATAATTGCCCACGTGATTCAAGCCTGCGAATGCACACAGAGTACAGAATTAAGTGCGCCGAACATAAAACAGGTTTCGCGAAATCACCCCCCTATCGCCCCCTAAGACTTTTTCGCCCCCCTCTGTATCGTTTTCGCCCACTGGGGGGCGATATCGCCCACTTTGGGAATCACTGGTCTAGATGACCCATTTCCATATAGAACAGATACATGGAATGTGTTATACTTGATAACTTCCTTCAATCGGCCAATAACATATAGCCTTTCATTCTTAACAACTCCGATATCGCCTGTACAAAGAAATCCATCCTTATTGATTGACTTCATCGTTGCTTCGGCATTTTTATAATATCCAACGTTCATCTAGTAAATGGCACAACTAGGAATTACTTTTGAAATATAGACTTTGTCACATTTTCTCAATTTAGTTGCAACTTCGAAATGATCGACTCCTTGATTGCATGACTGACGATTATCTCTTTGATTAAATGTATTGTAATTGATTTTTTCAATTTAATTATTTTCTTTCAAAAAGAAATAAAGAGAGCAAATTGCCATTAATAGTATTTCAAAACACATGGACTTGTGTACATCGTACAAAAAGTTCGCCTACTTGTGGTCCCTTGACCCAAATCTCTCCGTCTTGACCAGGTTTCATTTTTTCCTCTGTATTTGGATCAACAATCTGTAAAACATTATCAAACATTATTTCGATAGTGAAAAATAGTTTTTGTCATTTTGTCTGTGTGCTGGTTATTATCTACATCTTCTTCACTGATGATAATTCACACTCATATTAAAACATTACCATAATTTCCGAATTGACGCAGAACAGAGCCAACTGAATCCGTGAATGTATCAGCTTTATCCGTCCATGATATGGGACAACATTCGGTCATTGCATAAACTGTAAATAAGTTGTTTCGGTGAATTTATATCACTTCGAATTCTAGTCATTGGGTACGTGCACATATCGGATACCGGACATGAATATGATGTGATAGGAATGTAAAGGAACATTGATATAAATCACTCAAGCCGCAAAAAGCATGTGAGAGACAGACGTGTGAACTCGTAAACTGTCATTAGAATAATCCTCAGCTTTCGTGTTCAAACTTTAAATGCACTGTTATTCGCACCATGCTTTCAATGACTTTAAACAATTTGAGTTGAATCAAAATCTATATTACTATTGCTTGATTCTGAATGTTTGAATGATCACCGCGATGGTTCTTCAGAGATGGGGCCAATTCAATTTTATATTGATTCAAGAAATCTGGATAATATGTCAAGGACTAAAAACCAATTTCTCAAGTCCGTGACGTCCGTGATGGAAGAAGCAAAAACGCGTACGTGTAAATCGTATGGCTATAGGTAGCTGTTGAACTACTCCGATTGGTCATGTTTCCATATTTGACCTCATAGCGCTACGAATAATTAGATTCATTTCGTGAATATTTCTGCGTGGTTCCGTGATAGATTTTTTATAATTAATTGAATATCAACAATTATACATGGTTCAACTTTATGAGCACTAAAATATTTTTGGGTATTCGAGCATATTTTACTCTGATGATTTGCTATATCTTCTACGAACCTAATTCAACATCGTTAACCGTGTCGTTCGCAATCTGTATTCAACTTTTTATGATTAATTAGAAAGAAATATATTTAATACAAAAAGAAGAATCCTTATTCTTATTTGCTATAATTCAAGTATCCATTTGAAATTAAGTGTATAGTGTATATTCAATGCAATATCACGACACTATTTAAGATGTTATGAAGTTCGAAAGTCTGACTACCAACGCTGCGGTGTCCACGCTATAGCTATTTACCGTAACATTGTCTCAAAAAATCATCGGGAAACAATTAAAAATGATGCCTAAAAAGAAAGCTATAAATTACTTCATATCGTGTAATCACATGTAATTGCGTGCGTCTTTAAAGCACGACTGCTTTTACACGGGAAAGCCATTATACTGCTAGTAGATAATACGATTTGATAATGTCTTCGAACTTCAATGTTGAATAGTATGAAAGCAACGGGATTATAAGGGATAATTATAGAAATAACATAAGGTTGATATGATAGTGAGGCTGATGATTCAGTCCTAAAGTTTTCTCATAACCGATTCTTTGCTTACACTGCAGGTAATTCCCGCTCAAAATTTATGATTGTGGTTAATAAATATTTCAGGTATATAGGCCAATTTTACGAACTAAACCATTTTGGTAAATATATAAAAAAAGAGATGGATGTCTTCTATTTTTCAGTCAACCAACTATTTAACGTCAAGCATGAACAAACAAATCCACGATAAGCAATTCGGTCGAGTTCAAGTTATAGTAATTTCTAAGCAAATATTTTTTCTCGAAGTATATGTCTAAACTTATATTTGTGAACATGTACTTCACGAGGATTTTATATGTTTTATTTAGTACTCAGATACTTATGTTAGTACTGTGTTAATCAAAAATGGTGAATATACAAGCTTCATACTATTGTTTTTTGTTTCTTGAAATATTTTCTTTGTCATGCAGTTCCGATAATACGTTTACTGTATCGTTAGTTATAAAATTACCATTTTTGTGCGAGTTTGGACTAGATTAAACGCGTAGATTATTTTAGAGACTTCATGTATGCGGTCGAACAAGAACAAACATGTCCAACACCCAATTCGAAGACATAGAATAAAACGTCTCATTGCGCTTCGCAACTTCGAGTTTTCGGTAACACCATAGCTATCGATAACCAAGCGGTTACGCTAGCAGAGAATAAAGACAATCAACTTATTCGCGGACTGTGTTTGAGAAACGATTGGTTCCCAAATCGCCAATTAGGTCGACAGTTCCCTTGTAATACTTACATTTTAGGAATACCATACTCTTGCAAGCTTGATATTTACGTTTTCATTTTCCAGTACCTGTTCATATATAATTTTATTTACAATTTATATTGAAATGTTGATTGAACATCGATTTTAACGTCTAGTTTGATTATTGTTTTTTGTCCATGAAATCCTTTAATGTAAGTCGTATTCATCCAGTGACCCAGAACCAGACTAATATGACTACAGACTATAATACTAATATCTTGGTAGATTCTCATTCCGCGACTAATTTTGAATAGTTTCTTCATCTGTTCCGCGGTCGACCGCGTCGCTGTACATTTGAACACGCATTCAACAGTATATATACGAGTTTGCATTGAAATCAATATTTCTGACAATGATTTTGAAATTCATCACCTTCAGTTATTTTCTCAAACATACAAACAAAAATATGAGTTGCTTAAGAAAAGTGAACAAAATGCATGCAACCTAGTTTATTAATAATATGAACAATTTTAATTACTTGTTCGAAACTTTTTTTCAGAATACTCAGTAGTAAAGCAAAATCATCCTAATAATATAAATTACGGCAATATTACAGAAAATTTCATTTTTGCATTTGGGGGTTCAAATTATCTCTTGAGGGACATTGCTGCATTGCTATAGGTTCTCGTTTTTCATCGCCCATTTCTTCAATTCTATGCGATCTATTTTGCCAAGTATAGATTTCGGAATATGATTGACAAATTGGATCCCGCCACGAAGATGTTTGTAATCGACAAGTTCATCTAGAAAAATAAAATTGTACTTTTATTACAGAACATGTGGAATAAAGTAAAATTTATATGTAGTTGGTACTTTTAATCAATTCATGCAGTTCATCCGTTGTGACCGATTCCATTTTCCGTACAACGAATGCTTTTGGTAACTCCCCACATGCTTCATCTGGCACACCAACCGCTGCAGCATCTTTTACACCAGGATGTTTCATAAGTACATGCTCTATTTCTGCAGGTGGAACCTGAACATGAAGAAAAAAATGAAATAGTTAGAAATTCAAAGTGTCGAATCTTCTAAGTAACAGTGGGTTAACAATATATTAATGATTAAACATGTCATAGTATAAAACAAGGCGAAACAATTTAAACACGATCATAAATATATCTTGATATATATCGAGAAGTCATAAAATTCAACATAAGAACTAACTTAGATAAATAACGTATTTAAAAAAAAAAAAACTATTCTGAAGAAAACCGAATTTTTTTTTTTGAAAATCAAAACGTACATTGGCGGGTAAATATGTGATTGGAAAGTTTTTTTTTTACCTGGAACGTGTTATATTTGATAACTTCCTTGAGCCGGCCAACCACAAAAAGCATTTCATTTTCAATATGTCCAATATCGCCAGTGCGAAGAAATCCGTCTTTATTTATTGCTTGTTCTGTTGCTTCCGAATTTTTATAATATCCAGCAGCCATCTAGCAAAACGTATATGAGATAGTTTGGAATGATTGCTTTGATTCTCAATGTCTTTGTTGATTCTAAGGATGATCGTTACGATCAAATGTTGTTAACAGTTGAATTGGAATCGCTACCTATATACATTTAGATTAAAATGTGTGAATATATCTTCTACTAATTTATTCTACAGAAAATGTGGTAAATTATTGACGAAAGAATCTCATGCCTTACATGTGTACTTTTGACCCAAATTTCGCCGTCTTCGCCAGATTTCAACTCTTTTTCCGTATTTGGATCAACAATCTGTAAAACATTTAAGAGTCAAACAAAAGAGCTCTGTTTAAATATATGGACACGAAGAGCAAAATGAACTAGTACGGGTAAGCAATCTGCTTAGATTACCGGTACCGTAGTCTTAACGACTTCCCCTGACCCCCAGATAGCAACGAACGCGAACGCAGTGTGAAATTTTTAATGTTGATGACGTCATCGCATACAAAACAAGACAGCGATGCTCAAATATATGAAAACGAAGACCAGTAGTCTACTTTACCTTGTACAATACCAGTACCGTCAAAATACTTCAAAAAAGCGTAATAGGAAGGTAGCACAATTTCGAATTGAAAAACGAATCACATAGAGCCCAAAGGATTTTAAAATGAATAAACAAAATCTTCAAGTTTTTGTCTTACTTTATATAACGTAAATTTTATATAACTCTATTTTCGTATTACAAAAATCGTTAAATTAATTCACCATAATTTCAGAATTGACTGCAATTGAACCAGCTGAATCAATGAATTGATCTACTTTGTCATTCCAAGATACAGGAAAGCATTCAGTCTGCCCATAACCTGAAATACCAACACGTTAAAAATTAAATGATTTAGGTACATATCTACTTGCAAAGTTAGGAATGCATCGGAATTGGTGATATATGAATTGGAATTGATATATGTACATACAAGATGAAATACAAGAAGAACGAGCGTGATATTGGACAGGTAGTTTCAAATTAAGAATGAATGTCGCCAGTAACAGCCAGCTATTATGTCTAAGACAAACTTGTACTTTAAGCTCGGGTTCATGTTTAAAATAATATCTATTTCCAAAATAATAGTAAACGATTTTATAAAACAAATTACACAAGCTGCCAAAGGTAATAAACGATCGTTTATCGAGTTATTCCAGATACTCAATTCATTCCATTTTAGGCTTGAAACGTTGCCTGCCGACCTGATTGGATAAAGTTAGACTTTGTTTTTCACCTTTACTATAAAAGTTTATAAAAATTTGTCAACTAACATGGAAATATTCTAATGTTGAACCTATCGATAACTTCTTTCAATGCTGTGGGTGGAATTGATGCACCTCCAATAAATGACGATTTCCACGACGAGGTATCATACTTGTGATGTAACTCTGTCTGGGATAGTTTTAGCAAATTTGGTGGCACCAGAAGCATATGATTTGCCTTGACGACATGAATGAATATAGAGAAAAATATGATTAAATTGCAGCGAGAAATATTCTTCCTCCAACATAATGTAACCTTGGAAGCCTTGGTGTCCGACGAAGCGTTCAATGAAAACCAAATATACTGTAAAAAGATCTTAGTTGGAAAACATGCACGTATACATCCGCATCAAATACCCATCAAATGAAAACCAAATTTTTCAAATGTTTTCCGACGTTCAAATATGTTGTCATGAACTGGCACATTGAAGTCTGATTTTGAAATCGCTACAATATCATATTACTATCACCAGAGTAAATAATATAGCAAACGAATGGTATATGGTAAAAGATATTTTTACCTTGTATTTTTGTATCGCAGCCAGTGTACCTTCAACGTCAAACTTTTGATCCATGATAACACTTAACCCGCCTTGCAGTGCAACAAGTAAGAAAAAATAACCACCTCCGTGATACAAAGGCCGTTCGTTGTAGAACACATCTCCGCGTTGATAGTTTAAATGGTGCCTCAAAAGAATTCAAAATGTTTAGACATATCACATCGACTTACAATCGTGCGTCGCGAAAGATACATACCACGCTGCCATAATCCATATCAAGTTTTGAAATAGTTTTTGTAACACCAAAAATGAAGTAAATGACATATCACTCAACTAAAAATATCTTATATGCTCATAAGTTAGGAATACGTTTTCTATTCATATAAATTTTTATATACAAAATACTAAAACTTGTCTGAGTTAAAGATGCAATTATTCATACTTATATCTAGTTTTGCGAAATGAAGCGACTAAGCAATACTTTGGCATCAACATTTTGTGCGAAGGTTTATTGAAAAATGACTTACAAGTACACATTTCAAATATATTGTATGAGATAGTTTATGTATATTAATAAATATTGTATTGAAATTTCCAAACGTAATGAATTTAATTGTTATAAAGTGATTTTCCGTGCTTTGGTTTAAGCAGAATAACGATACGATATCAGAAAAGTTCTTCTTACCAACTGGCTAATACCATCGCAATCGTACCATAATGAGTGTGCATAACACATTTCGGCATTCCTGTAGTTCCACTTGAATATGGTAGGAACGCTAAATCTTTCTTTGGTGATATTTTGCAAGTCGGAACAATGTTTCCTAAAAACGTTATTGACGATCATGAAAAATTGAAAACATTATTATTTACAATTAGTAATAATTTCTTACCTTCGTTTTCTTTATTTGAGATGATAATGTCATCCCAAGTTTCGAATTCATTACTTTTTCCAATGACTATGATTTTCTAAAAGTGAAAATTGTGTTTACACAGTACGCTCAAACAACCGCGATCGATATTCTAAGTCAATGAATTTGCCTCTTAACACAAATAAAATAGAATAAATACATGGACAATATAAAAGATCTTGTATTTTATTATTAATAATATCTATAATTTAAAAATCAGGATACCTGAACTTGATTCTCTGGGTTATTATTGAGTACTTGCTTTATAGTATCGATGCTTTTTTCAGATGCGATAACTATTTTTGGTTCGGTGATTTTGAAGATATGCTGTATTTCTCCTGAAAAAAAAATGTTCAAAATTAACTCGTGAAAGAACTCATATCAATGAAATGATTCTACTTCGAACAAAACCATTGTGTTCGTTTGTTCAAATATCGGTCTAAATCCAAAGCACTTATTTATTGCGCTTCATGGTCTCGCGCATGTAACATCCTTCTGTTCACCAGAACGTCTACACTCTACACTGTACGATTGACAGATATTTTTAATTCGGCTCCCAACTTCGAATTTGGATGGTAAGTGCTATTTTTCGGTCATATAGCTTCCACCACCTCACCCGAGTTATAATAAATCAGACGGCAATCCCGAACCCGGAATATTCCGGTCCTTCTAATAGAATTGTATTTCCTTACTTATTATTTGATATCAGTGGATGCTTCCGCATAGCCTTGTTCAGAGCGAACTGCGTGAATAGCATTCTCATAATCAAATTCTCAACCTGACCATTGAAGTAATACAATTCAAGCAGCAGAATTAACCATTGGTGAAGTAATTGTTCCAATTTGTTTTCCGGGCATACAGACCAACGAAGCCTCCTCATTCAGGAGTAGCACTCGTAGCATACAATACCCCACAAGTCAATGAGAACAAATAGTTGACTAAAACAATCCCTCATCAGTCATATCTATCATAATGTTAAAGCTAATAAATATTCAACGAAAAAGAGTTACCTTCTTTGTATGACGGATTACAAAGTGATATGGTCGCCCCACAAGATACCACACCAACCGTTGCCACTATATATTCTACACAATTCTGAGTGATCAGACACACAACATCTCCCTTGTCTATCTTTTGCTTTTGAAAAAATCTCCCACAGGATTGTATTTGTTCGTAAACTTGTCTAAAAGTAAGCTGTTTTTCTTCGTTGGTGTTGTCAATCTGAATTAAAAAGGAAATATTAAAAAAATGTGTCTAAGCAATTACACACAACAAGCGGTTTTTGCCTTTTATTGCTACGTTAATTTTTTTTTTGTGAAGCAACTTAAAAATAAAGTTACAGAAGATTCTGAGAATCGATTGATCAGAATCATGTGGAAAGTAAGCGACTTGTGTGCCTCAACTGACCTATTGTGAAATTTACATATATATATATACTATGCATTCGGGTAATAAATCAATTTCATTGCTCATGGGTCCAGAGATGACACCTCAATTCGTCATATTGTGGAGTTCGATCAACATCAACGTTATATAAAAATTGAAATATATTCAATTCGCATAAGGCACAAGTTTATTGATATACAAACAAATACAATAATGATATATACTTACCAGAGCAATATCGTCACCATATTCTTTTATACGCTCGAGAAAAAAGTCGCTCAACGATATTTCTGGAACATCAAAATTTCCATGCTTCGATCTCAAAGGCATTTTGCTTGTGATGCTTATCACTATATCCAAATGCCAATAGTTAGCAAATGGAATTTTTAAACCTTGTCAGTTCAAGATATGTTTATACAGCCCACTGTGTTTTTTTTTTGATGTAACATACTCATTACTTGCTTGCTACGAACATTGTAGGTTAGTCCACTAGATTAGTAAACAATCTTATCAAGTCAAGTTAGGCTCCGAACTTACATGTGTTTGCTATTTCTTTACTGTTTACTCAAAAACGACTGGACCAGTATTCTGCCTGAAGGGATGTGTAATCAAACATGTTTCGGTAGATGTTATTTACGGTATGGTACAAAACCTGTTTTAAATGTTTTAGATCTCCAATTTGTATACCGGGAATCATCATTCATCAAAACAGCGCTAAACAGTTCTTTTTTGTTCCAGAAAGTGAATTATAGATGAGCACGTTATTCCAAGCCATAATCTAGCTATAGGTTGCTAACTTATTGTGTTTGGAATGTTAAAAGTATTTCAGAGTCGTCCGACCTACAACAGCGTTGTAGTGTGTGTTTATCCTTGGTTCAGGCTTGGCCCATCCTTGTTGCAAGTTACAGTCCGGCGACGAGTTTGTCATTGCTTTTTTTGTGTTTGTTTTCCTTGTCGATGTAGATGACATATCATGCGTATATTTGCGCTTATATTTCTCTCGCTGCGTATAACAATGTCATGTCAGGGCTATATCATTCCCGCTGTGGGAAACACTCGACGAGAAAAGAAAGGTCAAACAAGCATATCCGATTATACCAAGTGCATTTTAGTGTCCGCATAACTTTTCACTGAAACAAAACCAAATATGGAAAAATGGCGATTACGAGTTGAGTTCGATGCCGATGAAGCTTTGAGCCGTATTTCGGTCTGACGTGGAGGGGTAAAATTACGATGACAACGATGTGTCATTATGAGATGAGGAACCGACAAAGCAAGATTCGGTTTTGAAACTCTACTGGTTTTGAAAGTATTCATAACATATGCGAATGCACATGTTTTACATGTTGTTTTCCATATTTCAAATATAGAATCGGCGGCCGACGTTCTTTCAACAAAAATGTACGAAGGTTTCGCGAAGCACGATCATTTGCGTTGAAAGTGACGTGTATCAGTAACTCGCAAAAATTGAATTGAAGATTACCGCAAGAAAGTGGAATATTGGAAATAAAAACTTCGTGTTACCTTTGTATATATTTATCTATTTTTTTACAACAGTGTGATTTTTATGTGTACAAATTTTTTAAAGTTCAATGTATGTTCGTATGTATATTAGAGGGACCGGTTACGTATTTTAAGCAACGGTTGCCAGAATACGTACAAAACAATCTTTTTAGAGATACCTAAGTCAGTGCTCCTGATATAATTTTCCGTTTTTTATGGAACCCCAATTAAAAAAAAAAATTCTAATTTTGGCAATCGAATTACATCTGGTTCGCTTCGGAGGAGGAGCAGGTCACCGTTGTTATTATTTCGCCTCACATAAGAAAATATACTATTTTGCTTCATTTGTATTGACTAAATATTAAAAAGTTGGGTTTCACACTATTTATAATATATTCCAACAAAAGCTGAACAACAGCTCTAGTTTCTAGTATATACTCTCTCTAGTCTCTAGCAATATCTACATACTTTGAACATCATGTAACTATGGTGCAACAATAGCGTTCTTGTTAGTTCCATAACAATGACTAAAGTGACGCAAAAACCGAGAATATTTCTGTTTTGTCTATTAACTGCACTGTGACTAAACCTCATGTTTAACGAACTGGCCTACTTGGAGTTTGAATGCGACGCGGTGGTCTAAGAATATTTATAATGACGCATCAACATGCTGGAAGCAAGAAATGATTTCCCCTGAAAAAAAAAAAAAAACGCGGATCCCCTAAGGCATAGGTTCTCAAAGTGCTCCGTACGGAGCCCCAGGGCTCCGTGAGAGAAACCCAGGGGCTCCGCAAGCTATTCGACTACTTTTTAAAATACTGAATTGGCTAATTTTACTATTAGGATTACTGAAATGAAAGACTACTATTCTGAAATAACATAAAATACGCGAAAAACTGCCAACTATACATAAATTGAAGTCGTATTTTTGCGATCTTGGGATTTGTCAAGCTTGGTTTTGTTCTTTCGCACTCACGAGCAAGATGTCGCCGTTTACAAAACAAGAGGTCGGGGCAAAATACGAAAGATGGAAATTTATTTCATTGCATGCGGCTCCGTCGGTAGTTTCAGAATGGAAAAATAGGTACATCGCGCGCACAATTGACTGTGTTTCGGTTTCGCAGTTACTACGACGAATAACCAAAGAAAACCCAACATAACACCAAATTTTTGATTCACAATGTCTATGAACGTGTTTTTAATCTGACGTGAGTCTGCTGAAACAAAACTTATAGTGTTATCTCCCATTTTAAGTTTTAGTTTTAATATTTCAGTATGCCGCTTTTCAATCGAGAAATTTGAGTTGCGGATTTACCTTTTATTATTTATTATTTTTAGCATTTCGTCTCCGGTGACTATAATATGGTAACATGTTTTTCACATTGAACTCATAATTCCCCACGAGAACAAAAAAGCAATACTCGTCGTCATTGTGGAACAATACATCATACATGTATATGTCGAGGAAAATTTTTGATTTAGGGAGAATAAACACCGCCATGCTGACGAAAACAATCGGCGATCGTAACAAAATGCAATCGAGTACGTTATTAGCGGCCTTTTAAGTCTTTCAAAAATATCTAAAGGTAAAAGATCCGACCCCTAATTTATTAATATGTTTGTCAAGTATCAAGTTTACAGCTTTAGTATATATAATTCATCTTTTACATTTAGATTCATTTATGACTTGTATTAACCCTATTAAAAGAGGTTAAGCATTTAAAATAAGTACATTACTTTTGACTTACTCAGAAATATTATTCGGAAAGTAACAATTTTAACATTTATTTTGGGGCTCCGTGAATAATAGTCAACTTTTTCAAGGGCTCCGCAACACAAAAAGTTTGAGAACCCCTGCCCTAAGGAACCCTATAAACTCACAGAACCCCACTGCATGTACTATTGAACCCTAGGGTCCGCGGAACCCCTGTTGAAAAGCACTGACCTAAGTGATGTTTCTAGCGTGTTTGAACAAAGAGAAATGACTATTTTAATTGAGGGTGTTAAAAAATGGGCTCAAATTAGTGGGAAATATAGGGTTTTAATTAAATACCGTAGCTAGTTCAACAATAACGAGTTTAATTCCTTGTGGCAGAGCACCACTGATTTGTTTGAAGTGCTCCAAACATTTTGCAGAAAACTCATGTATAATTACAGACAAGTTTATATATGTTTGAAAAAACAAATATCTGCAGGTTGTAGGTTTATTTACTTAATATATAATACCCGTTTGTTTTATAACACCCGGGAAATATAGCATTACTGATTCCAAATATATTGACATATTGAACCTGTTTAGAGACACTCTGCTTGACTGCCTGTCTTGCAGTTCATTGCTTGTGCATATGAATCATCAATTTTCTAGTGCACCATGTAGAAATTCTCAGTGTCGAATGCCATCCCCGAAATCAAACCTTTTTTCTATAAGGTCGCGCCGTGGTATGTTTAGAGTAATTTGCTTTGGAACCAATGTCTTATAAACAAATACCTTTGACTATACATTCGGACAAATATGAAGGATGACAAATCATCAAAAAATATGACAGTCGTTGCAGTGCAAACATAAACATCGTCCAGATTCAATCTGAAACGCTATCTTAAAATTCTACTGAAACGTTATCGAAAGTTTAATAAATTCAAACCACAAGTCGATGATCTACATACAATGAATTATACAAAAAATCTAACTATACGATAAGATATATAAACTGTTTTAGAACAAAAAGTCATGCAAAATCAAATATTGTTTATTTTTCAACAGACTTACCTTTCTACCAATCGCCAATATAACCTCCACTCTGTTTTATCAACTACAAAACCTATCCACGAACCGTAATTCGCTTATCACGCTCACTACCCCGGTTTAGCTATACTCAGATACGTCGACGCAGAAGCCAGTGGCTGGATGAGGAGGTTAGTAAGATATTAGCGTGTGAAGTAAAACATAGAATGGTAGTGGCAGTAGAGTATGAAGCTCATTTGAAACAGATCTAGGATTTGTATTTAACAGAACCGGATATGAACGTTGGATGTGGGACCGAGGGGACGGTATAGAGCAGGGGTCACCAACCTTTTCGAAGCCGAGGGCTACTTTTAGGGTACAGATTAAGCTGCGGGCTACCAGTTCAACGTACACTTCTAAAAAAATCAGTTGCTCGATTAAGCTTCAATTATTATTAATAAACTTTAGGATTCTTCAAGAAATCAAACGATTAACACAACATTGTAAATAAATTTCCATCAATAACACTTGTATTTCAAAACTGAGTGTTGAATTGATTTTCATAGGAAACAACGATGTACTTGAATTATTTACAAACACTCTGCACAAGTCGAAGATAAAATGGACTTAACAGTTGTACTATCAAATGTTGCATAGTATTATACTCCGACGTGTAACTTGACACTGTAACTCTGACCGAGTCTTGCAGATTTTCATCAGTGAGGCGTGTTCCATGTTTGTTCCTGGTGGAGTGAGTCGCGGCGCTATGGCCCATCGTGTTAAGCGTTAGGTTCGCAGGTTAGAATCCCATGCGGGGATAGTTATGTGCGAAAGGATTGCTGGACTCCTCGCCGCCGTTGGGTGGTTCAGGTAACCGCTGGTCGGTTAAGGCTTCCTTCGCCATCAAGTCCAGGCTTCCGGAAACAAATAATTCCATACCCGACATCGAATGGTAACCGGCGAAAAGCCGTGGTTTGTCATATGGTTAAGCCGTCCTATCGGCTATCTTCTCATCCGGGATAAATATGTAAATCTCCTCCTATCCTGAGTTTGTCAAAAATGTTGATTCGAAAGGATAGGTTGAAACAAACGATGGTCTCGTAAAATAGGATTGCTGTATGATTTGAATCGCGAGCTTTTTCTGTCCGTACTGTGCTGACCAGTGGGTAGTTAGAGCGGAAGATTACGTGACAAGATGTGAAATATCTCTCCGCTTTGCCGTCGCTAAAATCGCCCCACTAATGAGACACACGCAGGCTGTTTTTATGGTGGTATAAATATATCCACCTACCATTCATCGTGAAAATGATGGATTTTTCTTTGGAATCAATAATTGTATTATTACTGCTACGCTAACCAACGGACAAGAAAAAGCGCAGGTTCGTGGAAAGTGATCTCAGTGTGATGTCATAATTGGAAGAGTGGTAATTGACCCGTCACATTACTGGGGTCAAATAAAAATAAGGTTGATGGTTACAATAATCAATATAGTGTTATTCTCAGTTCCATATAAGTGTGATTTATACTAAAATAGCAGGACAAAATTTAATTGATGTAGCTTACTTATAAGAGCCGTTATTAAGCTTAGTTTGGAACAGACCTGCGGGCGATTCATATGGTCTTCGCGGGCGACTTGGTGCCCGCGGGCAACGCGTTGGTGACCCCTGGTATAGAGTTATCGAGCTTCGTCTCAGGGCTACGGGTGAATGAGCCGAGACCACATGCACTCCAGGTACGTGGCGTGACGATGCTATTGTCTCAATTTATTTCCAGTGGTATGTGAATTTTTCGTAGATTTATCGTATTCAACGCGGCCCGAGCTCATTTCGCTTTGAACTTGTTGATTGTCCATCTTGTCATTTTCGTTCAAAAGAGAGTTTTAGTGATTCATCATTCGATAATCCCGTTTGTTTTTGCCACTAAACGCACCGTGACGATTTTCAATACCTTACAATCAACAATCTTTATAGGGCATAGGTTCTGTATTCAATTTCAAGCTCAAAATTAAGCTTCCAATCCGTTTCCCAACCTATACAACTCGTTCACACTACTCTCAACCTACCTGCTAACCTACATACCTAATTACACCCTTTACAACTATCTATTACGACGACCCTAATCCACTCAACTCAAACACATGCAATTGTTTGTGATTTGAATTCGGTGGAAGCATGCTAACAAAGTTGAAGGAACTTAACGTCGGGGAAGCATTCAGATATGACTGGCTGCATTTTACATTTATGTATCCAATTATGTGTTAATGCTGAAAAGTGAAGTTTTTGGGTGCATTGAGACCGTATCGTTGGTGTTGTAGGAAGGTAGAAATAGTATTGGGCACGCTTGCTCAAATGTTCGTGGATACGATTCTAAATTATCTGTGGCGTATTCGGAATTAGGGGTAAATCTGAAGATATTCAGATTGTCGATTTTACCGATACTGATATACGATAATATGTTCTTTTCATCAACATATCTTATAAGAAACAATGCATACATTGGTGTAACCAGGATTTTGTGATAATATGATGCCAAAATGTTTATACTGTTATGTTTGATTGTTATAACGATTTTGAAATAAATTGTCCATCTCCCATTTATAATGTATATAACAAAATTTTGAAGGCAAAAATGGCCATATTAGTTAAGTTAGATGCAACGGCATTTGTTATGTAGAATAGAGTACATGCAGAATGGATTAGCTTATTATGTATCTCACTTGAATGCTTATATACGTACGAATGACATTGGCTGTATATGTACCTGAGTTGGCCGTTTAGGAATCATTTGGTTATTTGGTAAAATTTTACTGAAACTTAGCTCAATAGTAGATGTATATTGAATTAATGATAGAAAACGAGATCAAAACAGGTCATTTAGACTAGAGGTTCTCAACCTGAAGTGAACATTTAGGGTGACCAGGGGTACTTGGATGGTAGTTGAGTTTTCATGTGTTGCTATTTTTAATATCCTTTACTACCAGGGGAAAATGCGTGCCGTTTGAAACTCAACGTAGAATTTCTCTGGTCTTACGTTGTTGTGACGCAACAATGTGACATCCACAGCTTTGCAGCCTAAGTGTGAAATCTCAGAAGACAATGTGTTGTTTGCCTGTCTAAAACCGCTCCTCGAATTGATTTACTTATTTGCAATAAACACGGACAGCCTTCACACTGATGTTCTGCATAGATGAAATAAATAATGAGGTTGGACCTTAAATGTACATATGGATCGTTTTGTTATCATTATTGTGTTGTTGTTCGACTTGTTCGTATTTTTAAAAGATGTTTTTGTGGCTAGAAAACTGTCATCAATATATCAATGTATAGATGCGATAAAACAGTCACTTCTACTCCGACTTTATAAACATTCTGATGCTATTAATTGCAACATTTTCAAATGCCTAAATTTTAATAACGACCTAAAATCAAAACGTGACCAACGCGTCATTCGACCAATCAACAGCCGACACGTATTTAAATATTCCTAAAATTTCCTTTCACCCGAGATCCGACATTTCACCCAAAAGTTCACTGTTTCATATTTAGTTATGAGAACACGCTATTTATTCTACCAAGCGTGGCAAGTGCCTTTCATTTCGATATTGCGAACCCGTGATATTCAAAAGTCGGAAGACTTTTGAAACCCGTAACGCACTGTAGACTAAGTACATATTTATATATTTAAGCATATTAAGTTTAATAGCCCCCGGCCACCAAAACAAGTTTCAATATAATTTATCCCGTTCCACACCTGATTAGTACATTTCCATGCATTGGTGTTTATTCGCTGTTTGATTACGTGTAAGATGAGAGCTGCTAATAAAGAAACTGTATCGTTAAGTATCTGACTAAGGTTTGGAGTTCGCAGTGGAGGCACTTCCGTGTAACGTCAGAAGAATCCGTTCTCGAGAACGAACAACCAACAACATGTCCAAATATATACTTACCTATAGCTGTATGCGCCCATGTTTGGCTGTATATGTGTAGCACGCGTAAAGGGAAACTGTCGTGTTCAGAAACAAAATTTAGCAAAGAGGGTTTGAAATACAATATTAATTTATTTCAAAAAATCACTCAACATTTATGTAGATCTGAATCACTAGGGACTAATATATATATCCAAATACATCAGAAAATGGCTGTTCCTATTTGAACCTTTAGAATTGAACATGAACGGATTCTAAAATATTTCGATGCACAGACATAGTACTTTTAAACTCTTTTTTTTAACCCGTATTAACATTACATATTCGTTTTATCTGCCCCACTGACCTGTTCAGTTATGCAAACAACGACAGGCAGCAACGTATATTGTAACAGAGCAAATATTGTGTACTGGTCGGAATGCCTAACGAATGGAATTTGTCAAGCATATATTTATATTAACATGACTGGACTATAATAAATTTCATATTTGAAAAAGTGTATTTTAATTTTACACAATAGAGTCAGAATGCCCACAAAATCAAAACATATGGCTTTTGATATACCGGAAGTATCTTTGAGCGATTTTTTTCTGTCGCGTATCAAGGAGTATGGTAGCGAAGTCGCTTTGGTAAGTAGAGTTTTATTCTTGTAGGCTATACGTTTGTATACTTTTCATATTTACTTGTATACTATGATGAAGGCAAGTTTTTGCAACCCGGCTCGTAAAGCTATTTAGTGTGGCCCTTGTCAACACTCAGATTTTTCCCAATCAAGCATTGAAAAGCGCTCACGTGGGTAAAAATAAATAATGTTTTTTGCTCTTGTCGCTGCGTTAAATATTTCACCGTTTTGCCCGGCTAAGCGATAGCCATACTCTCTTCATTTGTCTTTTCCAAATGCAGATGTAGAACATTTGATTAGTCAGTGAAGAATTGCTACAACTTCTGTCAATGCTGATGTTAACAAACTATGCAGGAAGTCGAAATATCAAGTGTCCCACCAAAATGTTAAATAAATAAGATTTTGCATTGTGAGAATATTTTAATTCATTGTTTACAATCAGGCCTGCACATCTCAAATCACCACGAGGGCCACGAGCATAAATCTGAAGGCCCGGCGGGCCGCAAACTTTGCCACATACATATTTCACAAGATGAACTACGAATCAAAATAATATTGTGAAACAGTTAAATTTAATGAAACACTTTCATTACTGGGGAGCTTAAAAATATGAAGAATCTTATTTACTTGAGTAAAAACAAAGTACAGTATTGCATATGAGATGGCAAATATGTATTTAGTGGTTCATCTACCTTGAAAACCCACCCTTCATTTTCAATATTTCTTTTTTATTAGAATTAGGTATTGCGTGTTGCAGTATAAAAAATAGCGGCGCGCTTGCATAACAATGCGGCTTTGATTGTTAGACCCGAGAAGTGGCGTGTTTCCAAATCATCCGCGGGCCGTATGTTGTGCAGGCCTGGTTTACATGGTAAAATTAAATATTTTGTGTAGCCCAGCTATTTGTCTGAACCTGGTTATATGTTAAAATATTAAAATATGGTTAAAATATCGCACACCCTTCTCTAAAGTGTCAAAGCTTTTGCGTTCATGACGTGGGCATGTCAGCAATGGCGTGTTATGAATGATGCCATATTAATGCCCTCATCTACTGGGGGCTAGCACTTCATCTCCAAGTTGCAACCCATTTTTGCTTAATATTCTGGTATCATATTATTTTTTTAGAATAACATTTGTCATAATTGTCGGTAAATAAGCAACTCAAAAATTAATTTGTGGAGTTTTACAAAAGTGTCATTGTTACAAGTTCAATAGTATCGCGGACTGAATCTTTCGTTTCTCAAAATCTTTGCTTAAATTCAGATTGATAGCGTCACCGAGGAAAAACAACTCACATTCAAACAAGTTTACGAACAAATACAATCCTGTGGAAGATATTTTCAGGAGCAAAATATAGGCGAAGGCGATGTTGTTGGCCTGGTTCTTCCTAATTGTGTGGAATATATAATAGCAATGATGGGAGTGATATCTTGTGGGGCAGCTATATCACCTTGCAATCCATTATACAAAGGAGGTAAATTCTATCTATTCAAGCTTCAGTGATGTTATTTATCAAAATCATAATTCTTTCAGAAATGCCTTCAATCAACTTCTGAATAAAGTTGGTAAAATTTCTTTTCTTGAGCAAATAAGTTTGATCAACTTTTCAGCTAAAATGAAGTAATTGCTAATATTCTATAAAATATCCCAGTCATACGAAAAATAGCCAAATAAATATTCGCTGCATGGGACATCTAACAGTACTATTAAATTCATTAACAGCGGTGTACTCTTCCCTTTAGCATTTGACTTCCTAAATTCACCCCATTTCACATTAAAATAATGAAAGCAAACTTAATTTTCCAAAACCTTTTAATAATGATTCATCCCAACAGCCTGATGACCTGCACCAAAATACATGATCGGTCTTCGGTAAAATTCATCCCCAATTCCTCATCCTTCCACGGCCCCCAGTCCGATCACCAGTCCATAGAATTTATCAGCCATTTGTTTTGGATTCGTGCACTTGGATATGGAAGAAGCCGTGACCGACTATAGGCTACGGCCCAGGGGTCGGCAAATTTTTCGTCGCTCGCGGGACAAAATTAAAGGTTGCTAGTCTTTTGCGGGTCATATATATTTTTTGAAAGTTTAAAACGGAACAGCGCGCAAAAACTGAGACAATGAACTCAACTCAGTCGTCTTATTAAAAAAAAATTACAATGACAATAAATGTGACATTGTCTTTTTGCTGCATCACGCTTGATAGCTTTACAACGCCAACATTTTGGAACATTATCTAAAAGGGCATCACTAATCCTAGTTCTTTGTTCATTTTCAAAAATATTTGTTCGCACAAATATGTACTTCCAAACATCGAAGTGAATATTTTCGCATGGTTTGTGAAATTTTGATTAAGATTTTCGTTAAGAAGATACATTCCCTCCAACATTTAAGCCGGGATGAATCTCTCGAATAGAATATGAATTTTATTTCCTTATTGCATTGCAATATATTAGAATATTTATTGCGCTATTGAACATCCGCGCTCATCATCAAATTTTCTGCGTGTTTCCATTTGTCTAATTATAATTAAATTGTAGGCTGGTTAAACGAGTAACTGCTGTTCAATAGAACCCTTAGGATATAACAAAATTTAGTCTAAACGTGTCTCACGATACATTTTGTTACGTAAAAAAATGTAATTTACTCCTCGAGCGTAGATTATAAATAAAATTAATTCATCATCAAAACCGCCGTTTGGATGTTTTCCCGGGCATAGACTTCCTTGTTCACTTCGTAACATTGGCCAATCAGCAAGGTGTAAAAATAAACGTAACAATGTCCCTTTCGCTTCCGCCAGACACATTTCTCACTCAAACAGATTTTCAGGTGTGGTCGTGAACATTACCTCATTTTCGCGTTTTTGAATTATATTCGTTAGTTTTTAGTTGTTTTTCGGAAATTTTCTAGAAGTTTTAGTTTAATTACAGTAATCAAAAAATCAGTGTAGAAATAGCTGTGGTAGACTAGGCTAAAATTCTTTACCGGTACAGATTGTTGAATGGTATGAATTAGAATAATAGTTTGAAACAAATACCCCATTTTACAGGCAACAACTCGCGAAACCGCTCTTAAAATAAGCACCGAAAATTTAGTGGTAAAATATAGGAAGAATTTTCCGGAGTCAAAGGTTGGGGAAAGGTCCATTCGGTGAAGCGTCCTGGCCAGATTATTTTACTCCGGCCGTACTTTGCCGACCACTTGGATACACAATCCTTTCGCGTGTGATAATTGCCTACGTGATTCAAACCTACGAAAGCACGCAGAGTACAGTAATCAAGTGCACGATGCGCCGAACGAAAACAGATTTTGCGAAATCGCCCCCCTATCGCCCCATTCGACTTTTCAACTACATACAAACTATCCATATATACACTACTATTTTATCTAAATAACATGCCAAACTCTTTTAAACTTATCACGCATTCCTTGCTTTATTTATTTGTAGGGGAAATGCAGCACATCTTCAAAATCACTGAGCCAAAAATGCTAATCGTATCAGACGAAAGCATCAATAACGTGAAGCAAGCTCTCAAACAATACTCAGAGAATCAAGTTAAAGTAATCATTTTTTTTAAACAATAACAATTTAGATAACTTTTGATAATTGCCCGAGAAATATGATTCATTTTTATAAGATTTGTGACACATTTATCTAGTTATGTCATCTGACACGATCTTGCATTACGTACAATTATATTATTGTATTTTAGAAAATCATAGTTCTTGGAAAAAGTAGTGAATTCGAAACTTGGGATGATGTCATTCTCTTGAAGAAAGATATTGGTAAAAATACATGTCTATTAGCAAAAATATATTGCTTGCAAATTTTCCCATGAGTGTCATTATTTTTTAGATAACTTTGTGCCCCATTGCAAAATATCACCCAGAAAAACTTTGGCAATATTACCGTATTCAAGCGGAACAACAGGAATGCCAAAATGTGTCATGCACACTCATTATAGCACGATTTCTATTATATTGTGTTTATGGTAAGAAAAACATTTTTAAAATGAAATTGAACTTAATATTTCAAAAAAATGAAATGCTATTAAACAAAGAAAATTACTTGGCTAAATTGAACTAGATAGGAAATTAGAATAATTTCCAATTAACAAATTTACAATAATGACAGAGTCGAGTATACTACTCAAACCTATGTTATCGCGACTGTTTTTACTGCTGTGTATAGCCCTCTTATTCGACTTCTGTGTATCGTGTTCATACATATTACAACATGTCTATTCGAGAGGTAATACTATGCTGGTCAGTCACAGTGCTCCAGCTCGTTCTTGCTAAATGAATCTAAAGTTTTTGATTTCTATTGTTACAATAGACGAAATACTTGTCTTAATTTCAAGGCATCATTCACAATACAAGCGTGGAGAAACTTATTACAACGAAAGACCGATGTTTCACGGGGGTGGTTTCATGTTAGTGTTGGCTGTTTTGCAAGGAGGGCTAAGTGTAGTTATGGATCAGGAGTTTAACGTTGGGGAAACATTATCAGCAATACAAAAGTACAAGGTACGCCAAATAATTGAAACCTTGGTAAAAGATTGCTATATTGCATGATATCTATAGTCAGAAAATTTGAATATTTCTATTAGAAGTTTGCAAAAATCTCATGTATTGCATTGTCGCGCCAGAATTGATGGATGATGGGTATTCCGAGTAGCGCCATACCACGTCACGGTTCAGTCGGAACTGACACGCTTTTGATAATCTGTTCCGCCCGATAGACTTAAATGACCCGGTCATGCAGTATTTGAGTCAATAAATTTTTTTAAGTAATATTCTTATATTTTGTTAACGGAGGCAGCTCAGTTATGCCATAATTACTATCTGACGTCAATTTAACATCTAACGCAGTGGTTCCCAACCAGGGTGCCGCGGCACATTAGTGTGCCGCAAAAAGATTTTGGTGTGCCGCGAAGAGATTTCATTTTTGAATTTATTTCAAGTGATTTCAATCCCTTGAATTCCACAAGAATTAACCCACGGCTCTTGCTAACAAACAGAAACGACAAATTTGTGGAGTGGTATTTCAGGTATTTGGCTATTGTTGGTTTACACAAAGCATTGCAAAACGTCTGAAATTGCGCAAATGCACCTATTAGTGACAAGAAAGTTCTAAGTTTTGCACAATGCGCGCCAACACCGTTTCGTAAAATTGAAAATGTTAAACAAGATTACAAATTATTGTGCGAAATTTTTCCTAAATTTGACCAAGGAATTATTATTTGACCAGTAGAATTGCCATTATTGCCGATTTATCGAATTATTATTTAAACTCAAAATAGCATCCAGGATCCACGCAATGACTTTGCAGGGTTTAATTCACTATTTAATTCGAAAATAAAACTGACACAATAGGAAAGTAAAATCATAAAAAGGTCAACTATCGTCTTTATAGATATCCGCCTTCCGACGTCAGAAAGGCAAATATTGTTAGCTTAAAATTGGGACAGTTAATTTACCATCGGTGGGGAGAAAGATCAAAACGGCGTAAAAGATAAAAAATCAGAATAAAATCCCGAATTCACTCTTTAATAGCTGTTTAACATATGTCGCCCATATGAACGCATAGTTTCCCCAAGAATATAAAACCAGATGTTGCGTAAGAAGTAGCCCTTGTAAAAAAAAGAGAGGACGGGCGGAAATAGCTCACCAACATTAGAATGCCTAAAGCATTCTGGATGCCCGTTGTATGCGTATTAAAAATACCCGATATTCGACAATTCGTTAAAAATATTCTGATTATTCGATTCGATATAAAAATATTCTATTTTTCCCACCTTTGCGATCGGTAATCATGCCAGTAATCTGGCGAAACGCGTGGTAGAATAAACACTGATGCAATGAAACCTAATAATAAAACCTTCATTTAATTTAGTAAATTGCACTATTTCACGAAAGCGTGGTGGAATTGAAGATTATTTCGTATCTCGAACACAGAAACGGTTATTTTACGGATAGTTTCTGCGGTCTGAAAAGTCGAATAGGCGTTTCAACATAGTAAATACTACGATCTTTGCCATCAAATTATCCTCGGGCCTTGCACGAAATTCATAACGTGAAAAGATTCGTCCATCGGTGAAAATAGTTTATAACAACTTTAAACCTATTTAGTGTTTTAGCGATAATAATCAATTGTTATAATGAAATAGATAGATTCTAAAGTTAGCTGTACTGTCGTTAAATTATTACAAAAACCCGAAAGAAATTGCATGTTTTTAATGGTTTGAATATTACTATTATGTTGAATAATACTAAGCCTCGCGAGGCATACTGGTAAACAATTTTGCAGAACATTCTGTAACTTTTTCTACCTTAGAAGGACACCGATTTCCAACTCTGAGTCGAGTGTATTCCAGACTCTAGATTCTAAAGTCTAGAATACACATAACCGAAGTTAGGTCCACTATAAAGCAGTTTTCCAAGTCAAACCTAGCATTAAAGTAAGAGTCCAAGTAGATTTATTTGAAAACTTACCCTTACTATACCTATGTACAACATAGAATGCTCCAATATTCTATCAACGACCAATTGGGTTGTTTCATATTTTAATATAAGTAAACCAGTTGATATGGCTGTTTTTTGCTACTGAACGTAGTATAAGTCTCTAACTTTGCGAAAAGAATTTTTTTTCTTGTAGTTTTTTCCTTGCGTGTGTAAGATAATGGCCAACATAATTTTTTGTGCAACAAAAGTGGGCGACGGAAAAATAAAATGAGAACTACTGGTCTAGCTATAGTATACTGTTCAATTTTCATTCATCCGAATCTAACTAAATTATTCATCATTTATTTTGATTATGCAGCCTAAAAATAGACCAATTATATGCCTTAGGTAAATCACATGTTCGTGGTGCCACCAAATTTGCTGCAACTATCGCAGACAGAATTGCATCACAAATATGATACAACATCGTGGAAAACTGCGCTCACGGGAGGTGCATCTATTTCAACAACAATAATGAAATCAGTCATCGATCGTTTCAATGTTAAATTGTTCCCAGGTCAGTTGTCACACTGTATTGGTTGATCATACTGTTCAAGCATACAGACGTCAGAACCAAATACAATATCAATACCCTAACGTAAAGAAACGAATATTTCGATATTCGGTCAAATGACAAACTCAGTCAAAGTATAACTTTCCTTTGAAAAACACTTGCCTCAGACTTTATTTGCTTTCTGTGCGTAGATCAACGATTTACAAGTATGGGTTATACCATAAGCACTTGCTTCATTTTACGACCACTCAAATCAAAATCGAGTGAATTACTTTATAACCTAACATGTTTAGTTTACGCAATGACGGAATGCTGTCCTATATCTTGGAAGGATAACGACGACTCAGTCGTTGATTCAGCTGGCTCCATCTGTGTTAACTCAGAATTGATGGTAAGTATGTTTTGGTGGGATTAACAAAGATTGTAGGCTGAAATAGTAAGACATTTTGTAGTAAATAGCTTTAATAACAGTTATTCCAACTTATGTAGAGCCGTGGGGATAATGAATGAGACAATTAAACGGCACATTTTAACAAAAAATTGATTTGTAACAATACTTGACTCTTGTTTTTCAGATAGTTGATCCGAATACAGGTAAAGAATTAAAATCTGACCAGGAAGGAGAAATTTGGATAAAAGGGCCACAAGTATATTTCTTTTTTTATTGGTACACAATATCCGTTAAAAATGCACATAAACTCCGTCTTTAAATACATCGTTTCACTACAATACTGTACTATGACTTTATTATAATATTTCCTCCAATGCGACCTACTAAGTTAAAAAAGAAAACTCATTAAGAACAAAAACAATTTAATCCCCTTCAAGTAATAGACCGACCATTCAAACAATCAAGCCAGTTGAACATTATTATCTTGGTTTAAACCAAAAAATTTGAAATATTTTTAAAAGTTATGAATTGACAAAAAGAAATAGCTAGATTTTGAAATTATGATAGAGTATCTTTTTTCAATAGGTGACCGTTGGTTATTATAAAAATACTAAAGCAACGGAGCAAACAATTAATAAGGATGGATTTCTTCGTACAGGCGATATCGGGGTTAATAAGAATAAAAAGCTTTATGTGATTGGTCGACTGAAGGAAGTTATCAAGTACAAAACTCTACAAGTGAGCCATATGATTATATAGTTTACTATTCATAAATCGATAACTTGACCAGGATCACTAGCATCCAACACCCATTTTTGTTGCACATCAGTCAGACAGAGTTGCTTTGAAATTCATTTCAAAATAGCAGAACCATGTTGTTCAAATCTATCAATAAAATTGTTTACGTGGAAACACAAAAATAAAACATGGGGATATTACAATAACTTTTTGATGATTTTGCTATCATTCTATTACGAATGTATTGAATTTCCATTAAAATCCTATCATGTCTTCCCCGGTTTCATAACATGACTTTTATTTCACTTTGTCGTATATAGGTAGCTCCTGCTGAAATAGAGAATGTGCTGTTGAGTCACCCAGATGTTGAAGATGCTGGGGTGGTTGGTGTCCCCGATCTTACTTGTGGAGAGTTACCGAAAGCGTTTGTTGTTCGAAAAGTTGAATCACTTACAGCGGATGAACTTCAAACGCTAATTAAAAGTACAAACATATTGAAATTTACTTTACTTGGAATTTTAACTTATGAATATTACTTTCTTTCTTAATTCCAGATGAACTTGTCGATTACAAACAGTTAAGAGGAGGAATCCAATTTGTTAACAAAATACCGAAATCAAAATTCGGAAAAATAAATCGCCTAGAACTGAAAACATGGGTGACAAAAAAAGATAATTAACCAATTGCTATATTGTCAATTGCATACATGGATTTATTTCTCCAATTTAAATATTTGGTTTCCACATTATTTTGGATTTTTATGTGGATGTATATCAATTTTCTCCATCTTTCGGAGGTTTCAAAGCATAAAGACATTTATCAAAAATAAAACTTCAAGCAATATATCAGAATATGTTTTGAATTTTTTATAAATGGGTGGTTCAATATCATTCGTAGATTTGTAACTATGCACTTATGCAAGTTTTGATTATTGGATAAATTTCAAACCAAACCAGTTAACAGTTAGATGCTCAAATTCTACTAAACTTATCCATGACTTAGGCGTTAGTTGCAGGCCTGAAAGGGTAATACAGTTATGATTTGTCTTTTTCGTAAAACGCAAAACAATATAGATAATGGTTAGTCAAATTAAAAATAGTCAGCCTTTTCTATAACTGTCGAGTTAGGAAAAAGATTAAACTGAACTATCACTAACGTAAACCATCCTGAAAATACCTAAATATTTCTGAAACTGACAAATACCAATTTGTAGTTGATTTCATAACATACTTCGTAAGTGATTTTATGCGACCTAAGTATGCTGTCGTTCTGTTTACATCAGTATTCAGTAGCTATAGTATATAATAATATTTTTTATAGCCCTAGGCAAATTAGAACTATAACAGAACTTGACTCTGTGGCAGCAGTCATTGAGGTAATAAGAAGGTAATAAGATACTTGAAGTCAGCTGTTAGACTTTTACTCAGCGTGCGTTTATTGGTCTCTCAGTATTGTGTTAGTAAAGCGATTCACAGTTTACATCAGCATATAGAGATGGGAATACCTACACTGCTAATAAGAAACGAGTAATTTGCCACTCATTCGCTGATGGATTTGAGGGACATCCATCAATTGAGAAAATACTTTGGCGTACTTTTATGTGCAGCAATACTTTTCATATTGCTGACGAATCATTACTACAATCAAGACCAACAACGTGTTCAAGTCATCCCAAACATTCAGAATTCTTCAGAAACTTTACAGCAATCAAACTCTTCAACCACAATTTCAAATCTGAAACCGAAATTAAAGTTCAATTCCCTTGCACCGACCTTTTTAAGTGAAAGTTTAAAAAGTGAATTAGATACTGCTCTTCGTAAGGCACAAACAACTAAGAAGGTAAGTCTTCCGTTAAAACAATAGTCTAATGAAAACCACCCGTCATTCGCGAACCCATTAATTTTATAATAGCTTTCATCTCGAGATAACCCGAATATTTGATCGAACTTTATGGTATCGATTCATTTCTCCGCAATGACAAGACTACAACTGTAAAACTATGACAGTATTCTAGCAGAAATAAGAAAGCTGACAAATCACAATAAAATAATTTGCATGTCATTTTGTTTATCTCTGATGTTGTAATATTAAACTAAAGTTTGATAATAAGCCTGTTTATTAATTTGTCTGCATTTTGTTTGCCATTCAGATCATTCTTGAATGGTACGGGGAAAATCCCAAGACAATCAGATTGCAGGGTATATGCGGTTTGTGCGAGATAACATCTAATAAATCGTTGGTAAGTTTGGTATCCTTGACTTTCTTCTATGCGAAAAATGTATTAGCAACATATAGATGTATTAGGAGAGTTCTTAAAATGTCATGTCCCGCTTGTCTCGTACTAGTCCCATTTGTTCCGCATTAATCTCCATTGTAACGTAACCTTCTTCTAAAATATAATATGTGCATGCAGCAAACAACTATTTCAATGCTGCAAAATTTAAGATCCCCTATCTTTAGCACAGAAGTCAAAAGCGTTCCCAGAAATATTTCAAAAAAATGTATAATATTTTTAGCTCAATGATAACGCCACAAAAGCTGTCGTATTCAATTACAAAAAAATATTCGCACACACAATGCCTGATCGACGAAACAGGTAAGCAATATAATATGTTAGAACAATAATTTACCGTAAAAATTGTGGTTCTTGACTAGTGGGGACTTTTGCACAAAAAAAAAACATAGCATTGTAATGGATAATCAATTTGTTGTATGCAACACAATATACTCCAATCGGTATGGAATAATAAACATATCAAAATCAAAGGATCGAGGCGTCGATATTTATCAAACTAAAATGTTTCCGGATTACAACAGCAATTAATTGATTAATTACAATTAAGTACAACAGAACTAGTCGATTTAATTTAATTTGAGTAAATTTAAGATCGAGATAATCACAAAACCCCAATGGGCATTAAAAAAGGTAACATTACAATTATGTATAATAAATCAAACTATTTCAGCCTCACAGCTATGCTAGAAGGGATTTTATTGAAAAAAAAAATGATACAACGATTTTATCTTTATTATGATGCGTAATTGAATTCCTTGGAAAAATTCAGCAAAATTATATTTCAGGCTTCATAACTGATTTTCTCTCAGTGAAAGTACAACTGATATTACATTTCGTTACAGGAGAAGAGATCAATTCTATGTTTGGCAAACTGGAGAAGCTCCACCAGCTTTGCTTTATCTACATCGACGATATTTTCAATATGAAGAAAAGCTAGGATTTAATTTAACTCAAAGTTTCCGGTATATCAATGTATTGCACTATAAGTAAACCTAAAATTTGGTAAAGATAATATCAAAACTTATTCGAATTTAAACAAATCATGAAAAAAATGTGATAAAGATATTTCATATTTGCAGTCGTGATGCTGATATTTATCATCCATACGGAAGTACATACTTATCACTTTGGAAGAAGAAAAAGTCGGAATATCAAAAAAATTTAAACCTTATTTTGGAGAATAAAAGTAGAGTTGCTGTGGCTGTTATATCAAACTGTCATACCATGCCTGGAGCCAACGTTCGTTTACAATTTGTACGAGATATCAAATCTGAAGGGATGAATTTACACACCTTGGGTGGATGCTTCAAATTTCCAACTTTTCCGAAATTAGAAAAAAAGAAGTTTGCTGATCTATTAAAAACTTACAAATTTTATTTCGCGTTTGAAAACTCTTATCACTGTCGAGATTACATAACAGAAAAGTTTTTCGTAAATGGACTAGATGCAAGCGCAATACCAATTGTATGGGGAGCAACAAAACAAGACTATGACGCAATAGCTCCTCCTGGATCTTATATATACGCAGACGATTTTTCTACAGTGAAAGAACTCATTAACTACATTAATTACCTCGATAAAAACGACACAGCATATCTGGAATATTTTAAGTAAGTTTTTTTTTTCCATAATTGCATATCATATCGTAGTAATTTTTGGGTTGTTTTTATAACCAGTGATGCAGTAATCGAAATTAAATAACAAATTGGCCCAATGTCATTACAGTTTTGTCCAAGCTTACGTGAGTCTCACAATGGAGGTAATCAGATTATTAATTTCTCCCCGCCATCTTTGCAATAAAATCATGAACTATCTTCTGAAAATTTACCTCGAAAGTTTGGCGTATATCATATTCTCACATTTCGTCCATTTAGTACATTATAAATCAAAATTACTCAAATTACAGAAATATCAATTATTGGCATATAAACATCCAAAGGCTGGTTTATTGTTTGTTTTATAATAAAGCTACAATTTAAAATAGCAAACTTAATTTTTAATAATTTGTTTATAGATGGTACCAGATGCCATTGGAAAAACTGACAGAATATGGACGTCAGATACGATACTGTCAATTATGTCGTATTTTACACGGAATAAATGTAGATGACATGTTTAATCCGAATTACAACGAGTCGACATACGAAAGACCTTTAATATCAGATAAAATATATCCTCGTTCTGTAAAATCTCTATACAATTGGTACTACAAAACTGAATACAAAGATTGCTTGAAATCACCATCAAGATTTTACAGGGATAATGTATCATTAGCTGCAAAGACATTAGCAAAAAGAACATGATTGTCACAGTTTCCTTATTTCCATATAAAGCAGACTATGAAAGTTTCTTGTGAGAAATTTACTTACAAAAACGTGGAAAATTATGGCTGTATATGCTATCTTCGCCTTTCCAAAAAACATCTCGTTTCCAAGTTTCATTCTGTTTAAGAATTTGAAAAACGTATATTTCAAAGTTTGTTTACTAACAAAATATTGTTAGATTTCAATTACAAGCGACTTGAAAGCACGATTTTAGTTTGGTCACTGATATACACATAAACGGGAACAACACCCCGATATGTGACGTTCAATACTGCAGTATAGGACGTGAGCGCTGGAATAAACAAATAATTCAGAAATGACCGCGATCCGTTTGTTTCGGCTAAGGATTTTACTATTCAGCAGCACCGTATCTTTGAGGCCGGGTAAAATTATTTGATATTAACCTCCTATAATATTTCGACTTTACATACCTTAGAATTACTTTGGATTAGATTGAGGTTGAAATTTTCGGTTATTGAAAGTTGGGACATTAGCCTGAAAGTAGGATGATTGGGTTTTGTAGACCATTGTTTTCACGGAAAACTTACCTTCTTATTTGTTTGTGCTTCACAAAGAGCAGTTTCTAATTCACTTTTTAAACTTTCACTGAAAAACGTCGGTGCAAGGGAATTCAAAGTTAATTTTGGTTCCAGATGCAAAACTGTAGTTGAAGAGTTTGATTGCTATAAAGTTTTGGAAAAATTCTGAATGTTTGCGATGACTTGAACACGCTGTTGGTCTTGTTCGTTGTAGAGATTCTTTAGGGATAAATTCGTTATTTTATTTCAAGTAAAATTTATAAAAAGACTAAAAATTGCTAATTTCGAAATTCTCCGACTTCATAAATTGGATCGTTAAGGGAGTATTTTATAGGGAAAGATTAGTAATTTGGACAAACATTTTTAAATACATAGAAAAAGGCTAAATCGTCAGCAATATGAAAAGTATTGCTGCACATAAAAGTATGCCAAAGTATTTTCTCGAGTGATCGATAAGACATCGCTCCAATCCAACAGCGGATAAGTGGCAAATTACGCGTTTCCTATTAGTGGTGTAGATATTCCCATCTCTATATGCTGATGTAAACTGTAAATCACTTCACTAACTCAATACTAAGACACCAATAAACGCTTAGCATAACAGCTGACTTCAAGTATCTTCATAGCTCAATGGCTTGGGCTATAAAAATATTACTGTAGCTATATACTAAATACTGATGTAAACAGAACGACAGCATACTTAGTTCACATAAAATCAGTTAGTTAGTAAGTACCATATGTTATGAAATCAATTACAGTTTCAGATGTATTTTAGTATTTACAGGATGATTTACGGTAATGATAGTTCAGTGCAGGGATCGGGAACCTTTTTGGTCCAGAGAGCCATGGAAAGCACCTATTTTCGATTGCATTTCCGTGCGAGCCATATATATTTTCTTCCTTTAATCGGGTCTGAAAATTTTAATCAAAAGTCAACACATTCTAACACTGCATGTTGTCGCTTAGGGCCTTGAACGGCTGCTCATATGCAGCACAAGTTGAAATCTACGATACTCCTCAGTGTCATCACCCTTGTTATGTTTAGGCATCTCCGCAGTATTTCAAAAACTAGCTTTTCTAGTCCGATCTACATATCACAAATATTGTAACCAGTACGTACAAACGGACGATGAGCTTTTCTCTATTGCTCCGCGACTATATCGATTTTTGATGTCACAATATGTTCCAGAATCCCCTAGTTTTGTCACAATGCTTGTCTGGTAATTCTTTCGCATAACATAGACATGCGCTGGGCGCGCGTTCTCAAACTTATTGGCAAATTTGGCTATAAAAGAGTTTGAAATCTCGTAACTATAGTAAGCTTAGCCTTAGAATATTAGGTTTTTCTGGGAGCCATATGCCGTCACCAAAAGAGCCATACATGGCTCGCGAGCCATGGGCTCCCGACCACTGGTTTAGCGTATCATTCATCTTTTTCCTAACTCGCCAACTAGGAAATGCTGCCTATCTTCGATTTGACTAAACATTATCTATTTCGTTTTGCGTTTCAAGATTAACCATGCCCTCACTATAATATTCTTTAAGGCCTACAACCCAGTCACTCAGTAAGTTTCGTAGGATTTAAGCATTCAATTGTTAACTGGTCTGAAATTATCCGATATTTAATCTGCCATAAGTGCATAGTTACAAATCTACGAATGATATTGAACCTCCCAATTTCTTGAAAAAAATTTCAATACTTATTTTGGTACATTGCTTGTTTTATTTTTGATTAATGTCTTTATGCTAAAATTCAAATTAGTAATAGTTCAATTAACAAAATTGTAGCTAAATTCGGTAAAATATGACACAAAATGTTGGGGGTCAATTTAACTTTCACACAACGCATACACTTTCGCTGTACCATAGCATTTTAGACATTTTCCCATCATTTTGCGAATTTGAAAGCATTTCTGTTCAATTTCAAGCACCGGCATGTATGGACAGTCTGAAAATTTATATACATCCAAATAAAATTCAAAATAATGTGCGATGCAAAAATTTAAGCTGGAGAAATAAGTCTATACATGCAATTGACAATAAAACAAATGGTTAGTTATCTTTTTCTGTCGCCCATGTCTTCAGTTCCAAGCGATTTATTTTTCCAAGTTTCGATTTCGGTATTTTGTTAACAAATTTTATTCCTCCTCTCAACTGTTTGTAATCAATAAGTTCATCTAGAATTAGGACAGAAAGGAATGTTCATAATCAAAAATTATAATTAAAGTAAATTACAATTATTTTTTACTTTTAATTAGCGTTTGAAGTTCATCCGCTGTAAGTGATTCAACTTTTCTCACAACAAAAGCTTTCGGTAACTCTCCACAAGTAGGATCGGGGACACCAACCACCCCAGCATCTTCAACATCGGGGTGACTCAACAGCACATTTTCTATTTCAGCAGGAGCTACCTATATACGACAAAGTGTATAAAATTCATATTATGAAAACGTGGAAGACTTGATAGGATTTTAATGGAAATTCAGTCTAATCGTAATAGAATGACAGCAAAATCATCAAAAAGTTATCGTAATTTTTTGTTTGTTTTATTTTTGTGCTTCCAGGCAAAGAATTTTATTGATTTATTAGAACAACAGAGTTATGCTATTCATCATGAGTTTTAAAGCAAATTTGACTGAAGTAAGACAAAAATAGGTGTTAGATTCTAATGATGCAGGCAAAGTAGAGAAATCCAATGTGACACTTGAGATAAAACCGATTTATGAATAGTAAACTATATGGCCCACTTGTAAAGTTTTGTACTTGATAACTTCCTTCAGTCGACCAATCACGTAAAGCTTTTTATCCTTAATAACCCCAATATCGCCTGTACGAAGATATCCATCCTTAGGAATTGTTTGCTCCGTTGCTTCAGTATTTTTATAATAACCAACAGTCACCTATTGAGAAAGATATTCTATCATAATTTCAAAACCTAGGAATTTCTGTTTGTCAATTTATAACTTTTCATAATATTTTAATTGGTTTGGTTGAAACTTGAAACTAAGCTAAAAATGGTCAATCGGCTCGAATGTATGAATGGCCAGTCTTGAAATAAAACGTGATTAAATTTACAGTTCTATTCTGCATTGTTTTATGACTTTTTTAAATTTTATTTTACACAAAGTTTACCTATGAATTGTTTGGCTAAATATGCTAAATCTTTGTTGATGTTATTGGATGACGTAGTTTTTTTTTTAACTTAGTAGGTCGCATTGGAGGAAATATTATAATAAAGTTATAGTACAGTATTGTAGTAAAACGATGTATTCGAAGATGGAGTTTTTGTGCATTTTAAATGGATAGTGTTTACCAATAACAAACAAATAAGTACTTGTGGCCCTTTTGTCCAAATTTCGCCTTCCCGGCCATATTTTAATTCTTTACCTGTATTTGGATCGACTATCTGAAAAACAAGAGTCAGATTTTAATACAAATCAATTGCTTATTAAAAATAGGATGTTTTATTGTCCCATTCATTATTCCCACGGTATACATAACTAGATCATATGTCGGAATAGCATTTATTGATACTACAAAATGTTTTACTAATTTCAGTAATCATTGTTAATCCTATCAAAACATACTTACCATAAATTCAGAGTTAACACAGATTGAGCCAGCTGAATCAAGCACGGAATCATCATTATCTTTCCAAGATATAGGACAGCATTCCGTCATCGCGTAAACTAAACAAGTTATAGTTAAGTAATTGATGTCGTTTTGAATTCAAGTAAATGGTCGTAAAATGAGGCAAGTGCTTTTGGTATCGCCCATAGTCGTAAATCGGTGACCTACTTACAGAAAGCAAATAAAGTCTGAAGCAAGTTTTTTTCACAGGCAAATCATATTTTGTCCGAATGTGTTATCTTTTATCCAAATATTTGTTAATCTACGTTGGGGTATTTATTGATATTGGGAATTTGTTATAAAGTAAAGTTTTGACGTCTGTATGCTTGAACAGTATATGATCATCCAATGAAATTGCCTACGTTCATACTTCAATGTCGTTGACAAATGAAAATGTTTCTCTAACTATGTTTTATTGCAAAATATTTGCTACGTGTTTTAGTTTTGCATCGTACCAAATCACATACCCTATGCGTGTTGTTATCATATAATGAATGAGAGTTTAAAAAAGTTTGAAGAACCTATATGGAATATACAATGAATGCTGTTGTTATGTTTCTGTGGAACCGACAGTGTTTTACAACTGACCTGGGATCAATTTAACGTTGAAACGATCAATGACTGATTTCATTACTGTTGTTGGAATAGATGCACCTCCCGTGATCGAAGTTTTCCACGATGTTATATCATATTTGTCGTGCAATTCTGTCTGTGATAGTTGCAGCAAATTTGGTGGCACCACGAACATGTGATTTACCTAATAAGTGTTATATTTTTAGGTTGCATATTTATATTTTCTGCAACCCAATGGCAAATAATTTAGGTTCAGATAAATGAAAATTAAAAATTATTAAAACAACATACGTAGACTGATAGTACTTTAAAGCAGGGTTTCCTAAACTGGGGTACGCGGACTCCTGTGGGTCCGTGATAACTGCACAGGGGGTCCGCAACGATATGGAAAAAGTCTGAAAAACATACATTTGACCGTATATATGTACACTGTCATATAGACATTCGTAAACAAGATATAGTCATAAGTTCATGCAATCACAAATCGTTATTGTTACGAAACTTTAACAATGGGGGTGAAAAAGATGTTGTAGAACGATTCTTGCTTTTAGCGTCTATGAGGTAGATCTACGCCATAGCGCTACATCGTCGGTAATATTGATCGAATGGGTTACTGAGTTATCACATGTGGATAGCGGTGACCGTACATTTGAACCCACGTACATTTGAACCCATGTGTATATCCACGGGTTCAATCTATATGCGGGTGCTAAACCCCATGGGTTAGGGTTAGTGTGGGTTCAACTATCCGAAAAACAAAAAAAATTCCTTAGGTGCAATAGCATACAGGTGCAATTGCCATGGGTTCAAATGTACGTGGGTTCAAATGTAATGGAACCGTGGATAACTTGTACGACTTTGCTAAGTCATTTGAGCCTGTTACCGTCGATGCAAGGAAGGGGCGTGAAACGAAGTTTAGTTAATTGTGTGACACTGTAGTTATATACATAAGTAAATTAGGTCCATGTGGCCCAGTTAGTACCAGCAGTCCGGATATCGGGTATAGCACATAGATCACAATGTTATCAAATTGCCATTGGTCTACCAGTATTATAACTTCAATATGTATTGAATCAGACATTCATGAGTTCTATTTCGTCAATAGAAACAATATCTTTTCTCGTTAGTTAGACAAAGAAATTGATACGGCATAGGATGGGGGTCCGTCAAAAATAAAGTTCACAAACAGGGGTCCGCGGCCCGAAAAGTGTGCTATGGACCTTTCCCCGAGCATCGACTTCCTTGTTTACTTTGTGACATTGGCCAATCAGCAAGATGCAAAAAGTGACGTAACAATGCCCCCTTTTCGCATTCGTTCAGACACTTTTCTCACTCAGACAGATTTTCAAGCGTGGCTGTAAACATTACCTCGTTTTCGCGTTTTTAGGCTCTATTCGTTAGTTTTCAGTTGTGTTTCGGAAACTTAAATATAAATCAGATAATTGAAAGATCACTCTGTCTTCCTAGGAGTTTTAATTAAATTGCAGTAATAAAATTTTGTTTAGAAATAGCTGTGATAGACTAGGCTGAAATTCTTTACCGATACTTTCAAAAAACAGATTGTTGTATGCAATGAATCATAATGATGATTTGAAATACATACCCAATTTTACAGGCGTCAACTCGCAAAAGCACTCTTAAAATAGCCCCGAACATTTTGCAATGGTAAAGTATAGGAAGAATTTTTCGACGGTCAAAGGTCGGGGAAAGGTCCATAGAGCAGTGGTCTTCAAACTTTTTGAGACACGACCCCATCTACAATATTATTACGTATGATAAGCACTCAAGACCCCAAGTTATATATATATATATGTTCACCTACAGACACGAAAAAAATATTTATCAAATTCGGAAATTCATTAAAAGAACCCAACAACAACCATATTTAATCAGTGTGAAGAATGCGACTGCTTCCTTCCAACGAGATCTTGCATTCGTGGCTTAATGTTGCTTAAGCTCAAACGCAAATCGTGTTCTACGTTTAATCGATTTCGGTGCTTTGATTTTAGCAGACTCATAGCACAAGTCAAGCATAGTCAAGCTTTCAAAAAGATTGATCATACGATATTTTTCTTTTATGTTTATCAGCCATTTAATAAATTGTAATTATCAATATGACGGTAGCCTGGAAAATGAGGCTTTGCAGTAAAAGCAACGGCCACTGTACAGTACATTTAAGACACAATAACGATTTACTTTAAAATATGAATTACTGTCGTTACGCAATAGCCTTATTATGAAAGAAGTCACTCCAATTCGAAATATCGAAACTTGCTAGCCTATGTAGCGTTATTCAACTGAACAGTGCAGACTACACGCTAAATTTATGATTATGATGTCATAATTGATTTATCGTAATTGCTCTTGATATTACCTGTCTGCGTGCTTGTTATTCATTCTTTTGTTTGAAGTATCTAGCGTTAAGCCGAGAAGTCACACACATAATAAAAATAATAAAAGAAAAGACAACGATGGGCACTCGGCGACCCCAGAAATATTTAAGGCGACCCCACTTGGGGTCGCGACCCACACTTTGGTGATCACTGCTATAGACTAGAGTATAGATAGACTATGTATAGAGTATAAATGATTTGCGTGACATTGAAAATCTGGGTCGAAATTCAAACTGATTCGAATTATATATATATATTTAAAATATCTTATGTCTCAAGCCGCAGAATGTTAGAAGTCTTGTACATTCCATATAACTTCATTATAACCGATTAACATATTTTGAAATTTGAACCAGCTAATTTTGTTGTTGATAAAATATTAAAGTATTCTTTTTTCGTGAGCAAAATACTTACATTAGAATGTTCTGCGGATTATTTACCAATAGTTCTCCCGAGGCTTAGTATTATTCAACTCGTGTGAGTATTAGTAGTATTCAAATCATTGAAATCGTGCAATTTCTTTCGGGTTTTGATAATTAACGACATTACAGTTAAAATTAGATCTCAAATTGACGATGTATTAATTATGACATAACAATATAGTAGTTCTGCTAATCAGTAATAAACGAGCTGCCTCCGTTAAAAATAGATGAATATTAACTAAAAAAAATCAATGAATGCAATACTGCACGTCTGGTCATTTAAAAGTCTATCGGGCGGGACAGATTATCAAAACCGGGACAGTTCCGACTGAACCGTGACGTGGTTTGGCGCGACTATGCAATGCATTGAATTTTTGAAAACTGCTAGAAATATCTAAATGATATATGCAAAGTCTTTGAATATGGATATTCCACAATATAGCAATCTTTTAACAAGGTTTTAATTATTTGACATACTTTGTACTTCTGTATTGCGAACAATGTTCTTTCAACGTCAAACTCCTGATCCATGACTACACTTAGCCCTCCTTGCAGAACAGCCAACACGAACATGAAACCACCCCCGTGAAACATCGGTCTTTCGTTGTAATAGGTTTCTCCTCGTTTGTATTGTGAATGATGCCTTGAAATTAAGACAAGCATTGCGTGTATTGTGAAACTAGAAATTAAAAGCTAACGCTAGGATTTTGGATTCCATTAGCAAGAACAAGATGGAGCACTTTGACTAGTATTATCTCATGAATATAAATGTTGTAATATGCGTGAAAGCAATACACAGAAGTTGAAGCAAGCAGTCGCGATAACATAGGTTGAGTACTCTCGATTCTATCATTCTTGTGAGTTCGTAATTTCGAAATCAATGGTTTCCCATTTAATTCAATTTATCCAGGTAATTTTCTTCGTTTTCAGAGCATTGTCTTTTTGGAATAATGGGTTAAATTTTATTTGAAAAATATTTTTCTTACCAAAAACACAACATTGTAGAAATCGTACTATAATGATTGTGCATGACACATTTTGGCAATCCCGTTGTTCCGCTCGAATATGGTAATATGGCCAAAGTTTTTCTGGGTGATATTTTGCAATGAGGCACAAAGTTTTCTAAAAAATTAATGACACTTATGGGAAAATTTGCAAGCAATATATTTTTGCTATTAGATATATATATATATATTTTACCAATATTCTCATTCTTTGAGAGCATGACTTCATCCCAAGTTTCGAATTCGTTACTTTTCCCAAGGACTATGATTTGCTAAAATACAATAATATAATTGTACATAATGCAAGATCGTGTCAGATGACATAACTAAATAAATGTGTCACAAATCATATAATAATAAATCATATTTCTCAGGCAATTATCAAAAACTATCTAAATATTATTGTTTAGAAAACTGATTACTTTAACTTGATTCTCTGAGTAATGTTTGAGAACTTGCTTCACGTTATTGATGCTTTCGTCTGATACGATTAGCATTTTTGGCTCAGTGATTTTAAAGATGTGCTGCATTTCCCCTACAAGTAAATATAGCAAAAAATAAGTGATTAGTTTAAAAGAGTTTGGTAGGTTATTTAGATAAATCAAAAGGACACTCTTAGTACGTTTAGTCAGTAAATACCGATTACGAAATTTAAACTACAAACTTCAACGCTCGAATTTCAAATGTTTAAAAACTTGTGCCAATATCACTGAGGAACAGGGTGTCTGGGACTCGTCAGGGGGTTTAGGATTCGTTGTAACGCCCATGCATGACCAGTACTTTTGCTTTTCTGGACAAACATTGGACCCATAGATCGTCTTGCTGAATGGTTGTTACCTGCGTTCTTGTTGTTTTGTTGTGGGTAGTACTGAAAATAATCCAACTAATCGATTTTTTAGTATTGAAATATCGGAGAAATCACTGAATAGCTGTACGTTTTTTTCGTGAAATTATTTTTGACTTAAACGGGATCAGTCGCACTCGCCTTCATGTTCTATTTGGTCCAGATCCCAAACTGAAATTTTGCTGTCATTCAACATTCTTGAATAGTTTTTTCTAGGCGAATAAACTCGACTTCATTAAAGCGGAATCAACAGGATTCGCGCAAGTTATCATACTACGCTCAAGTACGCAATTACCACAATGGCGCCGATTGCTGCAGCATCAAATAAGTTCCGTGCTATATCACCGGTAAAATTTGTTATCCCGTTTGTAACATTAATGTATTTATATATTACTGTTAAATGTCGCATCGAACAAATATTTATTTTGCTATATTTTGTATGACTGAGATATTTTATATAATAATAGGAATTGCTTCATTTTATACGAAAAGTTGATCACACTTATTTGCTAGAGATGAGAAATTCTACCAACTTTATTTCAGAAGTTGATCGAAGGCAGATCTAGAGGAATTATGATTTTGCTAAATAACATTACTGAAGCTTGAATAGATAGAATTTACCTTCTTTGTATAATGGATTGCAAGGGGATATAGCTGCCCCACAAGATATCACTCCCATCATTGCTATTATATATTCCACACAATTCGGAAGAACCAGGCCAACAACATCGCCTTCGCCTATATTTTGCTCCTGAAAATATCTTCCACAGGATTGTATTTGTTCGTAAACTTGTTTGAATGTGAGTTGTTTTTCCTCGGTGACGCTATCAATCTGAATTTAAGCAAATTCAATGAGAAACAAAAGATTCGGTCAGCGATTCTATCGAAATTATCCCAATGACACTCTTGTAAAACTCCACAAATTAATATTTGAGTTGCTTATTTACCGACAATTATAACAAATGTAATTTGAATAAATAATATGGTACCAGAGTATCAAGCAAAAATAGGTTGCCACTTGGAGATGAAGTGCTAGGCCTCAGTAGATGAGGATGGACATGACATCATTAAGAACATATCATTGCTGACATGCCCACGTCATGTACGCTAAAGCTTTGTCATTTTATAGAAGTAAGTGCGACATTTTTTGCCGTCGGGCAATATAACCAAGTTTAAACATCTAGAAGGGTCACAAAAAAAATTTAGTTTTACCATCTACACAGCGATTTAAAAAATTCTCACAATGCAAAATTTTATTTGTTTAATATTTTCAGTGGGACACGGGAAATTTCGCGTTCGTGCATAGTTTGTTAAGATGAGCTTTGACAGAAGTTGTAGCAATTTTTAACTGACCGATCAAATGTTCCACATCTGCATTTGAAAGAGAGTGGGAGTGTTGACAAGGGCCACACTCAATGGCTTGGCGGTCCGAGTTGTGTAAGTGAGTGGGTTCCCACAGAAGATGACTATACCGTTATACGCGGCGACTTTGGCGTTTCGAAAATTATTCGTTAAATTTTGGAAAGCGTGTCATATTAATACAGGGTAAAGCTTACGTAGTGACGACATACATTGGTAAATATAACGTACAGTTAGTTAGTTATTCGTTAAAGCTATAACTTTGACAGGGTGTTCTAAAATCTGTTGTTAATGAGTTCCATACTAAATGGAAATTGTTTTGAAAGTTTGAATTTTATCCCAGAATAATATGTAGCATTTTGAATATCATCCCGGATATCCAGAGCAATTGGGCGCGAATTGGGCTAGAGTTTACATCTTTAGAATTTAACTGTGTTGGAATGGCAGGTTACACATGGTGTGACAAATTGGGTATCATTCTATAGGAAACTTCACGGAACTTGGGGGGTCACGATCCCCACTTCGGGAAACGATCTTTGAAGTAAGCGAGTGTTGTTTTCTTGATTAGTACTCTCGTTGCTGACATTCGAAAAACTACAATATATGCCGTTGGCACTATCTGGTGTGATTTTTGACAAAACACCAACTTGTGTTTAATTGTACAAACGCGGGTCTCAGCATGGAAAATGAAACACGATGAAATTGTCTTTAGTATAGCTTAGGGTAAGCATATCTGGAAAGACAAAATCTCTGGCAAAACTTCAATGAGCCACGTTGACCAATTTGGCAACCGAAACACTTATACTGTACTGTATTATGGTATAAAAATCCACGATGTATCCAAGACACAAGATGTCGTCGCTTTCTCATGAAAATAGAATAAACACAGAAAAACGAAAGGAGCAAAATTGTTGATTAATCTCAAGAACTAGTTGTAAGAAATGTTTACCTATTTTATCAGTGGCAACAGGTTCTACGTGCCAGTCTTGCGGTTATTATTCAATTTTGTAAGCTCAGTAGATTCATATTGGGTTAAATGAACTGATTTCTTATCCAAATTTTGATTTTAATAAATATTTTCATGTATTATCTCCATGCTTTATAACACATATTAGTCCGAGCATAATTCAGTGAGCCACGTTGGCTGTCTATGCTGACCGATAATCTGGCATCGCTTTGAGATCTTGTTATTTGTATGTTATATTTTCATGTTTTGTTTTTATTTATTTATCTGATATTTGAAGTGATAAATTAGATTAAATTGTGTGTAATTACTTGAATAAACTGACTCACTAATGTTCATTACTACTGCGATAGTTCAATAAAGTAAAAGCAACAAATGTTGGATGAACTATTTGGAATCGGGATTTTTATGTATTTCTGGTGTTACCGCACATTGGATTGCACGATATCACTCCATATCATAGTTAGGTGAAAGCACCAGTTATTACCTACATTAGTGACTAAATCAGCGTTTCTCAAACTGTGTGCCGCGAGAGGTTCTCAAGTGTGCAACGGAGCTATATGTAATTTTAGAAAATAAGCTTTTCGTATTACACATAGACATGCATGCAATGGGAAAGATCGTGAGACTTGAGTATCCATATTGAATTAGACCAGGGGTCACCAACGCGTTGCCCGCGGGCACCAAGTCGCCCGCGAAGACCATATGAGTTGCCCGCCGGTCTGTTCCAAACTAAGCTTAATAACGGCTCTTATAAGTAAGCTACATCAATTAAATTTTGTCCTGCTATTTTAGTATAAATCACACTTATATGGGAATTAGAAATGACACTATATTAATATTTGTAATCATCAACCTTATTTTTATGACATCACACCGATATCACTTTCCACAAACCCGCACTTTTTCTTGTCCGTTGGTTTGTGACGCAGCAATAATACAATTATTGATTCCAAAGAAAAATGGCAGAAAAGCGATGAAAAACCCATCATTTTCACAATGAAATCATTTTTACCACCATGAAAAAAGCCTGCGTGTGTCTCATTAGTGGGGCGATCGTAGCGACGGCAAAGCGGAAGGATATTTCACATCTTGTCACGTAATCTTCCGCGCTAACTATCCACCGGTCAGCGCAGTACGGGCAGAAAAAGCTTGCGATGGGGATGGCGAATGAAGCCGTAACCGGCCAGCGGTTACGTGAACCACCCTACGGCGGCGAGGAGTCCAGCAATCCTTTAGTACATAACTATCCCCGCATGGGATTCTAACCTGCGAACCTAACGCTTAACACGATGGGCCACAGCGCCGCGACTCACTCCACCAGGAACAAACACGGAACACGCCTCACTGATGAAAATTTGCAAGACTCGCTCAGAGTTACAGTGTCAAGTTACCCATTTTATTTTAGACTTGTGCAGAGTGTTTGTAAATAATCCAGATACATTGTGGTTTCCTAGGATATTATAGTAGGGATCACCTGAAAATCAATTTAAAAAGACTCAGCTTCGAAATGCAGGTGTAATTGATAGATTTTTATTTGATACGTTGTGATAATCGTTTGATTTCCTGAAGAATCCTAAAGTTTATTAGTGTCTCTACTTCACTAAATACCAGTAGTTGTCAATATTTGAAGCTTAATCGAGCAACTCAATTTTCAGAAGTGTACATTGAACTGGTAGCCCTCGGCTTGATCTGTACCCAGAAAGTAGCCCTCGGCCTCGAAAAGGTTGGTGACCCCTGAATTAGACTGATAATATTTTGCGTTGTAGTAAGGGGGTTTGTTCCGGTACAATTGTACTGTGGTGTCATAATGTGTTTGTGAACAAGACGTCCACCTTCCACCAAGTTGACTTGCACGCTCAGTTAGGCGATGGCAAAGCAAGTTTAGACGATTTCGGCTATCTGCTTATATTCAATCATCGGTGCAAAAGCCTTCACAATAATCTAGCCATTTGCATCACCATGGCTCTGTTAACACGTATTTACTGATCTGACTAAAATTAAAAGCAAAATGGGAGCGCCGGAGCGTCATTTCAATTGTTTCTCAAAACAGGAACCCACCTAGCATTAACATTTGCAGAATAATTTGTTTAAGGCCAGCTTTATTTTTTCACAAGTGTGCCGCAAGATTTTTTTATTTGCTAAGTGCGACGCAAGCAAAAAAAAGTTTGAGAATCTCTGAACTAAACCCTAACACGGTATAAAGTACAGATACGGGTAGCACAACAATAATAACGATTACAATATGCTCACAATTCAGGTCATATATGACATCACAATTATCTTAATGCGACCCTATCCGTGTTGCACAAAAATGCTTGCAGGTGACATATTTTCAAAAAAATAGGATTTTGTGGATGCGCAATATCTGAAAACACAAGAATCTGTAGCAGGGATTCACTGTATTAGAAAATCCCTGACATTTGGGCACTTTTCAACATATTTCACTGACGCAAATTTGACCACTAAAATCCCGGACATGTCAGGGAAAAATCTGGCGTATGGCAATTGGCAACCCTAGAATAGCTTATGGAAAGTATACAAACGTATAGCCTACAAGAACAAAATTTTACTTACCAAAGCAACTTCGCTACCATACTCCTTAATACGCGACAGGAAATAATTGTTCAAAGATACTTCCGGTATATCAAAAGCCGCATGTTTTGATTTTGTGGGCATTTTACACCTTTTTAACCTAAAATTTAATATAGTCCAGTCATGTTAATATAAATATATCTTGACAAATTACATTCGCATCGGATCAGAATGTTGCATCACATCTTAGTTTGGCATTCCGACCAGTAAACAATATTTGCTCTGATATAATATACGTTGCTGCATGTCGTTGTTTGCATAGCTTAACCGGTCAGCGGGCCAAATAAAACGAACATGTGATCTTGATACGGGTTAAAAGGGTTTAAAATAAAAGTACTCGAGTCTGTGCATTGGTTTACTTTATAATTCATTTATATTCAGTTCCAAAGGTTCAAATAGGAACAGCTTTTTTCTGATGTATTTAGATAAGTTACGGGTAGTTCCTAATGTTCAGATCTACATACAGCTTGAGTGATTTTTTGAAATAAATTAATATGGTATGTGCAACACACTTTGCTCAAACTTGTTTCTAAACACGACAATTCCCATCCACGTGATACACAAATATGCATCTGTAGGATATTAATATATTTTGACTTGTTGTTGGTTGTTTGTTCCTCTGTCGTTACACGATAAATACCACGGTGTGCATTCACTGCACCAATCTCCAAACCTTGGTCAGATATACTTAACATGCATTAGATTCAAAATGTCATGTCCCGCTTGTCGCATACTAGTCGCAAGTGCTCCACACTTGTCACCATCGTAACTTAACCTTCTTCCCAAAGTATAATATATATCATAACCGAAAATATAGCAGAATTCCCCTCCATAAGCTCACCTTAATCATTTCTCCACAATCATATCTACCGTAACTCATAACACCGCGGCAACTGAGGAAAAAGTGGGATAGGTGTGGTAAGAATAAACCAAATAGACTCTTAGCACAGACGCTAAAAGCGTTTTCAAAAAGTATTTCGAAAAAAATCAATAATATTTTTAGATCAATGATAACGACACAAAAACTCGTATTCAATTACAGAAAAATATTTACACATACAATTAATTTACAGTAAAAATTCGCAGTGATTCTTGACTAGGGAAGACTTTCCACAAGTAAAAAATAGGCATTGTGATGAAGAATTCACTTGTTGTATGAAACACAATATACGCCAATTGTTATGGATTATTGAACATACCAAAATCGCAAAATCAAAGGATCGAGACGACTAGATTCATCAAACTAAACTATTTCCGGAATAAATTGATATATTGTCAAATATATATCACCTTTAATTCTTAACAAACAATATAATTACAACTCAACAAATTGATTTAGTTTAGTTTGAGTAAATTGAAGATTGAGCCAAAAACCTCAATGAGAAACAAGTTAAGATTCCAATAATTTAAGGTATATATCATAAATCTAAACTATCTCAGTCAGATATTTATTCTAGAATGGATATATTTGAAAAATAAGGGATATAACGATTCATCTTTATTATAATACGCAATTGAATTCTTTGAAATATTTAGCAAAATAACATTTCTGGCTGATAATTTACTGGCCGACAAAAACAAAATTCTCATGGTGCCTACGTTTCAACCGTTTTAAGCAAATTTGAGAGCGCTGATTCCAGAAATGCTGTTCATTTTACTCTATTAGTTCTAGTTTTTCTGCTGTGGTATATCTCTCTCTGTAGGGAGCCGATAGCTACAATAAAGATAAGCAAATTAAAGAAACAACATTTTTCTGTAATTCTATTGAACATATTCAAATTCAAGATGGCGTGCAAAAAAATGTAACTTGATGCTTATATTTGCACCCAGATAAGGAGACTTGTGAGTAGTGTTCAACAAGCTTTTTGTAGCTAGGCGCTTTTGTTTTTCCCAAAAAGAATTCTACTACAATTGTAAACGCCGTCCAAGCACTCAATTATATTGGATTCATAATATTACAGAGAGTAGCGTCATTCAAGCTTTTAATATTTCTGTGGTTAGACCTGGAAATTTCCTGCAAATATATTTGAAAAAGTCGCCATATTTCTCAAGAGCCTTCACAGCTGTTTCATGATGCCAAGTTTTATGTAGAGAGGAGGAAACACAATTTTGAAACGCTTGAAAAACGGAGAAGCCAAAACATTGAGAGAGCCTCACTGCGCACGGCCCAATCTTTTTTATCCAATGCTCTTTTCCTGACCTGCTGTTTCACAAACACAAAAAAGAAGGAAATTTTGTGTAGCCACCTTGTAACCCAAGAAGAAATCCAATCCTTTTCAAATCGACACATATGATCCATTGTTGCCATCTGTATAAAATTTTTCCAGTGCAAATTGGATTTTAACATATTTTTCTTTAAAGTTGTTGAATGGTCCCTGACTTAGAGGAACTGATCCAAATATGCCATTGTGAAGAAGACATTTTAACAACTATTTTTGGAACTGTTCATAAAAGGGCGCCAATCTTCAGCATCATACCCTTGGATACAAAGCTGCGCAGCAGGCCGGCAAAGTCGTTGCAATATACTATGCCTTTTTCATGAGTGAAATATGCCAAGAATTCATTATGGCGTTTTCTATAGAAGGTTATGAGAGTTCCAGGCTCAAGTAGATTTTTTTCTTTGAGTCTTGAAGCTAGAAGTTTAGAAGATTCTTTGGAAAGGTTTAGATCTCTAGTCAGATCATTAAGTTCTTCTTGAGAAAAAAGCTGTTGCAGTGAAGAAGAAGGAAAACCGACATCTGAAACAGTGCCTTCACTATGTAACAAATTAACCAATAATTTTGAAAATAATGACATCAAGACTAAAAATAATTCCTAAGTCATAAATACTGGAGAATATTCAAGAACATTCTAAATATGATATTTCAATATAACGTGCGAAATAGCGAATAATTTCCCATGTGATATGTTGAATGACCTTGTTTTACATGAATAATCAATGTAAGAACGGTCTCGAATAATCGGGAAAATTGTGTACCCCTTTAAAATGCGATCTCAAACATACAAGATATCGTCAACCTTATTGTCAAATATCAATAATTCTGATGATCGCTACGCTACCGTTATGAATAATAACTTGAAATTGTAAGTTGGTTTATTTGATTTAATTTGTTGTAATATAATTATCGAAGGAAATAAAATCTCTACAGGCAATTGTCTAGATCCTTGCTGTTATATCAAATTAACAGATGTCTCGACTTGAACAAGTAACAACCGATTATATTCTGTTTGGAGTCAGATCAATATCTAACTAGTTTAATTAGCCTAATTAGCAACTACAACAGAAGTCGTCTCAACTACTATCAGTGGACAAAACGGAGGTTTGGTCTTATTCGGAGCCAGGCAATTCCAATTCGGGCAGGCCTTCAAACACTGGAACGGGAATTTCATTGCAGTGTGGTATTGACCTAATTGCAGACTCGAGGTTTGAATAAACCAACGATTCCATGTTCTTCTTATTGATTTCCCTCGTGTTTAATGCACACAAGAAGCAGTCATCAAAATGATTTTCCGGTTCCCACCAGACCATTGAAATATCAAAGGGGAGTGACATTCTATCTTTTTTTGTCTACTGTCTTAGATGCTCAACACATTGCTTGCCTACAATATGTGGTTCCCGTACCTTATCTTGATCACCCAGCATTACTTTGAAGTAGGCGAGATAAGCACACTTCACAAATCATTTATTCTTTTCTGTTGGATTGCGATGTATATTCTGCGCGAATATAGCAAAATACATTTGGATTTTTTAAACAATGTCGCCTAAGAGAAGATGTAGCCGTGCTTAAAAAATGCAGCTTAAATGCAGGTAAAAAGGTATAAGATAGCAAATATTTCAACAATTTAATCTGATGAGAAAAAAATAGTATGATTTTCGGGCTCAGCACCCCCAAATTAATCTAAATCAGCTTAGAAACCTTGAGCATCAAAAATGTGCTGACCAGTGATACATAAGGATAGTTACTGTGTGTTTCAATATTCTTTAACACGTATTGTTAATAGTGCATGTTTTTTGCCTGAACACTGTGGGAAAAATGTATAGTAATGTGGGAACAATTTCCCACATATTTATTAACCCTAACTCATAACACCGTGGCAACTATGGGAAAAGTGTGGCAAAGTGGGACAAGTGTGGCAACGTGAGACAAGGATGCAGGCAGCAAACAACTTTTACCCTATTTTGGACTAGAAATTAAAATGCATCAAAATTCAAGATCCCTTACTCTTAGCACAGAAGTTAAAGGCGATTTCAAAAAGTATTTCGAAACAATGTATAATATTTTTAGCTCAATGATAACGCCACAAAAGCTGTCGTATCCAATTACAAAAAAATATTCGCACATACAATGCCTGATCGACGAAACAGGTAGGCAAAATAATACTGTAGAAGGTGTAGATATTGTTTTATATTCAATACACAGAAGAGGATTACACATGGAAAATTCGCAGTGGTTTTTGTCTAGTGAGGACTTTTGCGAAAAATAAATTAAGCATTTTAATGAATAATCCGTTTGATGTATGCAACACAATATACGCCAATCGTTATGGATTATTAAACATACCAAAATCAAAGAATCGAGGCGTCGATATTTATCAAACTAAAATGTTTTCGGAATACAACAGCAATTAATTACAATTAAGTACAACAGAACAAGTCGATTTAATTTAATTTGAGTAAATTTAAGATCAAGATAATTACAAAACCCCAATGGGTAGTAAAAAAGGTAACATTACAATAATGTATCATAAATCTAAACTATTTCAGCCTCACAGCTATGCTAGAAGGGATTTTATTGAAAAAAAAAAAAGATTTTAACTTTATTATGATGCGTAATGGAATTCCTTAAAAAAATTCAGCAAAATCATATTTCTGGCTTCATAACTGATTTTTTCTCAGTGAAAGTAAAACTGATAATACATTTCGTTACATGAGAAGAGATCAATTCTATGTTTGGCAAACTGGAGAAGCTCCACCAGCTTTGCTTTATCTACATCGACGATATTTTCAATATGAAGAAAAGCTAGGATTCAATTTAACTTAAAGTTTCCGGTATATCAATGTATTACTATAAGTAAACCTAAAATTTGGTAACGATAATATCAAAACTTATTCAAATTTGTTACAGAGTTATTGCAAATGTGATAAAGATATTTCATATTTGCAGTCGAGATGCTGATATTTATCATCTATACGGAAGTACATACTTATCACTTTGGAAGAAGAAAAAGTCGGAATATCAAAAAAATTTAAACCTTATTTTAGAGAATAAAAGTAGAGTTGCTGTGGCTGTTATATCAAACTGCCATACCATGCATGGAGCTAACGTTCGTTTACAATTTGTACGAGATATCAAATCTGAAGGGATGAATTTACACACCTTGGGTGGATGCTTCAAATTTCCAACTTTTCCGAAATTAGAAAAAAAGAAGTTTGCTGATCTATTAAAAACTTACAAATTTTATTTCGCGTTTGAAAACTCTTATCACTGTCGAGATTACATAACAGAAAAGTTTTTTGTAAATGGACTAGATGCAAGCGCAATACCAATTGTATGGGGAGCAACAAAACAAGACTATGACGCAATAGCTCCTCCTGGATCTTATATATACGCAGACGATTTTTCTACAGTGAAAGAACTCACTAACTACATTAATTACCTCGATAAAAACGACACAGCATATCTGGAATATTTTAAGTAAGTTTTTTTTCCATAATTGCATATCATATCGTAGTAATTTTCGGGTTGTTTTTATAACCAGTGATGCAGTAATATATCATACGCGTATTCTCACATTTTGTTCAATTAGTGCATTATAAATCAAAATTACTCAAATTACAGAAATATAAATTATTGGCATATAGACATCCACTAGTAGCTGGTTTATTGTTTTTTTTATAATAAAGCTACAATTTAAAATAGCAAACTTAATTTTTAATAATTTGTTTATAGATGGTACCAGATGCCATTGGAAAAACTGACAGAATATGGACGGCAGATACGATACCGTCAATTATGTCGTATTTTACACGGAATAAATGTAGATGACATGTTTAATCCGAATTACAACGAGTCGACATACGAAAGACTTTTAATATCAGATAAAATATATCCTCGTTCTGTAAAATCTCTATACAATTGGTACTACAAAACTGAATACAAAGATTGCTTGAAATCACCATCAAGATTTTACAGAGATAATGTATCATTAGCTGCAAAGACATTAGCAAAACGAACATGATTGTCACAGTTTTCTACTTTTCAACAATCATGCGGTATATAAAGCAGAACTTGGAAGTTTCTAAATTACTTACTAAAGCTTGCAAAATTATGGCTGCATATGGTATCTTCGCCTTCCCAAAAAAGATCTTGTTTCCAAATTTTATTCTGTTCAAAAATTTGAAACACGTATATTTCAAAGTTTGATTACTAACAAAATATTGTTAGATTTCAATTACAAGCCACTTGAAAACACGATCAATGACAACGAAATGTTACCACTGTATTTTGATTTATGAGGATAAACGTGAATAAAGATATTAAATATATACCGATAATATGTTTGTTCAATTATTAAGACTATATATATATATACATAAACTGGAGGGGCACAAACAACTCCCCATATATGACGGTCAGCGCTGAGATAAACAAACATTTATAAGTTCAGTAATGACCGCGATCCGTTTGTTTCAATAAATGATTTTACTATTCAACACCGTATTTTTGAGTCCGAGTAAAATTATTAGATAGTTACCCATTATTTAGACTTCCTATACTTCAGAATTACTTTAGAATAGACTTATGTTGAAATTTCCGGTTGTTGAAAGTTATCCTGAAAGTAGGATAAGAAACAGACAACCCACCGCTACACATTTGCAGTTAACAGAAAATTGCTACAAAATTGATATAAAGTTACCTCACTGACGTGTCATATATTAATGTTTTAATATAATTACCAGACAGCAATTTCAATGAGAATATAAAGACGCAGGAGTTCACAATGCAAATCGCCACAATAAGTATAATTTAATCATATATATGTAGCAAGTTTGTTGCTTGGATACCACAATATTTCATCATGATAATTTAGATGAAATATGAGGTACTTTTACTAACCGAAATAACTCTAAATTGGCTGTGGTCCGATTCACAAGAATGAAAGGATATTTTTCTAAAAACCACCAAATTCCTGTCTACAGTGTGGAAAATCCTTTCTAATATTTATATGCAAATGAGATTACATCACGCAGTAGACTCGAAGGTTCGACGAATCTAAACAAGGCAGGAGACAATGACAAAAAATTGTTTCAGTTTCTACCTTTATGGAATAGTCGTATTCTTCGTGAAATGCTATAAAGGTAACGTTCAAATTGTAAAACATATGAAGCCAGCACAGTAAAATTTACATGGGCTATCAATTCATTTGACTGATATTTTTTGTCTTTCTTGCTCGATACGTCTGAATGGTAACAAAACTTCCGCAAATAACATGGATGGATGCTTTTGAATACCCAGAACAGTAAAACGCAATTTATACGCCCACACAGAATTCAAAAACGGAAGATTTCACGTACAAAAAATAATGTATGAATCTGTCTTGTCATAAATGTTCGCAGTGAGGAGTGTGAAGACTACATGTTTGTTGTTGATTTACTTCAGAAGAGTAATTTTGAAAACACAACCATATTTTTTCAAAAATGTTCGAAGATTGTAGCCGATGGTAGTGGATTTAACCCTTTCAAAAACATGGCATACCGCGCAGACCAATCCGTAAAATAACGAGTCGAGTTTTGTTGAAATAGAAAAAGTCAGTGGTGCGCACAATTTCTTCTATCAACCATAATGACTAGTTACTAATCCGAAGTTTTCAAATTTAGTAAACTCATTTGCCAATATGACTATCGCTTCTTAATATCATTGTAATTTAAATCATGTACATAGCACTAGTCTGTTATAAATAGTGCAGGAATATAAACAATTTTGTCCAAACTCTAATTTAGGGGATAAATTTGAATTTGTTTGTATTTTCTGAGGAAAGAATAGAAACTATTTTCTGTACTTCATTTCAATTTAACACTGGAATAGAATTATTTGCGGGAATCACACTTTGTAAACTTCATGTTATCGTAAGAAAAATAGTGAATTTAGATGGGTTAATATTGTTTGGTATTTTTCTGGTTCTTCTTCGTTAAAGCTGGTGGCATGCCAACTCTTCTGAATGGAAAGAACTGCTCTAGTATGAGAAATCTATAACTCTTTTTCAAAATTGAAACCCTACTAAAAGACAGATATCGCAAGTATTTCGGAGGTATTTGATCCCAACAATAAATAAAACTTGAACGTATTGTTTTCATTATTTTGCCACGGTTCTGCTAACTTGAATGGTTTATTTCGAATTTTTTTTTTTCAAACTCAAGACATGACTGTCCGATATCCGCTGATAGAAAGACAAATGGTTTTTGAATGTAAGTTTGTACTTCATAATGCACTTACAGATACGAGATATCTTGAACCGAGGAGAGGTGAGCCTTGATTGAAGTTTTTAGGGACAGGAGATACAAATAGGTTGCAGTTTACTTAAGATATTGTAAATTTGAATCCTATAATCCAATTTAGACAGCCAGAATATAGCAGAATCGACCATTTTTAAAAAAAAGTTCCTAAATATGCTATAACAAAACTTATTGACCCGTGTGCAAAATTTTTAAAATGTACGTTTTTTTTTTTTTTTAACTGTTATTACTTATTGATTTTAATCGGTAAGTATGTTGATAGGTATTTGTCTGTCTGTTTGTCTGTTAGATGCATGCGATATCTCACGAAAGCGAGATTGAATCTCCTCCAGATTTTGCATGTGCATTCATCATATGTCGGACCAGAAGCCTATTGATTTTGGATGAATTATGTCGTATGATTAGCGATTTATTAATTAATTAGTGATGGGACACAAGGTGTCACTATGAAGTAAGAGCGCTGTTTTGGGGATCCCCTAACTTTCGATCAATAAGTCTTCGGTCTCTGACCGATATTCTCGTTTTTATATTAATCCGACTTAAATAATGTCTACTATAGAACAATAAGTATAGCGTAGAATATTGCAACATAAAAATAATTTTTATATGAATACTATGGCAAGTAAAATTAAATATATTCTAATATAAATATATGAGGAGTTGACGGTGCATGCAATTCTATTTGGGTTGATCTTTTTGGCAATGGTAAAGGGGTTGTAGGGGTTTTGAAACGCAATCTGCGTACTTCAGTTTCACACAGTTCCTTTTTGCGCAAAAAAACCCACAAAAATCATGTGATAACGCTTACTTGAGACTGATGTTATTGTAACGAATGTCAGATCATCCTTGTCGATACTTTATATCTGTAAATGCCATTTTCAATCAGGCGGGTAATCCGGGCTCGTGTAAAATTCCACAAATCCACAAGCGTACCGACAGGGGGTAAAAACAATTTCAAAATAGGACTTCAAAGTACTGTAAATATAAACTAAATTTTAGATATAATGTACATCAAACTTCTGAACGCCAACCTTTTCTTTGTGATATTTCAATGCAATTCTTGTGAACTACTCTATTTTATTTCGTTTGGTATGATGACGTGACAGCACAGCAGGTAAAATAGAAAAATTGCAACTTAAAATTGTTGGAAATGGTGAAATTGAAAGAATTAATAATATTGATGACGATTGCATCACAGACTGGTCTTGGAGACAAAAAATTACTCGAATTCAAAAATAATGGATTTACAGATTTAGTGGTCGCGATTCACCCTGATGTCCCGGAGAACGAACAAATAATCGATTCCATTAAGGTAAGTAAGAATGGAGAACTAGAAAAAGAAGAGGCTGTATTAAAAAGCTGTATTTTAAACCGAACATATTATCTTACTTCATCATACATAAATTGTCGGTGAAAAATGTTAATCGTGGTTACCCAATTGGTACGTAGGCCTAGCCCTATAGAGTTGCATCCATGCACCAATTGGAACCATAAAAACTACTTTAGGTAGTAGTTATATTAAGGCTTGTTTGGAAATTCGATTGTTTGGCGCACGTGGTGAGACAAACAAATATTTGCGATATTAGTATCGGAATTTAGCATTTTATCTTCTTATTTTAGAACATGATGACTGATGCTTCAGCAGCTCTATTTACAGCTACAAAACGGAGAGCTTACTTCAAAGACGTCACAATACTCGTCCCTAATAATTGGAAAAACAAGGATTATACACCAGCATCAAAAGAAAATTTTAAATCTGTGAGCTATAATTAACTTGCATAATGTGCAGTTACAGATTGATTTAGGATCCAAACTAGACGTACGTCGATGTCCCAGCACTCAATAACAAAGTAGAGATATACGCAGACCTATTACCTTAAGAAATAACTAAACCATAAAGTTAGTTTAACAAATCAAAATGCCCAAATATCCAACTAATTTAATTACAGTATAGCTTTTAAATCTCCAACAAACCCAATGGCTTAAGCGGTTTTTGAGATTCTGCTCTAACATTGTTCTCGGAACTGCAAATGCCGAACGATTAAACCATGTTCTATCTCGTTGTTTAAAATAGAGTCTCATTATTGTTGTAGGCTGATATACGAATCGCACCTTCTCACCCCAGCTCGGGCCATACTCCGTACTGTTGGAAAGATACGCCCTGCGGATCACCAGGGTCTTACATTCACTTAACACCAGAATATCTACTCAATTCCGCTATATCTGAACGCTACGGGCCGAAAGGTAAAACTTTGAATACTACAGTTGTAATAAAAAAAAATTCTAGAATAAGACGTCTTTCTCCGCTTTTCTCTGTTTTCTAGCACAATTATCAGTGACTCCCTTCAGTTTGAAATGAGTTATCAGGGACTCATATCAGTGACTCAGTTAGCAGCGACTCACATTCCACTCATCGCTTTTCTCCTTCGTCTAAACAACTGAGCGGCAATATAGCGACATTTCCCTGTAATGAAGACGCCTAGAAAAACAGAAAAGCTGATATTCGTATCAGTAATGCAATTTTTAACAAAATTTTAGGGCTATTTGACGGCATTCCATTTTTTCAGCAATGCCATACTGTTTTAGTTGACTTTTGTTAACCAAAACTTTATTTATCCCGGGTTTCTGATAAAGCAGGGTCATTAGCAATCCTGTTTCGATTTAAATAATTGTTTTCTCAGTTTAGTTAATTTTATAATAATAAGCACAATGTTAATTTAATCAATAAGGATTGTACCTACCAACCATATACGGATATTTGAATAGAACCAATTTACAAATTTAGTTAAAGTGAATTTATACTTTCTTAGGCTAACACTACATTAAGTTAAGAATATTCTTCATGTGTTTTTAGGTAAACTTGTTGTCCATGAATGGGGACATTGTAGATGGGGAGTATTTGACGAATATACAACGGGTGATCCTAACGATAAACCATTCTATTTGAACTCAAAAGGGCAGGCGGAGGCAACAAGGTATAAAAAAGGATTTTCTCAACTTTGCAACCAGAATGAAATAAATATTTCTATTAAATCGTTTAGATGCTCTCTCGGAATACAAGGACAGGGTTATAGAAGAATTTCAGAACGATGGGTACCATGTACCACCGACGAGTCCACACTACTACCTGAGCCAAAGTGTAAATTTATACCAGATAAAACACAGCCAAGCAACGTCAAAACATCTTTAATGTTTGCGCAATTTATTGATGGGGTAAAAATATTCAAACTATTACGAATAGTGGAGATAAACTTTAATTGCAATTATAATGTCCAAGAATTTTTTTTGTATGGGACACACAAGATTGTGATAGGAGTATAAATATATCAATATATACGTTGAAATTGACAAGGGTATGGATACAAATATATACAAAACGTGTATACCGCAATATGATATTAATTAAACTAATTTAGTGTCAAATGATATGGTTTTATTGCTGCTTAGCGACCAGTATTCAAGCTCTAATTTTAAATCTTTTCCAAATCATAGGTAACGACATTTTGTCACGACGATCCGTCCGACCCAATAAACAACCACAACAAAAACGCACCTAATCGACAAAACAGGCAATGCAATGGAAGGAGCACTTGGGCAGTTATCATGGACACTCGTGATTTTCGTGGAGATACCATTAATAAACCTAACTTTGCGATAAGGAGCACTGTTCCAAATTTTCACGTCAAGAAACCACAAATGGAAAGGGTTGTTCTTGTCATGGACACATCTGGGAGTATGAATGAGGTAAGTAAAAACTCGAGAAAGTAAATCGAAAATGAAAACTGAGAAGTATGTTTCATTCCTTAAGGCGTCCAATATAATTTGATTATGTGTTGGCAGTATCTGAATTCTTTTTCTCTAACAGAATGGCAAGCTTGAAGACCTCAGGAGAGCCGCTCGACTTTTCATAAAAAGTAGTGCTAACGAAGGTACATTTGTGGGACTCGTTACTTTCGACTCTTCTGCATCAGTTTTGAAACAGCTTACGGAAGTGCAAAATGGAGATAATAGCCGGGACAGTCTTGTTCGTTTACTGCCCAGCTTTGCAAGTGGCGTAACAGCAATTGGCCAAGGAATTCTTGCGGGGGTGCAGGTAATCATGTCATTTAGCTACGTTGCCAGCAATAAATATTTACACTATTTTGTGCAATGAAATTGTGTTAATAAATAGAACCTGGTATTCAGTGGTACATGGCTATCAGACCAGTACTTCTGAGTCTATCCAGAAAATAAAAGCGAATTTTTGGTCTTCATAAAGATTCGCTGTTCCAATCTCATGAAGATCGGACGCTTTATGTGCATCAATGGTTTACAAAAACAAACTACGGCCAAATCTCACATCTGTACCATTTTGATATTAGATCCAGTTTCGCTCGCATTGAAATAGAGGTAAAACTGGGCATTTTCAAATACCCCAAATTGAATATCCATTTCAAATCGAATCGAAACTCGAATACTTGAAAAGTATTTAGTTGTGTATGGGTTCTTCAGACAAATAAACAACCGAAAACATAGAATCCATCACTGAGACAGTTTGCTGAGTTGTTACACAGAATAAGAAAAATATTCGATTTGAAATTTCCAGCCGTTAGGCATGAGGAAATTTTACTTCATAACCTTTAGTCGTGGTTATAATATTTACCATAGATTGAAAACTGGAATAAAAATTTTACATTAATTTACACCAGATCACGTTCCAAATTACAGAGTATTTTAATAATAAATCAGTAAGTATAATATGTTTGTGATGGCGGTAATTCGGGAGATTAAATGATTTATATTCTCTAGAATTTAAACTGTAGTTTTGCGAATCGCGCTTTTGGATTTTGAGAGAATATACCTTGGCAATTACGTATGTTAGACCAACAAGAGCGAATTGCTTCCTGACTATCTGCATAATTATCGGTGTTCAATGAGCATGGTGATTGGGTCTTCTCTTGAAGCCCTATACTTAAATAGACGTTATTTCTAATGTAACCTTTTTTCCGCACTTATCTCATAAATGAAAACGTAAATTGGTTATGCGTTGCTTTACTTTACAGGTACTAAGTCACAATGGGCAGTCACCAGAGGGTGGGTATGTAATCGTTCTTACTGATGGAGAAGAAAATGTTGAACCCTTTGTTGATAGCGTGAAACCAGACGTAATGAGTAAGGTGTGTCAGTTTCGCAATAATTAATATGAATAAACTTATAAATATTGGTCTCGTTTTTAAAATCGTTTTTTTTTAATTTACAAGTAAAAGTGAAATCAGTTTTATCAAAATTATTATTATTATATTTTTAGGGTGTTATATTACAAGCGATATTTTTTGGTTTGGTCAATGTCAATTCTGACAGTTCGTTGCAACAATTGAGCTCGGAAACAGGTGGAGACTGGTACTATGCAAGCGACGCAATCAACTCTGGTTCCGAATTGAATAACATTTTTGCCTCGTTAGCGCAGTCAAACGATGGGGGTATCCCAACAGGATCTATACAAGTATTACGCTATTAGTTTTGACTTTCGCAGCTAAATAATCTGAACGCCATCAAACGGTGGTCTAATTTAGGCAGGTAATGCCATGTAATCCTAACAGAATCCCATGTAATCCCAACGAATTAGTATTATAACGGTTTATATTATATTGTGAGCTGTACAAACTGCATGCATTAGTAGAATTGATGAGATCTCTGCATATAGGCTATACATCTGGCGGATGAACAATAGGATATTGGATATGTGTTTTATATGAGAATATATTTTTATGTAATCTTTCTAAAATAAAATATTGAAATAAATGTGATAAATTCTGAATAAAATCACATTGATTTTTTTTTGTTATTTTCAGATATCTAGCGAGTCTTTTGAAATATTTCCAGACGTTCGTCAAACTGGAAAGGTTGCTATTGATGGTTCCGTAGGACTGCAAACTACATTTACTTTCAGTTGGTTGTACATTGAACCAAAAATCGATCTGAAATCGCCATCTTCAAATTGTGTTTATTCAAATGTTGTCGTCGAGGGTGAAACATGTTCAATTAACAACATTCACCAAAACGACAGCAGCTTCAAGATAATAACTTTCACCATTCCTGGAATTGCGGAAGTAACATTCTTAGTTTTGTTGTTACTCATTTTTCAGAAACTATTATTGGCAATTCTAAAAAGATATATTAATATTTGACACGATATTTTTGCTAATTTCGCGCTGTTGTGATTCTGAAAAATTACTTTTCTCTTTCAAATGTTTAATTACGTAAAATAGAAGAACCGATATTTCTCTCAATATGTCACTTTTTTATTTGAAATATATGACAAACTTTTTATTTTGTAACATTTGTTCGCCGATCTTCCCAGTAAACACGGTACTCTAAGGTTTTACCGTACCGGTACCGCAATGTTTGTGCTGGTATATTTATATTTGAGCATTGCACTCCGGTTTTTGTTTTAATTTTGTATATTGGAAATATTATGCCACCAATATATAACGATTGAAATTGTTACAATTTCTTACATCGAATCGAATTTTTTTCAAAACGATCACAATAATATTCAACTATCTCAATTAAATCTCGCACCTAAGATTATAATTTGATCCTAATTAGCATTATGATGAAAGGATATGAGAAGAATTATCGAGAATATATTTTACATACATATTTATTTCAAAGTAAAACGATCACAATAATATCAAACTATCTCAATTGATCATCAATAATATCAAACTATCTATTCTAAACTATCTCAATGTTTCAAAGTATTTCAAGTTTACGTATCAATGTATATATTGGTAGCAAAATTCTGGAAGCCTTTTTCCTAAAAAGTGTCAATTTCGTCTTTAAACTTGGTTCCTGTTTTTTTTTTCTTTGCAGTTTGGAGTTTGGGAGTACAATATTACAGGAAAGTTTCAAGACGTGGTAACCATTTCTGTCACATCTGCTCCATCCAAAGCAAATATTTATCCAATAACTGTTGAACCAGAACTAACCTTGACAAATGTTTCCGGAAATCAAGCCGCCGTTGTGGTTGCAAGGGTGAGTAGTATTAAATAGTGCAATACTGCAATAACTTTAAACATATTTATAATATCATGGTTGTATAAAAGCGAATAGCATTCTCATGGCAATGTTATTTGATTCAATTTTAATTTAGGTCTTTCAAAATCTACGTCCTGTACTTGGAGCTACTGTGAAGGCCACAATAACTAGGCCCATAGGAGAGGAGACTTCGATAACATTATTGGATAATGGTGCAGGTAAGTTGTTATCATTAACGCTTTCGCTGCCACGGGCTACTATATAGGCCCAAGCAGCTGACCCCTTACTTGCACAATATCTCGACGTTGGATGGATCAATTTCAACAATATTCACATCGACAGAAACTGCAATAAATGGCCTTACTAACTGACAATTAAAAATACATAATTGCTATTCGAAAATTTTGTGAAAATGAGCAAAATAGACCGAAGAATTTTACAAAAAATTCGATATTGGCTATGCCAGGTTCATACGCCATTATATCCTAAAGCAGTGGTTCTCAAACTTTTTCAGTCCCAGAGCCGCATTTCAAACCTCAAAGTTATGAAGAGCCGCACACAAACAACGCAAGGTAAAATAGCAACAAACCTTAAGCGCGTATTTAAAATATCAAGTCATCATAACAACAACACATGTAACAACTAGGGCTGGGCAAATATTCGAATGATATTTTATTATTCGAATATTTGGTACCACGTGACCTGAACCGCTCTGCTTGGACACCGAATTCGCGCGTCTCCAACTCAATCGTAGATTGTGTGAGATTTTCCAACGGCGCTCGCTATCAGAAAAAAACGACAAATTTGAAAAGTCGTTGTCTTTGGGTTATGGTGTTATATGCTATCTTTGCACTTAACGTTTCGTTTCAATTCCATATTTTGCAAAAAAAAAACGTACCGACCGTTCCGTAAATTTAGAAACGTCAAACCAAGTTGGGTATTTAAAATAAATTTCCCAGATTTTAAACTCCGCATGCTTGGTGACATGTCATTAGCCATTTCTTGCATTACCGAACATAAAGTTGATTAAAATTAAATGTTAAAATGACTTTTCGGCGTTTCATTGTGAAAAGGGCGATTTTGGGTCGTTAGAAAACTCTAGTTATATAAATAGCATGGATTTAAAATGACCAAAAGTTTTTCCAAAAGCTGGTATGAGTTACTTGTATGAAAAACACTCATTAAAAGTTGTAGTAACCATATAAGAAATGTCATATGCTACTCCCTTTAAATCACTTTGTATCAGCTCGACCATGCATGGCCGTTGAACCAAGAGTAGAACGTAAAATCAATCGTGCATTTCGTTGTAACAATGCACACTGACTCGTTCACGAATTGTTGCGTCTATTATCATCGAAAATGAATACAATTGTTGAATTTTGAAGCATTTGGGCAGTAATAATTAAGCCTTAAGGCATGACATAATCAAAACCTTTAAGTGAAGTGCTGAATTTGTGAATTCCGTAAAGAAAATTGAGCATCACTCAGTAAGTATTTTAGCTATAATAACCATCGGGGTGTTGTTTTTGGGAAAAAAACGTTAAAACTTGAAGGAATTAGTCATAATTAGCGTCCGACCCTCTATTAGGCCCAAAGGCCTTTATTGCCAATTTATTTAATCGCTCTTTTATATCAACATTCAGAATTCACGCAATCGTAAATTTGCTAGGTTTATTTATATAATAATAAAATAACACGAACACCATGGAAAAGCATGAGAACCTCAATTATCATTTCAAAAAATATCTGCATCTCGGTTACTGTTCACTTTAAACAGGCACGGTTAATCTCCAAGCGGTAATAAGGAAGGTCAAATCCAAGGCAGGGGATAAAACTCAGAATAAAATTAATTTGGTTTTCAGCCCATAATGTATTCAACAGCTGTCGCTGATGTGAACGCAAGGGTATACTAAATACTAAAACAATCATTGAGTTATTTGATTTATACATAATATTCGGAAATGCGACAAAAACTGGAAATCCACGAAGCCAATGATTACAGCCATGTCTAAAATCTTTCCAAGTGAAAAGTGTCCGAGTGGTCGCGAAAACGCTTACTGTTGCGTCACTATTGCATATTGTAGATTAGTCAACACTACGCAAATAAACACGGGGGAATCCATTCGACTGACTAATAGACTTCTGCATTTTAATTTCAAGTCAATGGCTAGTTTTCAATGAAAAATTTTCTTTGAAAGTAATTAATTTTCAAACCATTAACGCAGGAAAGGTTGTCGAGAGCCGCATGCGGCTCTCAAACCCTAGTTTGAGAGTCACTGTCCTAAAGTATGTAAGATAGAGCAAAGTACTCGCTAGAAAAATTGTACACTGTTTAAATATCTTTCCATCGATTTTAAACTAAATATTACATCTTTACGCTGAGTTCATAACCAATTAAGTTTGCCATTTTTAGTGGCATTGGTATTTTCATGGTTCCATACGATTAAATTGCGTACGTTACGTATTCGTCAAGGTTACGGGTCGCGTCGACGCACGATCTATTATTACGGTGACGTCGTTGACGACGTAATTGACGTTATTACGCAGCGCACGATTATGGCGACATGGTGGCGCCAGCAGAGACAACAAAGCGATGGGCAAAATGTTGCGACACCGCAATAATAATGTTAAACGGAAAATTGCGATTATATTTTGGTCCTGATGCGGTGACCAATTGTATATTGTACCATCACCAGAAAATATAAAACGTACAAAAATAAAAGAAACTTGGGTGAATGAAAATAAACAGGAAATTGAGGTGAAGAAACAGTCCACAATGATAAGAGGCTGTCAACGATCATGTATTTCCATGTGATATAACTCTGTACATGGTGCGGGGCAAAAAGCAACACCCCTGCAAAAATATTTGGTTCTTGTTCGTCGAGATTGTCGATCCGAACATTGCACGCAATCACGATATATCGTAGAGTTGGCCAGCGAGGTTTTAACAAGTCAAGGCATATATCGTGGATAAAATCTTCCAATTCTTTCCGGACTCCACTATACAGAATATGTGCATTTACCGCGCCAATGCTTATCAAGGCATCGAAGATTTGGAAAAACCGCTCTAGTCTTTTGCGAGGGAACAAATAAGTTATCATTCCATGCGATCGACCTCACCCATGGATCTTGTGTAATTTTCAATACACAAGGGCTTTTTCCAGTGGCGTAGCATCCACCCCCGCAACCCCCGCGGTCGCGGGAGGGCCCACAGCGCAAAGGGGCCCTAGAGGTTAGAATTAAGAAATGTAAGCTGCAAAACCAAAAGTTGCATTGCAAAACCAGTAATGCACATCTAACGTTGATGTTAGTTCAGCTCAAATCGTTTTGTTACGTAACAATGCCAGAGAGTCGTCGATTTTCGACGTCTTGTGGTTAGATCGCACCTGCAAAATTACGAAGGATGTCAGAATGATGTCGAAAGCAAAACAAAAAAAGGGCTGAAGAGGAAGCACGTATGAAAAAAATTAAAGTAACCAAGATAAACGGCAAATTTTATGTTACCATTGCCTTTTAATAGCGACATGTTATGCTTTTTGACGAAATAAAAGAGCGTTGTGGATGGATAACAGGCCTATCTACGTACTGCCAAGTACAGACCAAAATTTTTTTCCATCGCAGGAATCGCTCTTCATCGCCTTTTTTAAGTTGGCTTTTCGTCATGTTTTTAAACAAATCCGCATAACTTTTCTATGATATAAGTTCTGGCGTCACATCCAATGACGTTGACGGCGACGCACAGCTGGAGGCCGCGATATCGACGACACGTTGTAGTTACGCAACAACGCACGATCATCATGACGTAATTTAGGTGCGTCAGAGCGTCGTTCGATGGCAACACAGGCAAAAAAGTAGCAAATTTTGCAACTTTACCGCTTTGTTGCTCGAAAAATTCAAATGCAAACATCATTCGATTTTTTGTGTATGAAAAGATAAATATTTTGGTTACCCAACTGTCATACCTAATTTCTCGTTTTTTGTGGAAAACGGCACTATTAATCGCTTTATTTTTTGTACAAATTTTTAATTATATTTTTTCATTTATCTTTTCAATTGAGCCTTCTAGAACATAAATAAAATGATTATTAGATAGCCATGAAAAAACTGAACAACTTTCATATTTTTTGTGTGGCTAAACGGTTTTAAAAATATAGCCATTTGAAAACGTGACTCTCACTTTGTGACTTATAACTATCCGGAGTGGTCTAGCATTATGTTGGTTGATTAGGCATTGCATAACTGAAACTTATAATGTAAATTGCAAAATATATGGCAACGGACGACGAACAAAATTATTAACAATATGGAATATTTGACCCGATCTTGATTCTGAATTGTGAGTCATTTGTTGGTACTCCCGTAGTATGTGAACATACCATAATTTCAAGTACAAATACTCTGGGAGACACTTGGCTAGTCCCCGAACTCGTAATATACCGGTAACTAAAATAAGGAAAATTAGAATAAAATTATGGCCTAACCCTACCTAACCTGATACACATACTACGTTCTGGTGTCCACCATCTTGGTTCACATACTACGTGAGTACCCATTTGTTTACCAATTTCATACTTGTGTCATTTTCAGGGTCCGACGTCAATTCTATGGATGGAGTTTATTCAAGATACTTTTCTAATTTCAATGCACAAGGAAGATATTTTGTTAAGGTATATTGAAACTAATACATATATTTTGTAGATCATATCATACTAATTTTAATTAGCATAGGTGGTGTAGCGACCATACAGTCTCAAATTAATATAGGGTAAATATACTTATATATAATAAGAATTGAAAGATTATATGTAACACAGGTAAATGTGCAAAAAGGCGGGGATGAACCAGTCGGAACTGTTGGATTTATAGGAGGGTCGGACATTAACACTGGCTTTATTTCGGACGACGGTGAGATAGTAAACATGCCACTTTGGTTATATGTAACTGAATTTTTCGTATCGAAATTTGAGTATATATGGTATAATTAATATGTAGCCATTTTTTTATTTGAATTATTCCAAAATTTGAATTATCCCAATGCAGGAACGTTTGTGCCCAATGTCAACAGCATTGACATCGAACCAGTTGACTTATCTGGAGCAACAATTGATGGTACCTTACAGCGAACTGCATCCACTGGAGGATTGGCCTATACAGGGTAATACATAAAAGTACTTTCCTGAGTTATAAGCTTCAGTTGAACTTATAAGCAGCGCCATCAATTTGTTCCAATCCCACACAATGAATCTGAGTGAATCCTGCTTTAAACTCCAAATTGATGTTCTGACAACCTTCGTGAATTTCCACCCAGTGTATTTAATTTATATATCGGAAGTATTCAATCTATTTATATGGTATTTCAAAACCATCAAACTCACAAAATTGTTCTATTGTCAAGAATATACAGTGTCTTATGACTAACGACGTTAAAAAAATTTCAGGCAAGTTGTATTTCGGGACATATTTCCACCAAATAAAATCACGGATCTTGGAGTCACACAAGTTGATTTGAACGATGCAAGTTCTGGCATTACGCTAAAGTTTACTGCACCGGGAGACGATTATGATTCTGGCAACGGTAGAAAGATTTTCTTATTTATTCCGGGGAAAACAAAAGCCGATAAGACGACATATAACATGGCCAATTATAATTAATCATATGGCGAATCACGGCTCCACGTCCAGATACTAGTTCATGCCGGGTATGGGAATAGTTTATAAAATATATGTTTTAGGTGCCTGGGCTTGATGGTAGAGTAGGCCGTAATCAACCTGCCGTTACTAATCACCTTATGACAGCGATAATTATCATAATTATCCCCCGCGAACCGGGACAGGGTAATCAAAGGTGCGATGTGCGTGTGCCTAACGCTCAGCACAATGTACCAGTCGCCGAGCCAGGGCCACAATTCCATTTGTATAGTACAGCTTCAGTACTATTTCTTACATTGTTTAATTTATGTCACATCAAAAGTTGTCACGGCATCTATTGACAAGTTTTACTTTTTTATTTATTCTTGACATAGTTATGGGTTAACAGCATGTGTGATGACATTTTTCAACATTCAGCGTCATGGTATGAGATCAAATACACATTTAATGATTCCTCGCTGCTGTTGTCGGAATTTGCAAACCAGACATCCGTACAAAATGTATTAATTACTGAAGGAAATTTGAACAATCCGAAGCCGGCTATGCAAATGGAGAGTTTCACCTTTACCATCTCAACGTTTCCAGACAATGCGGCTTCTGTTCAGTGAGTATAGTATGCATATTAGATTACAAAGTTTATGACATGTTAACACAAATAGTGAAAGAGTTCAAAATTCAATTCAAGAGTAAATAAAAATACGTACTTATATATTGTTGCAAATATCAATTGATAGTTTTTTTTTCAATGCTATGGAGTCGGGGTTTGGAGGATTTCATTGGAGTTGAAACCGGAATCTTACTTTCAAACTTTCTGAAGTCGGAGGTCACATTTCTCCCAACTTTAATGCAGAAATACCTAGCCCACTCTACAGTCCCAGTATTATCTTAACCAGACTATATATATAATGCTTTATTAAATATTGATGATTTTATTTAAAATCTATAACATTGTTTTCTACAGAGTAGCATTGGCTGTGCGCGCTTACGATGAAGAGAATAATCCATCAGAGATTTCAAACATTGCATTCATCACATTTTTTATCGAGCCACCACCACCCGTGAATCCAACAACTGCTCCAAATCTACCATTTGGAGGTAAAATTAAACACAAAATCTGCAGATGAATGAAGCACTGGATATTAATATCAATTTAATACCTACATATTTATTATTTGTATTTCAGACAAATTTTGGTACTTCATTGGAGGATTAATAGGAGGAGTAGGTAAGGAGAGTAAAATGAAAATATATCGTTTTTTTCTTGTGAACCGGCAGAATTTCATTTATTGGGCTGGTGCAATTTAATTTGTATAATATAACTCAATTGATATTGCAGAATGATTTTGACAACATCCGGCAATATGAACGATGTTCAACATTCTTGAATAATAAAAATATAATGAATTATCAATTATTTACTTTGCAGTTCTTATAACAATACTTGTCATTCTCGGATGCCTGTTTTGTCGGAACTGATGCTTACATACAAGTGAAGAATAAAAACCAACCGTGATTCTTATATTCATTCAATGAACATTATCTTGAATAGTTGTATCTGATTGCTGCTGATCCTGATTGCTTAATGTTTGCCCATATCTTATTTCGTATATGCTCTACTTTGCACGTTTTATTCTAAATGAGTGAACAGTTATCACTCAATTCCAATCTGCCTAATTGACCTTAATCATTCAAAACCCATCCTACGCGCAAAAATAAAGTGAGATATACCAAACAATTTTAACATTGGCTCTTATGGGGAATGTGATCACCAGGGCAGAAATTTGCATTGTTTGTGATTTTCTAGTTATCTTTCGTTGTAAACGTGGGCAGTTTTATATATAGAATGATTTTTAGATGTTCTTCGATATTTTATGACGATTAACATGGTCAAGTTTTTTGATAATCGTACATTAAAATTTTAATGGGTGTTGTGTTTCCGCTGACGTCTTTCCACCCAAACTATGACATTCTGCCAACCTGGGAAATATGCAGCGCTAATGTTGCCTTGGGTACCGGTAGTGGTGGGATTCAATTTTTTTGTCATCCGGTTCCATCATACAATTGTCATATTTTCAGGCGGTTCTGTTACAAAAAGTCATGTAATGCTAACCGGTTCGTTGATCTCATAAAATTCCGTGAGACGGTTCTATAGAACCGGTGCAAAACCGGCTGAATCCCACTACTGGGTACCGGTACTGAAAGCGTTCAACATTGACAGTCTTTTATCTATATCATTTCACTCGCGCGTTTGTTTACTGGTTTTACGCATTCATACATGTACAGTTAGCAACCACCTATTGAAGGCATGCTGACGTGTTATTTATTTTAAAACTACCGGTATCGCACCGAGAGGGTGGAAACTAAATAAGGACATAATAAGAAACACGAGCAGTTGGAGCGCATATTTCACAGATTACAACGCGTTGGCAAAATGTCATGGAAAAGTGAGACAGACGCCAGCGAAAACAACACGCCCACTAAAATTTCAATGAACGATTATCAAAAATCTTGACCATGTTTATCATGATAAAAATATCAAAAAATATTCTATCCTCAAAACTCCACACGTCTACAATGAAAGATTCGCGCGTAGGATGGGTTTTGAATGACGAAGGTCTATTGACAAACAGGTTTTTCATTTAATCAATTCACTGATTAAGTCCCTATCGGGTACCTCTTGTGACTAATTTGTATATACTGCTAATGAATATTCAGACTACAATCACATATCATTGAATGATACGAAAGAAATAAGAGTCGACTATTTTATAATACTTTAAATCAGGCTCTAAACTTTAGATAGGGTTCAGATCATATAATTTTGAACACGCCTCGAAAGTCATGGCAATTGCGCTCGCTTACATGTAAATAAAATTATACCTTGTCGTAATTAAACTAAACCGAGCGTGGCGAGAATCATCTTAGGTGAGAAGTCAAGCACTCCTCTGGTAGCCAGAGTCTAGCGCAGATTTTCCCAGAATATCTTTCTAGCAAAGTTGTATTCCATGAAATTGGCCAAAGTAGTACACCGCCCAAGAAATGCAACGATATAGCGTATTTCTTCGTGTATAATACGCACCCATGTATAATACGCAGGGCTCTTTTAGGATGTGAATTGTATGAAAATACCAAGGTTCATGCATAATACGCACGGTCGAATTCAGTCACTCACTTCGGTCACTTGCGTCGACCGCATTTGGTATTTTTGAGAAGCCAGCCTAGCAAGTTTCACTGTGAATTTAATAATATGTTTCAAGTGTTTATGACATCTACAGGTCTGTGTCTGTCAATCTCGGAGTGCTGTTACCGCAGGCTTTATCGTTCTTTTACTTATCTTACTTAGAGCATTTCGAAAATGGTTGGGAAAAAAAGATTTGTGAGCGTTAGGTTTGCCGATTACTCGCGATTAGTCAAAACGAGAGAAATGAATCAAGCCGCAAATCAAAGTGAGAAAAAAAATGATTTAGGAACATTCAGTTTTGCCGATACGGCAAAACAGAATTGAGGGACGCCAGACTGGACAACAACAACAATCAAACTATGGATTTAAAGTGACGTTTTTATCACTCGACACTTATATACACTGGGTATCGAAATAGATGCGTTGTTCTTTGTTAGACGAGATAGTCCATTCAGTGGGTGTGATTCTACTGCAACAAGCATGATCTGGTTATTACGGACTTTGTCACATAAAATTAATAGAAATGAGACAGAAAGGAAACATGTGTATTTGGCAATTGCGTGTAAAATATCGATCAGGATTATTTGAAAATTTTCTACACCAATGTATAATACGCACCCCCTAATTTCGGAGATGAAATTCGGAACCGAAAGTGCGTATGTAAGTCCGAAAGTGTATAACACGCACCCCCTAATTTCGGAGATGAAATTTGGAACCGAAAGTGCATATTATACACGGATAAATACACTATTCCCAACAGCCATTGAGACATTGTAGTAGCATGATTTGAACTCGCTTAATGGCCTTAGCTGCTGCCTTGGTTTTTCACATTCCCGATGGCACTAAAAACGCTCATTCCATTTACAACAACTTACGAATGTGTGGCAGCTTTTTCTACGTTACTCACTATTAAAACAAAATGTTTTAACAGAATGTTGAAACGCGAGACATGATTTGTGAGTTGAGTTATCCAGAACAGAACCCAAGGTAGAAGAACTAGTGGAAGCCAAGCAGTCACATTGAACTGTTTTAAAGTCATTAAATAGATGAATGCTTGATATACCGCGTTGTTATTTGCTTTCATTTCTTTGGTGGACCGCGAGTCATCAGAAAAATTGCAAGGGGACCGTTATGCATAATTTCTCAAAAAGTTTGAAAACTACTGGTATAGTGGAATCGAATCCTTGGGGTAATGTGCCGTGATGCTGTCTTTATTGGCGGTTTTCAAGAAATCGCCACACCAAAAACGATAATTTTTCGAAATTTTAAAATAAATGCACTATGGGACGTAAAATGTTTTTTATTACTTTATACTTTCCGCAACTATCGATGTATGACAAGGCAAGAAAGATTACTGTATTGTTGCAAGCAGGAAAACGAAATGCCCGCGCCAACACAAATGCAGTTTGAAGAGTACAAAAGAAAGTGGCTAGATGCTGTCAATGGATCTTGGCTTATATTAGTAAAATAAACTACCATTTATTGTACTAAAATTGAATTTCTAACATTGTAAGGAGATTCAATGTTACTATGTATTCAAAACTAACTCATGCAGTTATGAAACAATTGTTTTAACAAAAAAGGTACTCCTAAAGTATTCGTACCAAGATGGCGCACAACCTGAACATTGTACCAGCATGTGTACCATGTTATAGTTCAGGATGCGCGTCATCTTGGTACGAATACTCCGGAGCGCTTTAAGAAATTGCTCAACATTATATACTCCATGTAACAGCCGTTCTTTGTGACCTGGACGACACCGACTGCACACTAGATATTTATTAACAGTTCAACGAGAATATCGGTCAGCGACCGAAGACTTATCGATCGAAAGTTAGGGGATCCCCCACATCAGAAACTGCGGTTTCGATTCGAAAAATTCTGCAAACCCGAACTGGATTGTTTTGATTAGTTTTCAGCCAATATCAAAAATGTAGGAAACAATAGACAACGCCCCATGTCGACATACTACTCGAGGAAATACTTTTATGAAGAGTTCTGCAAAACCGAACTGGATTGTTTCGATTAGTTTCCAGCCAATAGTTTATTTACCAATTCTATATTTTGTGTCAAATACAACGGCGCAAACCCGGGTTGCGACGGCTATTCAAACACAGCCTAGCGATATTTCAGTAAGGAATTCTGCGACCCCGAACCTGATAGAGGGATATGGACATTGCTTAAACTTAAAGAGTAATTATAAGTAACGAGATACGATCTCGCGGTGTGTATCCTTCGCTCTGACTCACTAGCGTGAAAACTTGCGCATCGGACACGCACACACACATTCAGCGGGTGTCGAAAATCTCTCGCTTTGTGAAAATCCAGATCTCTTCATCACTAAATAATAACTCGCTAATTATACGACATAATTCATCCAAAATCAATAGGCTTCTGGTCCGAGATATGATGAATGTACATGCAAAATTTGTAGCAGATTCAACAACGCCTTCGTGAGATATCGCGTGCATCTAACAGACATAAAGACAGACAGACAAATACCTATTAACATACTTACCGATTAAAATCGATAAGTAATAACGCGGTCTTTCAAGCCCCAAGTTTGTATCCTCAATCCAGAAAATCACACAACTCGAAGTATACAGTTGACATGGTTATCTTAATACAAACGTAAAATCAAATCATCACAAAAATATTGGCAATAAAATATTAATCATACACAATTCAGCCTTTATAAAACCTACTCAAATTTATGAACACAATTATCAAACGTAGTTAATTAACAAGTCCAACTAAATTACCATTAAATAACTTGCAGCCTTCAAATCAGAAAGAGTTACAAATTATAACATACCGAATTTGTCTGCTATTCCAGGCTTAAAATATTTATAAGTTGACAATGAAATCATTCGTCAATGAAATCCGAACAAATCAAAACTATATAACTATAAAAACAATCACAAAGGCAATCTAATGCTCATAAAATATCCTTAAACTGGGCCTAGGTGGAGCAGCCCTAATCTACATTATTTAATCGTCTTAATGTCAAAACAGAAAGTCAAGGTCGCTAAACAAATTTCAACTTATTTAAAAATACAACAAAACGAGCGCCATTCTCTACAAAAGTAAAGCGCTATCCAAGACAAATTACCGAAACTATCCCTGTCTAAGCGAGACATGCCTGGGCAAGCAATTGCTCACGTAAACTTTCGTAGTAAAGTGTGTAGAAGCACACTGTCAATCAAGGGAAATTACGGCGTCAACAATAACAAATAAATTACTATACAAGTTAAACGGACGCAATGTCCAAGTCAATGCAAAAATCAAGTGAATAAACCCCACGCCATAAATACCACGCCCACCTGGGTATCATTATTTATTTTATGTCATTGACATTATATCTAAACAAGAAAAAAAACTTTATGTTTCAAAACGAGCTTCGGCCACGATTCTACCGGACTATAAGCAAAGATGTCTCTCCCGATGTTGTACGTTTAACTTTGACGGAACATATCGAACGTCACTATCGAAACTATATAAAAATTTTCACTGACGGTATATGAAAATGGCTTTAAATTCGCCTTTTTCGTGCCATCGAGATCAGTCGAGCACAGCTACCCTTACCTCAACTGAGCTCATCATATAGTGTAAAACTAAATGCAATCCTACAATCGCTGAGATGGCTCAACGATCAAAGCAATGTATACGAAATCGTTATTTCATTGGAATGCCGTCATCGTGGATTCCCGGGCATAAGAACATTCCGGAAAATGAACGCGTAGATACACTAGTAAACTTGTAAGTACACTTGTATGGACATTGAAGAAAATGAAGCTAAGTCCTTGTTGTCTAATTTTTGTCATCGCAAATGCAATACCGAATATATACGAAGTAAAGATGCAAACCATTTTGAGATATTTCACCCAGAACTACCCATAATTCAATGTTCAAACTTACATCGGAAGTACGAACTATTGCTGTTTCGTTTACAAACGGGACCTTGTCGATTAAATAGCCATTTACAAAAATTGGATGTCATCGAGACGGACTATGTTTTTTTTTGTCATGTAAAAGAAACTGTTGCCCATTTAATTCTGTTGTGCAGACGCTTCACTCATCAACGATCCGATTTACTAAGATTATGTGCCGATTACGATGTAGCCTACCGTTCTGGCATCAATATTTACTAACCGATTGTAGAATTTTATTTTTCATGTTCTAAAATTTGTCGAAACTACAGGTAGACACATTCAATAGAAACAAAGGAGTTCTCTCAAATATTTTCCTATAGATTACCGTGTATTCCCGGAAATAAGACTGTGTGTTATTTCAATTTTCTACCGAAAAATAACACTGGGGCTTATTTTCGGGGGATGTCTCATATTTTCATTTATCAAAATTACAAAGTAGAGAATATACGAGATTTTCAAATAAATAAAATATGGAAACCGATACCCATTTACTTATAAATAACAATTTTTATTCAAAATAACTACAAAACATAGATTATTATTAAGATTTCTTGCTATGGGCTAGGTAAAAAAAATTCGCGTTATTGACTAGGTCTTATTTTAAGGGTGGGAGGGGGGAGGGGATGGCTTATATTAAAATCGTTTTTAAATTTCAGGTTAGGTCTTATTTTCGGGGAAAAAGGTAAGAGCCTATCACGACCTGATGCAGAAAGCTTTAGTTGAGCTATACCGGTACGACTGCTATCACACACAAGACACAACTAAACAGACTGACCGACTGACAGGAGACATCACCGCAGTGGGGCTGGGGTCTCATGTAGTTTCGTACCTAACATACTTCTAGTGGGCGTAGCATGACAATTTTTTCACGTATCGATCCTAACCCCAACCTGACTAAACCATCTAAAAATTACGTCATCACGACGTCACAGTGACGTAATAGAGCCCTTGAACTATACGAACTGCCATCCAAAATGCGCAAACGAGTACCCGAAATCCAACAGTTATTTCTCTCGTTTTCTCGTCGCAACGATTCCAATAGGAGAGAGATCGATAACGCCAGTCAGTTCTTTATCGTCGGCGCCAATGCCATTTCGGGCGATTGTACGCTAATTTGGCAAGCTCTATGAAGTAATGTGATGTCGTAGTGACGTAATTTTTAGATGACGTAGTCAGATGGGGGCTAGGATTGACATATCAAAAAATTGTTATGCTACGCCCACTAGAAGTAAGTTAGGTACGAAACTACACGAGACTCTAGGGCTGCAGATTGTTCAGTTGTCTGTGTTTAGCTGTTACTGCAGTACTGTGTTAGAGGCAATCATTAGAATTAGGGAAGAACTTTACTGTCTTATCTCTGTCAGTATGAGGCAACATTTGCTGTATTCAGGTTTCGTGAAAATGGATTTATGTCTGTAATCTATGTAACAATAGGCCTATCTAAATTTTAGATTTCAAAGTACAGAACTAAAGCAATCTTTTCTCTTTTTGAAGTTTATTAGTCATGACAAAACACAGCACGACTATCTACTGGTTTTGGAGTGAAAAATTTTGGTTATCCAACAATTTAACATGGAAAGATTTAGAAAATACAGCAAAAAGAAGTTATGGCCAAGCTGGTGATTTGTTGTGGGCTGTCCCCCTAGCTTTACTTCTTTTTGCAGTACGAGTGCTGTTTGAGAGATTTATTGCTAAACGAATGGGGATGAAATTGAATATTCCTGATGCGCCTCACAAGCGTCCATCCGAGAACAAGATATTAGAAAAAGTTTATGCAACAATAACTAAAAAACCAGACCAAGAAAGATTAGATGGATTATGCAAACAGCTTGACTGGAAGGAACGCCAAGTTCAAAGATGGTTTCGCAGACGTAACAGAATAGAAAGACCAACAACTCTCAAAAAGTTTTGCGAGGGGGCTTGGCGATTTTTCTTTTATTTTTCAAGCTCTATTGCAGGGATTTTGATTGTGTACAAAGAAGAATTTCTTTGGGATACGAGAAGGTTCTTCACGAATCATCCACGCGATCATCAGTTAATATCTTCCCATTACTGGTACTATATGCTAGAATTGTCATTTTATTGCGCACTTTGTTTTTCTCAATTTTTTGATATTCGAAGAAAAGATTTTCTGGAAATGTTTATCCACCATATTGCTACTATCATGCTCATTTCATTTTCTTACATTGCAAATTTTACAAAAATTGGTGTCGCAATCATGCTCACTCATGATTTTTCAGATGTTTTCCTTGAATTTGCGAAACTTGCAAAGTACGCAAAACGTAAGAAATTGACAACTATTGGATTCATTCTATTATCTATTACATTTGTAGCTACAAGACTGGTCATATTTCCATTTGGCATCATTAGCAGTGTATGGTACGAAGGAATGGTTATTTTGAAACCATTTTCTTTTGCTTTACAAATTCTATTTTGTGCTCTTTTATTGTTACAAGTGCTACATCTTTACTGGTTCACTCATTTATTGGGAGTGGCATACTCAACATTATTCCTCGGTGAAAATGAAAGAGATTCCCGGAGTGACTCTGAGAGCTCTACTTGTGAGGATGACAAATAGCACCACAATGATTTTAAAACCCGTTTAGACTGTGTTTAGGTACATTCTTTTGATGCTGTGCCATAAATTTTGAGATTTTTTGAAAAAAGGAGAGTTGTGTTAAATCATGATTAATGTTCAAGTTTGAAATGATTAGTACATTATGCCAATGTTTTTTTTCTATTGGTAATATGCTGCAATGAAATAGATTTCACATACTTTCATTTCAAGATGTGTTGTAATTTTTTTTTTCTTCATAACATTATATTGATTGCAAAATTGAATAACATATAGCGTATTTTTACAAAACACTCAAAAAATTGCTTTCACTGACACAGTTGCAGTTATTTTACTAGGGCAGGAAAATGTTATATTTCTCATTCTTATTGAACAATCAGTTTCGAAGGATCAAAATCATCATAAACCCAACTATTTTTTGCTGAGTAAATTGAATTATTGATTAATTGTTGTTAGTTTCGAATAAAGAGCATTATAACATTTTAACGAACTAATTTTTATGCAAAACTACATAATAAAACATCAATTGCAATAGTAAATATGTTAGACAGTGGTTTGCAAACTTTTTGAGATGTGCCCCCTTTTTAAAATTTGTCAAGTTTTGCGTCACCCCTAAAAATAACTAGCTAACAATAAGCTACAAATAACAGATAGTAAGGCAAAATTATGTTTTATTCAAAAAACATGTCGAAAATGCGTGGATGGAGCCCGAGCAGGATCAAATGCAACAAATATTTTTCTTTCAATTAGCTTCTCAATCCCCCCTCCAAAATTGTCTATGTCCCTGATTGGGGGGTTGTCCACCCTTTGAGAACCACTGTGTTAGCATCAATGTTAAAAATCTGATATACTGATAATAATAGTACATCCATATATTAGTTTTATCAAGACAGGCTTGATAGAAACATTCAAGGTATATTATTTTCTATCAATGTAATGCAATGATTTCTTATTACTACAAAACGATTTCCTTGTTTGCAAGTACTAACAAATTAACATATCTTTATACTTTATGTTGAGGTTAATAATATTATATTTTTTATTTGTGTAGCAAATAGCGATCAAGATTAATTAACCGGAATAGAACGTAGAAATGGAATTTTCTATGTCATATATGTATACGAATCATTTTTTCTAATGTTTTAAATTTTATTTCATAGTTCATGTTCCTAATATGGAAAATTATTTTTCATTGAAAAATCAAATGTTTTATTTATTATGAATTTCTGTTACTCAAAGATCGTAAAGTGTTTTTGTGAATTTTTCAAGGATTAGATTACAGCTCAAACGTGGTTTCGATGTAAACTCGTAATTTCATTATTGTGAATGGTCATATTTTGCAATTCAATGTTGTATCAAGTCATTATTTTTGAAATGAATGATCATTTGGCTGAAATTTGACTAACACAGGTATACCCTGGTTTCAATTATATATATTTAAAAAACGATCTTTTTCAAATAATATAAATTTTTTTTTAATTTAAAAGTAGTTTGATAATATAGGCGTAATGAAAAAGTTTTATACATTGCTAATTATATAGGATTTCCTTATAGCAGTGAAAGAGCCAGCAGCAGAATGACTCTTATCTAGCAATTAATTATTTTTGCATAGAGAAATGACTAATAGGTAAATGTTGCAGGACTAAGGGATTTTAAACTTTGCATGTCAATATTGATATTGCGCACAGATTGTTTGTGCAACATATGTAAAGAAGCATTGCATAAATTTGAACAAATCATATAGTCTTTTGAGAAACGATATGTGTGTTGTTAGCAAGGCTTATTATTGCACTTTCATCATGATATTTATGCAATATACAACAGCCCTTTATGTGATGAAATTCAGTCTCAAGTTGCAACCTCGCATTGCAGATTATTGCTAATGGGCACACATCACAATGCCCTTTGTGTGTGAGAAAAAAAAAAACTATTGATAATGTTTTTACCAGTTTGATGACTTTATCTGTTGAATCACTGCTAGGTTCAATGAATAAATACTGAACATTCAAAGTTTCTTTGAACGCTTACTCATTGTATATAACAGTAAGCTGTGACATGACAGTTCTATTACACAGTATCAATAATATGTTTTTGTTTGATGCTCAAATATTTTAAAAAATGGAAAAAGGGAAAGTTAAATTTGACGTAACTCCATTCGTGTATGTTATTTTGTCCTGTACAGGTGCTAAAAGAGATTGTCGTGTGCTGAATATATTCTATGGAATCATGTTGTGGTTTATTCAATGAACTGCCCTTATTTATTTGATTTATTTTATTAACCTGCACAATTGCAATGTTATATTATTTGAATATAATACAGACTAATTATGTTGAAATTTTGTATGTTATGTCACTCAGACCTGAGAAAGGCCATTAGAGCGTTACCGGTATGTAATATTCAGGTATATAATATGATTCTGTTCCTTGAAAGATTCTGAGGTATGGTTGTTTACATCAAATGCATGATACACTCCATAAAAAATTGAGTGAATCTGTTTGAAAATTGGGTCTGCGATCGCGTTGACCGCGGTTAAGAACATTTGCGTTCAACTCCCAATAACAAATGTAAAAAATTTTGCCGGCAATGTCGAATTTGTTCCGACAAATCGGAAAGATTCCAGTTCTTCCAAATAATGAATAGCTCATTGCATATTATGTGTGAGAGGATCGTTGGACTCATCGTCGTCACCATTAAGTCGATGCATCTGAAAACAAAAAACTTACACGTCAAAGATAAATAAAGCACAACCGGTGTATAGCAAAACGATATAATTTGCCGACGTTTCAAATTTCTATTCAGAAAAACTTCATCAGGGCATGATATGAAGAGTATATATATAGAGTAGAAAAATAAAAAAGATAGTAAAAATTAAACGGCGTGAAAAACTGAATAAAGGAACAATATGATAATAGATCCGAGTGAATAAGCGCAAGTTCAAACAATTACGCGACTATCTAAACAATGATTTATATACATGCGGGAACAATGTAGTTTCTTTATCGTTCATTGAATTTTTCTCTTTGTTGACATGATAAGATTCGAGAAATAGTCTTTTTCTGTAGTGAATTTCATGTTCCAAATATCCTGCTGTTATCCCAATCAATGCTGTAATCAGTAGAAAGGGCATGTTTCGAAAGGTCCGATTTTTCAAATTTCCTTTGTTTTACATCACGCTGATGTTCTTTTCTTCTAGTTTCTAGACTTCGTTTCGTTTCTCCGATGTAAATAGAGCAACAATCAACGCATGGGATTGCATATACAACGCCGTTTTTCTTGTTGGGGCATGGGCGGTCTTTGACGTTAGAAAGTAGTCGGCCAATTGTGTTTTGGAGTTTAAAACTAACTTTAATCCTTACATCTTCTAAAATTTCCAATTCCTTCGAAATTCTTCTACTCTTCGAATACATACATACATACATTTTCTCGCTGAGTCCTTTAACATATGGAATGGTAGTTGACGTGATCGGTTTCAGTTCTTCTTTCGTATCTTGACGGTTGCTCTGATTACTAAACATTTTCTTTGGGTATCCATTTTGTCTTAGGGTCTTTTTAATGAAGTTTATTTCCAGCTTTTGTTTTCTTTCATCGGATATTAGAGATTTGGCGCGATTAATAAGGCTACTAATAACGGAACGTTTATGTCCTACCGGGTGATTAGAATTAAAATTCAAGTAACGATTTGTATGTGTCTTTTTCCTAAATATATCGGTCGTTAATTTTCCATATTCCTCTCTATGTATCTATACATCTAAGAAGGCGATAGTCCTATTCAGTTCTTTTTCTATAGTAAATTGTATACTGGGTTCAATCGTGTTTAGGTGGTCATGAAAAGCATCGCAGAATTCTTCTTTGATAATGTTGAAGGTATCGTCAACATACCGTTCCCAAATTCTGGGGCTATTAGGAAAGGGCGATAAGACTCTTTCTTCAACATCCTCCATAACCATATTGGCTACCACAACCGAAACAGGCGATCCCATGGCTGTTCCGAAAATTTGTTGATAGTGTTCCCCTCTAAAACTTAAATTGGCTGCGCTTAAACAAATTGTGAGTGCTTCGCAAATTTGGTCGATAGAAAGTTTAGTCCTCTCCTTAAGTGTGATGTCATTTTCTAAACGTTTCCGGGTTACTCTTAGCGCCAGGTCTATCGGGACATTGGTGAAAAGTGAAACGACGTCGAATGATACCATAATTTCATTTGGGGCAATCGTTGTTTGGAGAATTCTGTCAACAAACCATTTAGAGTTCTTGACATGTCTTACTGAATTACCTACCAATGGGCTGATTAATACGCTGACAAATTTTGAAAGTCCGTACGTTGGTGATCCTATAAACGATACTATGGGTCTAAAGGGGATGCCTGCCTTATGAATTTTGGATGGTGCTGAAGAATCCGTTATTCTTAATAGGTAACCTTTAGCTTCATTTATCTTGTCCTCCTGCGATAGTTTCCAAATGAATTTTGCCACTTTTCTTTCTGTTGCTTTTGTCGGGTCCCGTTTTAATTTCGTATAAACCGTATTATCCGACAACAAGTTTAGCATTTTGGCATTGTATTCCGTAGTGTCCATAATTACCGTACAATTTCCTTTATCGGCCTTAAGGATGGTCAAGTTCCTGTTTTCTTTTAGTTCTTTGAGAGCTCTTCCTTGGTCCTACGTAAGATTAGGCGTTAGTTTAGGCTGATTATTTATGGCAAGAACTATTTTATTTCGGGTCAAATTTGCTGTATCTTTTGGAATTCGTCGAAGAGCATTTTCTGCAGCGGACAAAATAGCTTGAGTTGAGGGCTTTCTTGATGTGGTAGCGAAATTCATCCCGAGTTCTAGAACCTCTGTTTGAACCTCAAATTATATCGTTTTGCTATACACCGGTTGTGCTTTATTTATCTTTGACATGAATATACCTGGTGGCAATCATGCGCTAATCTCATACACGAAATGGACTGGTCACCAGACAAGAGACGGTGATTCGCCATACGATTAAGTCATCTTATCGGCTTTTCTTTCCCCTGGAATAAATATATAGATCCTTTCCTACCATAACCAAATACTGTCACTAAAGCTGACCAGGCAACTGTCGATTCACTGCTCATTGCTGCCTAGATTAAAAACTGCATTCAATATATTTAATAGGCTTTATTTAGTTATGTTTCACAGTTTTTCAAGAGCTTCAAAATGTTAAAGAGTAAACAAAAAATATTTGTTGAAAATAAAATGTGGAAAAGTCTAGGATAAGTGCACATAGGAGCGTTCAGGTATGAAGTATCTTTGATGTACAGATCGTAATGTCAGTAACACAGGTTGATAAACATTTTCCATCTCAAATCTGTAAGAAAATTAAACTGTAATAAACACATTGGCATAGTAAAAAATTTATTCAATCAAAACTTATAAGTAATACAAGAATAGACATTAACCAGTGCATCCTCAATTCCTGAGAAATGCTATTTAATTTTAAATAAGTCCATGCTTCCGAAAACAAATAACTAACTGGCTAACTAATCCCATGCCTGACATGGACTGGTAACCGGACGAAAGGCTGTTGTTCACCATATGACTAAGCCGTCGCATCGGCTTTTTTCTCTCCCAGGATAAATATGTAAATCCTATTCATGGAGGCACTTGATTACAGAATGAAAACAAATTTATTGCTTAGCCAGCCTTACCTGTCTATTGGAGATGGGAAAGGATTCATATACATTGTACTAAGTGGTAAAATAATTTTGCTGGCAAACCCAGCCATCAGGTCAGGATATGGACGAGACAGTGGATTCAATTTATATTCTGCTGCAAGTTCGTTGCGTTGTCTAGCACGATGTGCAGTGTGCATTTCTCCCAGTCTCACTAAAGCCTAAAAATGGAAAGGATATTAAAATTTAGAAAACATAATTTGGACATGGTTTGGATGTTCTTCAATCATTTTTAGTCATTTCAGAAATTTCGAGTCCAAATTTTCATATAGAATTAATATATAATGTAGGACTATATTCTTGCTTACCTATTTGATAGCATTTTTATTACAAAAAAGGGAATAAGATGTCAACAGTACAACAATCCCTCAATGAGTGCTTTGTATAGAGTGACTCAAAAAAAAACAGAACCAGTGAACATAACTGTTGTGCAAAACGTCCTAGATTACTGAAACTTTTGGCTGAAATCATACACAAACAGAAGTTCAAGTGTTAAATAAATTTTAAGAAATTTAATTAATTAATTAAGAAATTTATGGGTTCTATTTTATGGGTCACCCTGTAAATAGAGAAAAGACGCTTTATAGGACCAAAAAAATATTTTACAGCTTCCCATTGCCTCGCTAGTAGGGAAAGTTTAAAGTTCAACAGACATTTTTCTGCAATCAATCGTTAGTCGTTATTGTCGTTTAATTTAAAGTAACAGGAAATGATGGATAATCAAATTGTCAATACAAAAAACAATCACCTGTGGTCCTTCTAGTTTAGGCAATACAAGTACAGTATTTTTCACTGGTTTAATTTTGCTTTCTGTTTGTTTGACTCGATCAAGTTCTTTTTCTAATGACATCTCACAGAAGTAATTGATGACCTGAAACAAAGAAGTTTATTTATCTAATTCTAAAAGGGCAAAAATAACAATTAAGTAGAAATTAGAATACCTTTGAAAGTCTCTGTATAGAGTAAAACAGCTAGTAAGGAAGATTTTCAATATAGATACAGAACCCACAAGGGAGCATAGGCTATTTTTGAGGGGGCGTGAAACTAATTAAAGTAAACAATATCTGTTAGATTTGATCTTGCCCGCTTTATTTTGAATATTTACATTTCTCTATTTTAAATGAAACATACTTTCGCCTTTTCATCTGTTATTTGTAGCTTACTGTTAGCTAGGTATTTTCAAGTGGGGCGCGAGACTCGACAAATTTTAAAAATTGGGGGTGCAACTTAAAATGTTTGAGAACCACTGTTCTAACTTCTAGAGAGAGCATATATTACTGGAACTTTTGGGTACATCATACACAAACAAAATTTCAAGTGTAAATAAACTTTCTTGTAATTAAAAAATTTATAGGTTCTTTTTGGGGGGCAAACTGTATAATTACATGAATTGAACAATATACACATATAAATATCTATAATTTAAATAAAAACTATGAAAAAAAAACGAAACGTTTACCGACCTCCATGGATGTTATATTTTGTAGCGACTGTTCAGTAGCTTGCAGAGTAAAATGTACTCTAGGTGTTCCACGTTGAGTACTCCCGCGCGAACTACCAGTTTTCAAGACACTTTGTGGCGTCTCTGGTGGTTTTCTTATTGTCGCCTTCAAATCTCCCTTTTTCAATTCTTCTAAAACTTGCTCCAGATGAACCTTTTATAAATAAGAAAAGATTATTGGTAATTTCATGAGTAGAAAGAATATTTATCTTTCGCATTCTGGTAAACCATGATTGGCTATTACTGTGCAAGCCAAGAACAAAATCATCTTTTACCAAATATCTCATATTGATGGATCAGAAATCATGCTACTACAGTAATTTATCAGTAATCATTATTGAATTTTTCACCATCATGTGAATACGCTTTGTACAAATAATATAAGAAACAAACATAAAAATGGTATTTCAGGAGAAGGCGCAAAAAATCAATACTGGTCATCATGCAGTGATTGAGTCTAACAGTTATCAGGAGAAAAAAAAGTCAAACATTGTATCATTTATAAAGTTTTCAGCAACAACAAAAAAAAATTATATACAAAAATACGACTCCAAGCACCGTCAAGCAAGGTAACCATAAGAACAACATTCTAAATTCTAAAGGCAGCACTAACTAAATACAGTACCGGCATCCAAGTACATGTAAGGCGCAGGTGTAGTACATTCAGGTGCATGATACATAGACTGATGATGTATAAACTACATAAGTAACGAAATATTTAATAGTTTGATTCTATTTACTCCCAGTGATCATAGCTATATTTTACTTGGCCACATGTAGTTAACTGAAATCAAGGTCACACTAACAACTTTTCATCTGACAGCAAATATATTACTGTTGAAGGAGGACCAAGTGAATTTCCCCGGTCCATGTTTGAGCTCAAGAACAAAACCCCTTTATAACTAAAATTCTATCATGTTGACTTCAACATCATTACATAATCGCTCCAGATATAACTTAGTATCATGGTCATATTAACATATTCACTTGTACATTGTGTATCAATGTTACAAATAAAAATGCGGCAGTAAAGAAGGGATAAAATTTACCTTGAAGTTTTCAGTCCATTCCTTCATCCACTTTCTTGCTATTTCTTTGATTTGTGATTTCAACGATGTTGTTTCATTCAAATTCCATACTTCCCAAGTTTCAAGTTCTTTGCCAAGATAATTGTGACTATCCTAACAAAAAATAAATACACAATGGTCTAGTGATCAGAAAAATTCTAAAATCAGTTAAAAACCAGTGAAAATTCTGAAATGAGTTTGTAAAGTTTGAAGTATATAATATTGGACAAGAGGGCATAATTCAGCATTTGATTGACCTAACCTAACGACTTAGCTCTACCTCTAATGGATATGAGGGATCACTGTTTAAAGCTGGTTTTAAAATGATTTCAATATTAATGCCAGGTAGGCTTCATAGGAATACGCTCGCCACCGCACTTCTGATTAACCTGCATGGGTTCGCAGGTACGATTCGAATCTCATTCGGGAATAGATATGTGCAGGAGGATTGCTGGATTCCTTGGCGCTGCAAGGTGGTTCACGTAACTGTTACGACTTCCTCCACCATCAAGTATACGCCCCCGAAAAACAAATGACTGGCTAACTAATCCCATACCCGACATGGACTGGTAACCGGCCGAGAGGTCGTGGTTCGGCATATAATTAAGACGTCTTATAGACTTTCCTCTCCCCTGGATGAATATGTAAATCCTATCATATATAAAAAAGGATGGAACTACACAACATGTTCTATCAAGAGCACTGACACATAGTTTAGCATGAGTATCTTATAGAAAAATAATTTCTCAAGAAGGAAATTTCATACTCATCTAACACAGATAGGCATTATACAGAAAGCCCCATTAGTTTTCTATTTGGATGGTTGATAGAGCGAACTGTAAGAGTATCTTCTGCATTGTTTATTTTAATTGTATTCGTAGTAGTGTATGAGCAACATCAAGAAGCATTGTCTTACTCTCATTCCAAGTTGAAGTAATATATTTTTGATGAAATTTTTATGAGTTGTTTCTCCTTCTAAATACTGAGTTAATAGTTCAAGAATAAATTCATCAGTTGCTCCTAAAACTGCTTGCATGAATTTGAGTGCAGAACGTAAAAATGCAGCTTGATTTGGATCCTAGGAGTAAGCATAAGTAAGGTGTAAAACTTTAAAAAAACATATCAATACCTTTACTATTTTATAAGGAAAAAGTAAGTGTAGTCAGACATTATGGATATACAGGGTGTCCATAAAGTCCCTTTACAATTCCAATTTTGTTTTGAAGTGAGTTCTTAATATATCCTAACCGGTTTGTTGTTTTTTAATCAGAATTGTTCAAGTATTTTTACTTCAATTAAGGCAAAAAATTTCATGACCTCATGGGCACCCTATATATACAACATAAAATATTACTCCAGTGAGATAATCTCATATGCTCATTCCAGGTTATCAATAATCGCTCAATTCATGGGGCTACCTAAAATTGACTGAGACATAGGCAAGACGGCAATTATACTTTAAAGACAAAACTTTTCAAACAGTATTTATTATAGCATATTGGTTTGGGTCCTAGTTCAAGCACCGAGTCCACTTACTACATTACTAAACATGATTCAGGTCTATCTAAACCGGGTATTTTTTTTTAAAAGTGACTGCTCGTCCATAGAGTCTTTTGCAGATCAAAAGTGCTAAATGCCCCATCAACGCCTCAACTATCAAGCTACACTATACTGTGGGATTCAGTAACTCGATGTGCACCAGAGGAAACTAAGAAACTATCAACAGCAACAATATATCTTTTTTATGAAATAACTATGCTATGACAATGCTAATGGCACATTGGAACAAATTTTTGATTTTTAATAATATGAAAAATTTCTAGTTATCACAATAATGTGGAAAGATTAGGACCATGATATTACCTGTTACCGTAATTTATTTCCATAACAGAATTGAGCCAAATCAAGTCACTGAAGTTCATTTTAGAATTTTTTAAAAAAAATTGACCGGTGTGGCTACAGTACTTGATTAGTTACACACGTCAAAATATAAAAAAGCACTATATGAATTGAACCTATTGAAGGTGGACCGCAAAGCATTTCCAAATGTTACATACACTTTTCGATTACATTGGGGAATTGTATCATCATGACAGTCCCCGGACTTGTAATAGAACTAAAATAAGCGAAATCAGAATAAAATCATGGCCTAACCCTGACCTGGTACATACACTACGGGAATACCCACTTTTGATGTATAATAATAATAGGTATCTGTGATGCTGATATATTATAAACAACGCCGACACCAAATTTTGATCTCTCTTCTCATTTTATTGCCATCTTACCTTTGGTGATGGCGGATTTGAAGAATTCAAGACAAAATTAATTGCATTGATGATATGCTTTGTGTCAACGATATCTTCCTGTTGCCATAGCATTAGTAAAGCATCAACAATAGCTCTGCGGAAATCCCAATCCGTTGCAATACCCATCACATCAGATATTATATTGCAGAATTGGCTTGCAACATGAGGCCGTCTCAATCTCTGAATACAGACAGAATGGAAAAATTAGAAAGATCATTAAATAACCATCCAGCTTATTGTGTAGGACCATATCAGGAATTGGTTCCGTGGTTAGCGTGCTGAGTGAAGCGCTGGGAATACGCTTAACATTGCATCGAGTAATAAAGAGGATAATTATGTGAAGATTACTGAACTCCTCGTTGAGTAGGGTAGTTCACATAACTGCTGTCCAGTTATGACCTCATCTACCAACAAGTCCATGAATCTGAAAACAAATACCTGACTAACTAATCGCAAACCCGACATTGACTGGTAACCAGACAAGAGGCTGTGATAGTCATATCATGACACTGTCTTGTTGGCTTTCCTCTCTCTTACAGAAATTAATATGAAAATCCTATCCAAAAAAAATTCTAAAGTATCCAGAACTTACTTCAAAAATATAATCCCTGTATTTCTCAAACCAATCTTTGCCTTGGAACTGCGTCAAAAAATTGGGTGATGGGGAAGCAGGATGTGGGGGTGTCCGTGGGGGTGGTGTGGGTGAATGAACAACTTGTGGTGGGGGCGAACTGGCAGGTTTAGGAGGGGGTGGGGGTCTGGATACCAACTTAACAATAGGCTTGATCGGCTTTGATGGCGGTTTCGGTGCTGGAAAAAGAATGAAATTGTAATACCATTTTAATATTATCCGACAAGTAAAATATAATGGATAATAATGTTATTAAAAATATTCTGATATATTATTTAACAGTATTCTAAGGCATTGCCATAATAAATTTAGGAAATAAAACTTTTCAGATATTTCAAATCTCATTTACTGCACTCCATGAATGGACACTCAATAATATATAACAATATATAAAAAATGGGCAAATATTTATTATATATAAAATAGTGGATATTGTCTTCACTGTGCAGGGTGACAAAAATATTCCCTATACCAATATAACACCATAACACCCTACTTTACAATTACCCATGATGAAACTAACATAATATAACAATTTTTGCATTCAATAACGATCAGACTGTAACAAAACTTAGTTCAAGAAAATTTTAAAAAAAAATTTCAAACTAACAGAAAAAATATCAAAACAGGTAATGTGGAAAAAATTTTTTTAATCAAGAAATAAATCTTGTAAGTTTGATTTGACATTGAACATAGCTTATAAGAGTAGTGTGCAACGATGGATTCCTTTCGCTTTTCACTTTACCACTCTCATTAGTACAATGAGAGTTATTTTAATGACAGAACATTCCTAAAGTTGATCAAATACCCATGGAAACTAAGTAAATCTTCATAATATTAGGCTGTGACTGAATAAGCATAAGCCATGTATATCTCAGGCACATTTCATTTGCAGGCCCTATTGTGTCAGTGGAATAATATAGTACAGGAATAGCGAACCACTGACCCGCATGTCACAAAGTGATCTACCATGTTTTTTCGAATACGTTAAAAAACATTGGAGCTTTACGGTTGTGACTTTAATGCAGTTAAAAGCTGATTAATTGCTCTCAGAGTGAAAGTCTTTACACTTTTTTTTGAAACCATGATTTGAAATATTATTATTAAGGATTCGTAATCCACATACAAGCAAATCCGTGTTTTTGCACATGAATTTCATAAAATCGAGTACCAGTCTTGATAGAAGTGCTGCATGTGTGAATCTCAAAACCATATGACTTGTAAAAAATATGCAACAGCAAGTTTCTCATAGATTAAATAGTTGCCATTCCTGTCCTAATACAAACATAGTTAAATGATCAACTCTGGTACATTGTAACATTCTACGACATCCTATACCACGAGCATATATACCTGGTGTAGGTTCTGGAGGAGGGACTGGGGTTGTAATATATCGTTCAATTTTGGGGCACGGACGAGGCTTCACTGTGCAAATACAAGTATGAATGAAAAGTCGTAAGATATGCCATGAATAAAACTTATCAGAAAAAAATTATCAAAAAAAAATTAACAGTTTCTCTATACGACATATTTAAAAGGTTCTGCACAATTTCCAGGTAAATAGTTATAGTTTGGAAGGATTGAATCTGCCTAGTCCATATTTATTACACCCGAGTCAAGGTGGTGGTCATGGTATATGGAACCAAGATTTTAACCTGCAATGTCATCATGATCAAGTCTAATGCTTTTACCAACCACTAGATCACTAGACTCGTCTGAAATTTGAAAAAAAAATTGGGTCCCTTGAAAAAAAGATTGGGAACCACTGCACCAGACTACTGCGCCCACTAGCATTTTGTTGACAAATTCAGGCAACAGAAGATAATTGATCTTGTGGATGACCATACATGTAATGCATACAAAATCCTGTCAAACATTAAAATGAAAGCCTATGATGTCACTATATGATGGAAAGTAAATGATACTCAAACGCCATACCAAAAGATATGTTAAAAATATCTTTTGGATATTTTATATGAAATAGAATTAAACCAAAAAATGCTTGTCCTCCAATTATAATTTTGAGATTTTTTAAAAATTTTGTCTTATGAGAACTGATATTTCTTGAAATTGTCCCTCAAATATACTGGACGATACTTGCTTAAACAGGACTACTCAAAAAGTATTGCTTGGTCAGAAACCTACCTTTTACTTGAGGAGGTCGAGCAACAGGTGGAGGAGTTTCAGGTTCTGGTTCTGGAAGAGGTGGAGGAGTTTTCATAGCCGATCTTAATTTTTCCATCAATGCAGATGGTTTCTTCTCAACTTTCTTTGCATCCTTCCTTTTTCCTCCAGCTAATATTATAATGATATTGATAGATTATAATCACCCCGAAAAATGAAATAGAATTATTCTATTTATTCCAAGAGAGAGTGACACTAACAAGACAGCCTAAACAAACGTTGAATGAACAATGAGAATAGCATTGCAATAGTGAGAGGTCCGACAATGACTCCTAAATCAGGGGTGTACAATCTATAATACAGGAGGGCTAGATACAAATGACTAGGTAAAACCGTGGGCCGCATCTTTATTTAATATAGGCTTTCTAGCAGTTGCATGCACAAAAATTATGGTTATTGATCTTATGAAATGCATTATTCACTTCGCGCAGCCTAGTTGTTCGGGTATTGTAGCGATTGGAATCACTCGCACGTGCCAAACTCGTTTCGCGAGCCGCTCGTCATTTTAAATTTGCGGTTCTCCACGGGCCGCACAATTTTTCCCAGCGGGCCACAGGTTGCACACCCCTGTCCTAAATCATCACCCACGGGACTTGAACCCACAAACCTGCAAGCATATATATTCATAATGTGATTCTGCAAAATACAATTTGACAACGTTTTTACATATCTGCTTCAAACAACGCTTTGAGCATTTAAATATTACAAGTCACATATGTTGAATTAACTATCACCCATTCTAATGCAGTATATATGAATCATTTTAACAAGCGTCAAATCACCAAGACGAACCAGATGGGTCAATAGCATCGTCATCATCCCAATCTCTCTCTTCATCTTCCCATAAAGATCCAGATTCTGAAGGTGTTGCCAAATTAAATTCAAAAGTAGGAATATCACTCGATGATGGTTTTCTTTTTCCCTAATGAATTTAGAAAATAAAATAATGCTCAATTTTAAAATTAGTCTACTGTCAATTTTGACTTGCTTATTCAAAAAAAAATTTATTTGGCTTATAGAAATAAGTGCCTCAAACTGTGTATGACACCTGTGCAAAATACTTATAAAACCTGGATTTCTACTATCTATGAGTGTATGTTGTATCTCCTTGCTCAAAACTCTGTCCACAAGAACAGACCTGGACCTAGTATTCTAAATTCTACTGAGTATCAAATAATTTGGTGAAGAATGGCCTCTCTGTTCCAAAATCTTACTCATCACAAAACCCTACTCTTGATGATGTGTTCAAATTTTAGCTGAATACTCAGAGTAGGTAAGTTCTCAAAATATACTCAAAATTTACCTACAATGACTAATTCAATAAAAACAGATGGAAATGGAAAACTATATAGTTGATTGAATATTTCATTTCAAATGATGCTTGTAATCATGAAACCATTAAAAAAGCAGAGTTTTTTACCAGGGCGAAATTTTATTGTTTCAGGGGAGAGTATTTCACTTTATATGGCTTTTAATATAACTTACCGTACCGGTATATTCCTTACTTATTTAATACTATTGTAATATTATGATTGTCAAACTATGAAAAAGCCAGGGTGCAAGTTGCGAGTATCGCTAGCAAATGATCCATTAAAGATTGAACTGCAAACGGAAACAGTTTTTATGCTCAGTGACATCACAAATAGCTGTAAGCAATGGTAAATGTTTTCAATAAGTGGGGAATGATGAATTTTGAAGTCGGCAAATGAAGGCATGCATGGAAAAAGTTAAGAACCACTGCCCTCGAGAAACATAGTCAAGATGTATAATATAATTAAAGTACTGTTAAGTATGTAACATCTTGTAAAGCTGGCTGTCTCTAATCTCTCGCCATCTTTTTATCTTCAATCTTGAAATCTAACTTATTTCTAGATAATCTCACCAATGATAGATAAGGTGCGGCCATATTTTCTTCAACTTCCATTACATCAGATTCTGCCTGGTATAAATCATGATAGAAAGTACTTAAATATAACTAAAATTATTCTGTTTTTAACTGGTTATGAAATAATAACTAAAAGCATAAATTTCTACACTTTCTTAATAATACGCAATCTGTCATCTTAATGATAAATGCTGACTATATAGGTGGATGACACCAACCATCTGAAGCGATCATTTCTGTCTGAAATTTAAACCAAACTTGTGTATTTTGCTCATTCAATAAAAAGTGGGAGCATTGGTCTAGTGCTTAAAGCGTCAGACTTAGTTTTGATAGCATCACAGGTTAAAATTCTGAGTCAAAACCCCACATTCCTCACTTCAATCCAGGGTGTATTCAATCAGGTAATGCCAAACCGAAAAAATTCTAATCCTTTCAAAATAAAGTGAGAACCATATTCAGGGTAAAAGGTGTATAAATATGTCATATAAATTGTATTCTACCGAAGTAAAGGAAACTAGGAATGTACAAATTTCCATCACTATTATTCTAGAGCTGATATAGGCAATCTACAGCCTGGGGGCCAAATCTGGTCTGTTGAGTAATTCAAACTGGCTCGATTGGTCCAAAAACCTTGTTAGACGTAACAGATTCTTTCATTAATGGTAAACTGTTACTCTTCTAATAGTAAGTACTCTTAATTTCATATTTAATTCAAGGCAAGTTTGCACTAATTAAACAAAAAATGTTTTGTTTACATAGGCTATGCTTCTTTGTACCCTTAGTCATATATTATTACCTTTTTCTTGTTAATTTCAGCCCATTGTTCTTCTGTAAATTGTGGAGGTTTATATAAAAGTTCTTCTTTTTGTTTTTCCACATCTTCCTGAAGCCATAAAAACTTAGCAAGAATCGAATTTGGAATAAATCCAGTTGGATTGACAATATATTTACTAGCAGGTTCATAATCAGGACCAGATTCGGTGAAATGCTGGAAATTAGAAAAGAATGAATATGAGTTTTTGAAGTAAAAAAATATCAACACCTATATACCCTCTAATCTGAAACTAGATCTTAAATTAAACAAATGCAATGGCCAAGTGCAAGAATGAGAGACCCACAGCTTTGTCAAGGTTGTTGTGGGTGGTAGAACCAAACAATAATAGAAGTTTTCAGCATACACATAGAAGAGTTTCATCGTCAGCTTAGGCACCATGTGTTGAATAAATTTGAAATATTATAAAACTTCGTTACAAATTTCAGTATTATATTGTGTGCGGTGTTTAAAAGTATTGTAACATCATTGAAATAAATCCTTAATTACTAATCAACTCATTGTTAGTACGGATCAAGTATAACAAATTCAGTAGCCTTTGCCAAAGCGCAAAAAATTCAGTTTACAAACCCAGCTTAAGTATTTAGTGGTTAGGATAGGATTTACATATTTATCCCGAGGAGAGGAAAGCTGATAAGACGGCTTAATCATATGGCAAACCACGGCCTCTCGTCCGGTTACCAGTCCAGGTCGGGTATGGGATTAGTTAGCCAGTTATTTGTTTTCGGAAGCATGGACTTGATGGTGGAGGAAGCCGTAACCGACCAGCGGTTATGTTCACCACCCTACGGCGGCGAGGAGTCCAGCAATCCTCTCGCACATGATCATCTCCGCATGAGATTTGAACCTGCGACCCCACGAAGGGTAATCAGAGATGCGGCGGCGAGTGTATTCCTAACGCTTAGCACGATGCGCCACACCGCCAAGCCGTTCTCAAACTGTATGGGCCACGCCCCTTTTTAGAACTTGTCAAGTCTCACGCCCCTCCTCAAAAATAACTAGATAACAATAAACATGTTGATATTGTATGGAGGGTTCCAGGATCTGTGAACTGGCAGCATGAAATTGAACTCTTAAACATGTTCCACACTATGGATAGTAAAGATACAAGCCCAACAGCTCTCTGCAAAATCGAAACAATAAAGAAATGTAAATATCCAAAAAAAGGCGGGCGAGATCAAATCTAACAAATGTTTTTGATTAGCTTTACGCCCCCTCAAAAAATTGTCTGCACCCCACTCCACCCCCACAACAACCAATGATTTATTATATAGTTTATTTAATGTGAACATCTCATGGAATGATATTACCGTTTCTTTGTCTTTTGCAGCTTCTACAATTTCCTTCATAGGCTTTACTGCGGAAATCGGAGGAAAAAATCCTGCTTTCCTCTCTTCAAACCATTCTTGAGGAGCTAAAATGGAAGATATCAATCCATTTTTTTAATACAAGATACAACTAAGAGCAAATAAAACATTTGTAAAGCATAAGCATTATTCGTATTCAGCACTTTAATACAATCTTGCTCAAGTATCTCGGTGGATCACTTACGGATCCGAAGTAAGAAATACATAAGAAAAAGAACATGCACAATATCCTAGTACACTAAGTTTCATTCACCTAAATTGAACTTTTTGAATGTCTTTTGCGTGCCAACGATAGGGTGAAATTTCCTATGATACATTTCAATAGCTGTTTATATCTACTAATTCCATTAAGCTCGTCGTGTCAAACATTTCAGAAAATAATGATTATTTCTGTGCAGATGACTGTACCAAAGCAAAAAAAAATTAAAAATGAACATACTTTGAGGTTTTTCTTGTGGAGGATCAGGAGAGAAATCATCAGGTTCAGGTATCTGTAAAAAATCACATTGCAAATCACATTTGCAAAAATTAATCATAAAGCGAAGTCTTTAACAAGGACAGAAAAAGTTTTTTCACTAAATATCATTCTGCCTAAACTTGTTATATATTAATGGTTTTCCTCTGGTCTGGAGACTTTTCAAGACAATATTTTGATACACATTACGCAGTGTTGAAGCGACAGACTTGATTGACTGTGTTGGCATCGAAGATTACATATCTCGGGTTCAAATCCTGTGCCCCGCCTCACCCAGGGTGTAATGAATTGAGCAACGTCGAACCGAAAGGACCCAGGCCTTTACAAATAATAAATAGCTCCTAACATATAGTTAGATATCAGCAGATGCTTGTTTGGGTCCTTGTTTGGAATGGAAGGCCAGAATAAGCATCGTAAAAAATGATATGCACATACCATGACTTTTTTCCTTGGACGATAAAACATTTCCATATATTTTTTAAATGCTCGATTTTCTGTTCGTTTTGTTGACTTCCTCAGTTTACGTTTCGCTTCGACACTCCCATCAGCATTCCGAATTCCACTCAACTCTTTCTCTCTTCTCTCGAGTATTTCAAAAGCCTTCAATCTCACTCTTTCTTCCTCGTCAACCTCTCGTAACTCCTCAGCAGACATTGGATCCCAAGCATAATTAAATCTGAAAATTGTATACCAAGACTTTGCATACCATATAGACTGAAGATATATATATAAAGCAATGGGGTGAAAGGTCGAGGTGAAAGGTCATTTACTCGAATTGAGTCACCCGATTCACCAATTATCAAAGACTCTATGAGACTCAACACTCAAGTCATCTAATTGAAATGACTTGGACTCATACTCATCAAACTGCCAGTGAGATTTAACTCAAAATTTGCTCAACTTAACGAGACTCATGACTACTCGAAGAATAAAGACTTCCAGCCAACACCGATATATAGAAATTATGTGTTTTTATTATAAATTCCTTATCAAATAATCTGAATGTGTCTATTTTGCAACAAAAAATTATACGAATTGAATAAATTTGACAAAAAATGGTAATTTTGATTATCTGTTGATTATCTGGAATATTTATGTGCGCGAGGATTGCAAGACTCATTGCCATAGGTTGGTTCACATAACTGCTGGTCAGTTACTACGGATTTCTTCACCATCAAGTCCATGCATCTGAAACAAATTTCCTTTACCTGACATGGACCTGTAACCAAATGAAAGGCCTTGTTTTGTCATAATATTGAGCCTGCATATTGGCTTTTCTCGCCCTTGGAATAAATATGGAAATCCTATTCTATTCAAATCAGTTGTGATAAGATAATAAGCAGATAAAACACCTACTTCAAGTAAGATGACTTGGCTTCTTTAACACATCTTAGCACCTCCGAAGACAAATTTCTCGTGAGCGTTTCATCGAGTGGTATAGGATTTTCATCAATCGGATCAGTAAATTGCATGCAAACCATTTTAAAAATATAAGCTTGTGGGAGATAATTCTGATGTTCAATTCGATGTATATTTCCTCCGAGTCCAACGAGTAAATCACCTCGTTCGCTACAAAATTGTATACTTTTCGGTTCGGCATTGAGCTTCAATGTTCTTAATTGAAAAACAATATTAATTAATATTTGTAAATAGATATAAACAAAAGAGCAACGTTTAAAAACAACGACACAAAAATCAGAGATCATAAAACAGCAAAATTTGGGGGGAAATATCGGGATTCATAGGATTAGAAAAAAATTTTAAAAAAATAAAACTTTAGCCTTCTAGTGCCTTCTTCCATCTTTAAGCACTGAAAATTGATTGATCCATTAATTATTTAGAGAAGCGATTTTTTCCCAACGTCAGCAATTTAGCAAAATGTTCAATATGTACTTTGTGTCCTGAAATAAGACAAATTTGATAATTTACCTGATTAGAATATTGAAATGATTCCAAACCCTGATGGTCCCATCTCTACTCGAAGAAGCGAATAGTTTGAGTCGAGAACAAAACGTCAATCCTGTCATGTTATCCGTGTGATCATGATCTGGACTGTGATCGTAACGCTCTAAAAAGTAAGAAAGTTCCCTCTCAATGGGCTATGGTTATGAAAACAATAATAAAGCAGACATACAACGAAAAGGATGCAAAACTTTATGTTCATTATCCATAACTTTTATGAAAAATTCGAATGTTTTAGGCGCATCATGCAAAGTGTTAGGACTATGCTTGCCCCAGCACTTCTGATTCACAGGTTTAAATCCCACAGGGAATTATGTGCGAGAGGATTGCTGGACTCCTCTGCACTGTAGGGTGGTTCACGAAACTGCTGGTCACTTACGACTCCCTCCACCAACAAGTCCACGCATCTGGAACAAATAACTTGGAAACTAACCCTATACCCAACTTGGACTGGTAACTGGTCGAGAAGCCATTGAATCTAATATGATTAAGCAGTCTCATATGCTTTCCCTTCCCCAGGGATAAAAGGATGATTTGCATATAAAGCCTATCCTATATTTTGGGAAGAATTTTTAATTACCGTAAGCTTTCAAAATGGTTAAAATATGGCCTTATATGTATATTAATTAGGCTTGAAATATTCCTAATACAATGTCGAGTCAACTAATCGCATACAATTAATTAGAAAATATTATTTTTATAGCAATCATTACTCACTAGTACTCACCTTTCGTTTCTAAATCATATACGACAATACTATACGTCGCTGTCTCTGGTTGTTGGAAGGCTACGACAAGTCTTGACAATGCAATTGACATATGACGCGGTGTGTGCGCACAATAAAACGACATCAATAAACTTAAGGCTTCAGCAGTGTTGGGAAATATCCTCCAAACTTTTACAACATTATCTGAAAAAATACGAATTAAGCTAAATAACCATTTCAGTGGATAACGCGAGGGGAATTATTAAAATAACACATAATTCTCAAACTCAATTAAAGAGTTAATTAATGAGTTAAGTTTTGAGTAAAAACGGCGCTGAACATATTTCAAACTATATTTATATTAAAGAAGTTACCTTCTCCAGCACTTATAACTTGGTCGTTTTTTGTATTTGCAAGAATACCAATGACCCCTTTCAATCCATGCGCTTCTGTAACATATAATATATTACCGGTATTCATATCAATATTTGCAATACAACCATCTCTGCGGCCAACAAGAAGAAGCGTCTTATTTCCATATCTAAAAACAAAATAACAATAAAACAAACTATAAATTCTTTAAAACAAAACGAATCACTCAAAAAAGAAATTTCTGGAAATGATTTATGAAGAATAAAGGTGGTGAAACATTAAATAAAATAACAATAATATGTCAAAATTCAAAGTGATCAGGCAATTATTCCACTGTAAATAGAAACAAGGCATACTTAGGCAGTCTTGTAATTTGTCTTGGCAATTTTGGTTTCTCTTGAGATGATTTCCACGTATCAACCAATTCAGCATTGTTCAAAACATATTCATATACACACATGCAGTTAATGTATTCACCTAAAACACAATAGATAGAAAGAAAATAAACCACAGCTTTTTGTAGGATGAACATTACAGATAGATTAAGAACAAGGCTAATTAGGTAAACATTTCATATTAGGATAGGATTTACATATTCATCCCGGGGAAGAGTAAAGCCGATAAGACGGCTTAATCATATTGCGAACCACGGCATCTCGTCCGGTTACCAGTCCATGTCGGGTATGGGATTAGTTATATTGTTTGTTTTCGGAGGCATGGACTTGGTGGTGGAGGAAGCCGTAATCGATCAGCGGTTACGTGAACCACCTCATGGTGGCGAGGAATCCAGCAATCCTTTCGCACATAATTAACCCTGCATGGAATTCAAACCTGTAAACCCACGTAGGGTGATCAGAGTTGTAGTGGCCACACCACGCCGCTGGGATGCCAACACAGACCAATTGTTGAGTCAAAAACATAAAAAATAGCATTGAAGGGATGGCAATACGAATTGATTACAGAATATGGTTAAAACACATATAATTATTTGGGATTTTTGTTGCTCAAAAATGATAGAATTGAAAAAATTTTGGATTGAAAAAATCGTATTGAAGAGTTGACACATGACAGTCTCTCCCAACATTGGTTGCAAACTCAATCGCATTTTTCGAATAAAATCCGAATATTAGATTATTTTATTTAAAACATAGTCTACTTTGAACACCTAATAGTCAACTCACCATCAAGATATTTCCAAACGTATTGAACAGTTGCTGGATTACTTGCGGTCCATGCTTTGACCAATGATCCATCAGAGTAAGCAGCGTAGACAGTTTCTCGTGGAACACAATAAACTGCGTCGACAAGATTTCCTTTCACTGAATGTTCTGTATTCGATTTTGTTTTACTCGATGGAAATGATTGGAATGGAACAAGTGATGTCAATACCGAACCATTTGTCGGTGAAATTATCCGAACTATGTTGTCTGTGGATTGCGTAAGCACACGCTCTGGAATCTGTGTAATTTAAAATATTGATAATCACAGGTGCATGCATTTAACCAATTTCTTTTGACAATCAGTTTTTATTTATTTGTTTTTATCTGTCAAATGTATTGTTATGCTGATTATGGAGTGGAAATAAACTTATACTTATACTTCAACACTACAATTAACCAAAGTTGCTTTTCTGCTACATTTTAGGGAATTGGAAATTTTTATATATATATCTTTCAAATTAATTTTTTCCAAAATCTGCGTTTTCAGGCATTCAAAAGGACAATGATACCTTGCTCCAAGAGATAAATAAGATCATAAGAATTGAAAACTAATTTTTTTTAGGTACTTATAATCAATGTCTTTTTCAATATAGAACAGCTTCAATACAGAACAAATGATTTACAACATTTTAAAACTAATGAAAATACAAAAGTTTAGAATAACAACTTTGCAAGTGCTGTTGGTTGCATAATTAATACTAAATTGGAATATTTCAAATTCAGGAAAAAACTTCTTTAAAAATTCAAAAGAGTCAAATTTTCGTTTCCTCAACATAAACCATTGTCAAAGTGACATAATGATTTTGTTGAATTTCACTGAGATTAAAAAAATTGGTCATGAATATCCATAACCCTTGCATAACTGTTGACTTTGAGTACTTTTATTACGACCATTAACCTGGTTTCCCCTGCAAAGAATAGCAAAAATTAGTATTTATAAAATAAATAAGTATGATAATAACTGATATTCCATTAAACCAAGAATCGGAAGAGCGAACAAAAACTTACCTTTGCTGAAAGAGAAATTGACTCCATATTGAAGACGTCGTGCCTAAAATGAAGAGCAATAGCTTTTAAAAGTATGTTACATAGTAGGGCTAGGCTCACTCAATGTTGTACACTTTTAGCATAACAACTTACCCAACAGAAGTGAACATCTGATGAATATGGCTGATTGTCCATAAGTCAACCATATAAGATGAATATGAGAATAAATGTCCAAGTTCTGGTACCGTGCTCATCCCTTCATTTGGTTCATCAGTTTCAAGTCTAAAAGATACACAAAGAGAGATTTTACTTTGTGTCTCGGATCGCATCCAATTTTTGATTGAATTTGTGATTTTAGTGTGCTATGGAAGTCAAGGCCGATTAAAATTCATACTTAGGGCACCGAAAGGATTGAATATTAGTTGGGCGGTTTCTGGAATATCTCGGCACTTCTAAATTGTTGTTGTTGTTCTTGTCGTAAAAAAAGTCGTTTTCGTCCTCAATAAATGGACAACTTGATTTTATATTTTCAGTAATTAAAGAAGAAGGAAGTTGTCAGAAAGTTATCACTTTTTTTTTCAAATTTTACAGGGCTCGATATAGTTTTAATAATTCATGAGCACTCCTACAGATGACATCCAGCACAAATTTTCTAATATTTAGTTGTAATTTAGCTGACATTGCAGTGGCCAAATTAGTCATTTCACATCTGTGTTCATAAATTTAGGCATTGCCATCTTGTTAATAATTCAAATAAAAACAGAATTTCCAAACTATATTTTACTATCCATATTAATGAATAATATAATAAAGGTATGGATGGATAGATCACAAATCAGTATAATATGTTCTTTAAGAAGATGTAAAATAATACTATGCAGTATTTCAAATTTTGTCCTACACAAAGCTCTAGTCTAGATAATAATCCTCTGAGACAAAGGCAGTCATTATGCTGAAAAATAGCATAATAGTATGTCTTTAATAACTTAACCCTTTGTAATCGGCTGTTCAATGGCCATTTTGACCCCCTCTATAATTTTTTCAATATTTCATTAACCAAAAATGCCAAAAACATCACTCATGTGTCCCTGGAAGCGTCTCCACTACGGCTATTTGAGCTAAAACGATAGCTACGCATAGTCTATCACGCACTCGACGTGTGACGTGAAAAAGAGAGAAATTTAAAAAAATTTGTGGAAGAAGGTTTCTTAGTCTGCAACCTATAGTAACCTCAGAGGCGAAACGAGCGATTTCTCTTTCTTATCGTAACGCGGATAACGTCAGCATTCAAATAATATTTTAAATGTACCAGAAATACAAGAAAGCAAATAGTTTCATTACTTTATTTAAACTTACAAATCGACTTCATCATATGTTTCTAAACTCCATAGACGTATGGTTGAATCATAAGATGCAGACATAAAATAAGGTCCCTGGTAAAAATAAATATATCGATTTAATATATCGATTAATCTGTTAATTCAATTATTATGTAAAAATGACTGTTTTGTAGTAGCAATTTAATTTTGCGGCCATAAAAGCTATAAATAACCTTTAGTATGCGAGTATATCTTTGGATCACAAGATTTTACAAATATCCTTTTGAAAAAGTTTTGGGTTTACATTTACATAATTTAATACATTTACATAGTCAGTCTACACAGAGACTTCCTCTAGATAAAAACACCATAATTTACCAATGGATATAAAGAAAGTGCTTGAACTGGACCATGGTGACCAACAAAAACATGTTGTACTTCGAAATTGGAATCCCATAATTTAATTGATCCATCTCTTGATCCAGTGACAACATATTTCAATGGATTGATAAATAAAATACTGAAAATATAAAATAAACACAAATTTAGATTTACAGGATAATGCTTTTCTTTTAGAAACCAAATAGTAGATCATTCGTCTAATTGAAGCAGAAATTACAATTTTGCAGATTCTATTCAATACCAATACCTAAAACTTTATGAGGTAAAAGCGGATTTCTCCAAAATATACAAATATACTGTTATGCGCTGGGTTAGGATAGGATTTACGGTACATATTTATCCCGAGATAGAGGAAAGGCAATAAGGTGGCCTAATCATATGGCAAACCACGATCTCTACTCCGGTTATCAGTCCAAGTTGGTTTGGGATTAGTTAGCCAGTTATTTGTTTTCAGAAGTATGCTCCACACTAAGTTAAAGACCACAGACAATGAAAACAGCTGTTTTAGGAATTTGTTTATTTGTGTATATATTAATAAAAATCAGAAATTAACTTGTAATATATTATCAAGCCAAACAGTATCAATGCTGTTGAGGTATTTTTGCTAAGTAGCAATACTACAATACAGTAAAACTATTATTTACTATTTATTCAATTTGCTTTACTTCTAAACTTTCAAACCTTGTGATATTTCTGACATGAAGATCTCTTCTATAACTCAATAATTTTCCTTGATATAAATTGAATATCTAAATAGAACATTGTAAATTTTGAAACAAATTATCAACGTATACAAGAAAAATAACCGTAACCGACCAGCGGATACTTATTTTGAAAGATATAAACAAAGAATAAACTGATTTTATTCCTTTTAGGGACAAAATAAACATTAGCATAGTGAAACCCATATTTTTATTGTGATCAATTTTGAGAACATAACCATACAGTATATGAAGTGATTATTATTACTATAATGTTACTATATTATAATATTATAACCATAATTATTAAACAACAGAACCATGCTTGAATATTTGGACTTAGAGGTCAAACGTGATATTACAGTATTCCCATGAATTGGAATAAAACAGTAAAACTTGGGGTGATTCTAATAGTTATCATAATCTTCTTGGCTCAGCATACAGCCTACTCAATCAATAAGACCATCAATAAGATAGTGCACTCAGAGTTTGGAAATGTGATTTTTAATGTATTATATGTGCTAGGTCCAATGCGCCATCTCACCAACAAAAAAGTCAGCATAACTATAAAATCATCTTAAAATATCAATCAAAAATGAAAAAAAAATGACTCACTGCAACACCTGTCCCACAAGAAGCATAACATTTTTGATTCTTGCTTGCTGACCCTTCTAACGTGATATTGTCAAAAACATCATTCGATGTTAGACCTTCTGTAATGACTTTGTGTGGAATTAAATATTTGTTACCGTATCGAAAACACCAGGACTGTAAAATAGAATATTAAAGTTGAGAGGGAAAACTGAAACATAATATTTCAATATTATAATTACTCTAACAATATTAAAAAAAATTAGTTAAGCCGATCTGCTATTTGATGTATGTTGGGAAGCATTCAGAATTGCATATGAAACCAGAGACCGAACTCTACTAAAAAACTACTTAACATGATTGAATTTATTTATTTTGAAATTGTAGTAATTCAATTGACTTTTTTATACTTATTCATTATAAAATGCGGCCCGCAAGGGAAAATTGTGCGGCCCGTGGTGAAGTGCTAACTTTGAATGTCCAGCCAGCGAAATGAGTTTTTAATTTATTTTAATCTGGTTCTCTTTGCATGGCAAAGCTTATATCCGAGTCTAATTTATTATCTATGCATATGGTGTTACAATTTCGTAACAGCGGAGCAAACAACGCGATTCAGAAAGCTGTCACTTGGTGTACAGCATGCAATTTGAGGAAAGTGCAGAGCAGACGCTAATGAATTAGGAAGAGCGGGCAATTAAAGATTAGGCAATTGGAAAGGAGTTTAAAAAAATATATATTAAGAGATACAAAAGCTAAATAAGTTTTGGTTCCAAACTTCCAACCTATCAGTTGATTTTGTCACAATCTGATCTAGAATTAGATTTAATAGCAAACTATTTAGAAATGAATCCTAGCGATTTTTACTGGAAACATCTCAACCAAGATAACTTATAAAACCGACTGAAAGACAAAGACTTGGAAATGGATATCGAATTGCTAGCACTTACATTGAAGCAAATTTGGATAAAGGTAGTCGGGAAAATAATCCAGCAGCAAATTTCTCACTAAATTTGTTTAAATTTAAATAAAAGTCTTCAAACAATTTTGCGTTTCAACTCATCATTTCTGCAAGGATCTCCAATAATGCCATCAGATTAATAACAAAACGACACTATTCTGTGTCTGCAACTAATAGAGAGCCTATGTTAAATGAAGGTGCGGCACGCCGTTTTACCCAGTTATCGATATCTGGCCGGCCTACAAAAAAGGTTGCACTCCCCTGATATAAGGCATAAATTAAACATATTTTATATAATATAAAATACTTACAGTAACATTGCCAGATCCTGCTGTAACAACTTCATTACAACTTTCATTGCAAATCATACTAAAAATAAACAATAAAGCTTATTGGAAATATTCCGATTTAGACTGATGTATTAACACTGCAACATAGGATAGGATATGGTTTAACATATTTATTCCGGGGGAGATGAAAGATGATTAGACAGTGTAATCATATGGCAAACCACGAACTCTCGTCGGGTTACCAATCCATATCGGGGTATGATATTGATTTGTCAGTTATTTTTTGTTTTCAGATGCATGGACTTAATGGTTGAGGAAGTCGTAACTGACCAGCGGTTTCGTGAACCACCCTATGGCGGTGAGAAGTTCAGCCATCTTCTCGCACATAACTATTGCCTCACAGGATTCAAACCTGCAAACCCACGCGAAGTAATCAGAGGTGTGGTGGCAAGAGCATTCCCAACTATTGGCATGATGCGACACACCGCTGATTCAAATATACATATACTTAAATAATTTGTGTCCAACTCATACCAATTAATTTTCATATACAGCGTATTAATATACCTTTTACTCCAAACTAGGCTCTGCACAAGCTAGGTAAGGAGCTACTATAGTTTGGAAGGACTGGGTGAAGAAAGACACCAAGGGTGGTGGGTATGGGATTTGAATTTGAACCCAAGATTTTAAACTACTTTAACCTCATAGTTAACCCTTTAACCATTAGGGCGGCGATTTATGTTATATTCAACCAGAAAATTTACAGTTCTCTGCAATATAAGAGCTACTCATGCACATAATGGTTGCTTGTTTGGACTACTTCAAAGCAAAAGTAATTAATAATTTATAAATAATAAAAAAAAAATTTTATTGTAATATACAATGATGAACTTACCAACTGATTTTATATTGAAAGGTTGCTGTTGATATAAATTCAATATCTGAGTTTAACAACTGAAAATTAACAGTGTCAATCTTAGAAATTGTGTTAAATTGAACATAGTTCAATAATGTAAGAAACCTCATGACTTATTAACTTTCAATTTTTAAAATTTTCAAGTAAAATATCCAATATTAAAGGCTGTTACATATATAGCATTTCGAGTAAGAATATTCCCATAACTTCAAAAAATTTTGGGTGCTCCCGTAGTATGTGAATCAAGATGGCGGACACTGGAACGTAGTAGTATGTGTACCAGGTTAGGGTTAGGACATAATTTTATTCCAATTTTCCTCATTTTAGTTCTATTACGAGTTTGGGGACTAGCCAAGTGTCTCCCGTAGTATTTGCACCTGAAATTATGGCCTAACCCTAACCTGATACACATACTACGATGCGGAGTCCGCCATCTTGGTTCACATACTACCTGAATACCGATTTTTGTTCATATAACAAACATTCTACAATGAATGTTTACAGACCAGAGTTTGTTGTTCCATTTACCAGCCCAGGTCAAATATAAAATAGCTAAAATTACTCCACAATTGTTCCACAAAAATGGACTGGAATTAGAACAAATCAAAGAAAATAAGAAATCTAGATTTTCACCTAATTAATATGAAATATCGTCTTTTAACAAAAACTCATTTGAAATAAAGGGTATAATAAAAAAAAACCTTCATTTGTTGATCAGAAGTAAGTGCAATATATTGATTAGATTTTGAAGACCGGATCATATCAACAATTTGATCACCAGGATCAATGATATCTTTCCTTCGACCATCTCGATAAAATACTCGAATAAACTGGTTATCAACTGTGATTATTTCCTGTATAAAAAATATTTAATGGAAAATTACAAAAAATAAAGATGAAGTAGAAAGCTCAAACTAAATGAGTTGAATTTGAAAGTGATTGTTAGCTGACAGTTCAGAACATTTCCCCAGCCTTGACAATTTTATATTACTGTGTGGGATAGGTGGCCTCGATTGCTCGAGTGTTGACAAGGGCCATACAAAATGGCTTGGCAAGTCGGGTTGTGTTGCACACCCCTGCTCTAAGCATACAAAAAGTTACAAACACTCCTTTTATGATCCGAACAACTTTCAAGTAGAACGTTTTGCAAGGAAAATCATATATAACTAATATTTAATTGCTGAATTCTGTAAAAAAGGGGTGTTATATGATATCATAGTAATACCTCTGTAATTGCATTATAAATAACACATCGCAATGGTTCATCATGATTCAGTTTTCTTTGGTGATGGATACCATGTGTAATAGTCGACGGCTTCACATCATCTTTTTTCATCAAATCAGTGAGAAGTTTCACAGAATTTCTGTTGAAGAAAATAATTACAGGAAGTAATTGAAAAAAATAATTACAGAAAATAATTGAAGGGAATAATTAGGAAAAATAATTGGAGAATGAACATTTATCATTGGCACATGATGTTTTGGACAATTAAAAAAAAAGCTACCAAATACCTCAATATCGACCATAGCTCCTTAGCCCTATTTCCATGTCTCTCATTCTTTATTGGCCATTCTGGAGTAGAGAGTGGAGTGTGAGTGGGTAATTTTATTTTCGGAGTTTCAACAACAGACATTGTTGCATTAATTAAAACTGATTAATTTTGAGTTCATCTGCGACAGAAAACAACAGAAAAATGAAAGCTAAAGTAAATCCATATCAAAGATAATATTATTATGGATGTCAAATGATGGCCTAACGTTAGCTCAAGAAAAGAAAAATTAAAGCTGAAATCGTACCGTACCGTATATTATTAAATTTCTGACCCGTCTGAAGTTTTAAAATTTTCTAATGAAAATAATTATGAGAACGTAAAATGACATTTAGCCTATTCTACGATGAAATTATGGAACAATAAATTATTTTCGAGGTTATACCACAAAACGATAAACGAACCAGAACAGAACTAGGCCTTTATCGCGAGCTGTGGTTGTAATTTGGGCTTCAATGATCTCCACGGCAACCAACTCATGCGGAACGGGTATAGGTCAACAGTCGTAGGTCAAAAAGATGTATGCATATGTTAGTCGTCGATCAATCCCAAGTAATATTTCTACATTCGCCTTGCACACATGCATATAAATTAGCATGTAAATTTTGCGCTTTTCACTCTGTACAATATTTTACCTTTCAAAATTGCTAGAGCATTTTTATTACACACGGTAGCGTGACAAAAGATAGGCTTCATTCTACATACCACCAGAGCCGTTATATCAGAGCCGGCTCTGGTTATATAATGGCTCTGATACCACTGTCAAAAACTACTCAATCTTGATTTTTCATGCTGGCAACAGTATTTAATCACGGTACACGGAGCATTCCAAGCCGAAAGAATTGATTACGGATAAATTTAAAGTTCCCCTGTTCACCATTCCAAAAAATTAGACGTGTTTGAGTGTACAGTATTATTTATTTTCGACCTTGTGGAATGCAAAAACAAAACACAGGCTAGAACAAGGGTATGCAATTCAAGAGTCCTGCTGCACACTAACACAAATATATTTCTGTAACGTTTCGTCAGGCGCGATTTTTGGACCTGGAGACATGAATTTTGCCCATCTAGACTAGCGAGCCATGTAAGTGTGACGTAAAAGTTAAATTTTATGAACACTATTTACAGTGTTACAAAAGCAAACGTGAAAAACAATAAGCCTCGTGCCGAAATTCAATTTAATTGCAATTTCAACAAATATATTAAGATAAGATAAGATTTTATTTCGATTCATTCGCAAAAATGAAATAAACATATATACACAAAAGATTAAGGCGAAGAATCTGGAAAGTGAACAAAACCCAATAAATTAAGTTAAAAACGTATTAAACGCGTTCACTTACCGAAGAAGAAAGAAAACAAGTCACAAACAAATGAACATGAATATTGACGGCGGTCATTACTCAGGCGTTTAACTTGGTAATCAGGTTGCGTGCCTTTTTTTCAAAAACGAAACAGTGAACTAAAAAAATATCCGCTGTGCGCGTGATGCGGCATGTAAACAAACAATCCGAAAAATCCTAGAATGAGGTGCGAATGCATGTTTCCGTTCCATGCTCGAACATATATCTAGTAAAATCTACTAAAACGTTAACACACCAATGTGAAAATTGATTGTGAATTTTTAAATATCAGTTCGTGCAGTTTAACTTTTGTATATCCGGTCACATATTTGAGCAAGCATAATTTCGTCCGAACTTATCTTCACAATATCTTTAAAAATCTTCCATTTTGCACCCATGTTGCACATTTCCATTCCATCATTCAAAAAATCTGCTTTTTCTGTTATTTGTTTATTGATGTCACTAAGTCTGAGATTCACTTCTCCAATGCATATCTTCGGCTCGATAGCCACGTCCGCACGGCGGTCGGTACTAACAGGAGTAATCAAATTAAATCAATATTTAGCTCAAACATCAAAATTTGGTTTTAGTTTGGCTGTGGCAGCATCAGTTGGGCCAGATTGAATTACCCAAAGTGACTATAAACCTATAAACCCAAAGTGACTATAAAGTGAATATAAACTAAGGTTTATAGTCACTTTGGAATTACCTAACGGACCGGATTTGGCTCGCGGGACGTAGTTTGCCCATGTCAGGGCTAGAAATTCAAAGCTTTGCACTATTTGAAAAAAAGCTTGCTGAATCTTTTTTTTCCTGCGTCCTATCAGTAGAACCACCATTTTCTCCGCACATGGCTTGGTGAGATTGTCGGCAATGGTGTGCGGCTGCAGTTTGCGATATGCCAATTCATAGCTGCATTCAAATGCAGACTTTCCCTTCGGCAGAAATCCGAAATTGGTCATTGTTGCCTTTCTGTGAAATCAAACTCGCTCGGCAGTCAAGGCATTTATGTCAACATCCTTTACCGGGGGATGAATTTTGTCACGGGGTTTTTGGAGTTTAGATGGCCGTAATGATTCATTACTTATTACATACAAGCGATGCATTGCGCACATTCTCTGCCATCTCGATTTACTTTGGTAAACCCAAAGCAAACGTAACTATCGTTACATTTTCGTTTCTTGGCTATTAGAAACTTACTTCCTGTATCTATAATGCGTAAGAGAAGGTTGTCTCGCAATCTACTGTCCGTCTACAGGTCAGACGGCCTTCATAATCTATTGTTAGTTTTGTGTCGTGGGCTCGTGGCCCCCCTTGAACCACTTGCTTAGAGAATAATAACAACACAATCACACAGCCAGATAGAATAACGTGGGGTATTTAGTGTGATGATGAAGATTCAATTGCATTTAACAAAGGGAAAAAATAGAAAGGGGGAGAGCAAACTGGATTTACGGAGGAAGATCGGAAAAATTTGGAATGTAAAGACGAAAATTATATAAGTAGTTAGAGGAGCATTAGTTGCAGTATCGCATAAGCTAGATGGGTACTTGACCACAATGGGGTCGTTTTCGTGACATTGAGTTTATTTCATTCCATAGCACAAACCATAATGGCTGAAGAGAAAGGGCGATTAAACAACGACAAACCTGGTTGGGATATATTGAGAACTGACTTCATAACAAAATTGAAGAAGGAGTTTATGGACACAATCAGACAATGTATATTTGTCATTTGCTGCATCTATACAAGAAGTGCTGTTACGGTAGTGGATGGAGCAGAAAGCTGGACCTAGACACTGATTAACTGAACTAGAAACCGCACTACGAGTCTAAGCTACTGATAGCTCACACAAATAAACACCATTTTAGACATAAGACCAATTCATACATCAGACAAGGAGCAAGCAAGTCATAAATTTCATAGTAATGTTAAAACTGACTTGATAATACTAATCATTGGATCACATTATTCTTTCAAATTCATGTCCGAGCTACTATGAGGTATTCCTGTGTATCATACAAACCAGATATCGGCTATAAATACAGATGTTTGCAAGTCAATCAACATCGCAATACCTGATTCTCTAAGTCTAACTTACAATTCAGACAAACATACATTAGAAATTTTAATTTTTATTCCAAATCACAAAAATTAGTTCAATAGCATGTTAAAGCGGAAATTATCAGTAACAAAATATGACATCCGCAGAAAAAATTATTGCACAGAATAATACCAATCATCACAAGCAAAGTTATCAATTTGGCAAAATACCATCATAGAATTTAAGGTTGAAAAATCAGAAATGAACTTAATGTAATAGGACAGAGACCCTATGTCATCAGTGATGAATTACGATAAATCACTTTATAATACAGAATTGATGCCGAAATATATATAGTTCCTATAATAAACATTATTTAGCTGGAACGAGCGAGCCCAATTCGAGTGATTTTTCATATTTAGTGCGACCTTCTTCCATTAGCTTCTCTATTTCTTCAACATCTCGTGGTACACAAGTTAACATTTCCATTCCATCAGCAGTTATAGCAACATCATCTTCAATTCGAACCTGAAATTTGAGTAATTGAACTAGTCAATAATAAAGTCACTGGCTCGACTGCAGTTGGACTTTAGAATCATTTATAAATGACTCGAAGTGACTCATGTTATACAGATAAGAGCAGTGGTGTGATTCAGCCGGTTCGCATCGGTGCCTCTAGAATCGTCTCACGAAATTTTAAGAAATTAGCGAACCGGTTAGCATTAATCAGTTTATTTGCTGTAAAAATATGACTTATTGTAACAGAAATGGCTAAAGAGATTACTTTTGTGATGGAACCGGCTGACAAAAAATTTGAATCCCACCACTGGCTAAAAGTACACATACTCATACCTAAATAATAACCGCTTGTGAGACTTAACTGTGACTGATAACCTGTGACTTGAGATTCTGAATTTGGGGAATTTTACCCAACACTCATCGTAATTGTAGGTGATAGAAGAATTATAACTATCCCTGGAGAGTCAAGAGTTACTATGGTATGAACTTGTTGCTAATTTTAATCTTATTTAATTTAATTTCAGCAACATTTCCAGATGTACAGAAACAGTTTTAATTTAGCATTGGTAGTAAACTAAAATGTTTTGTACCAAATGCATGCCTTTAGACATGCACTATTAGAAATATTATTGTAGTGTGGTGACATTATACCTTTAGTAATATATAATTAATTGGCCAATAAATTTGTAATTTTATTTAATCTCATTGCACTAACCAATTCAGATAAAAGTATTGAAATGAATAGGAAAACCAAGTAAATAAACTTACACCACCAAAATTCTGAAATCTTTCAATTGCCTCTCTGTTCAGAAAGCATGACCAATCAGGATTATCAAAAGCTTCTGACATGACCTGAACAAACAAAATGTAATTTTACAAAAAAATTTACAGTCTACGCAATTAGGTTCCTTATGTTGTCATCAATGCCAGATCTACATTAATACTTTAGGTATAGCTAAGAAGACAGATTTTGTAATTCATTACAATGTGTACATGAATGTTGTATATTTTTATCATCGTTGCAATGCTTGATTCTTCGGGTTGACGAAACAATAAATCTCTCCCTCGCATTAATTAGAATATTATAATATTGTCAACCTAATTCACATCACCTATTCTGCCAAAGCAATAATGTAGCACAACCTACCGCCCAATTGAAATATATTCCTGGTTCAACAGTAAGAACCATGCCTTCCTCCATTGTCCTTGCAGTTCTTAAACTTCTCAGGCCTGGCTCAGTTCTACGCTCTGGTGTACCCTAATATTAAAATACCTAGAATTGAGTTATAATCCTCACATTTCCTGCAGGCAAGGAATTGCATGTATAGGTAGGTAAATTATGAAAAAAAGCACTAATAACAGAGATTAAATTCAAAACTAGTTTACACTGAAAGTACAGCTCATTACATTACAGAGATTAAATTCAAAACTAGTTTACACTGAAAGTACAGCTCATTTCAATTGACAAATGCATACCTTGTGTATTTATCCTGTGATACAAGTCAATGACACCAACTTTACCCCAGCCAGGGATGTCAAAACAAACCATGTATTTGAATAAATTCAAAATCAGTTATTCAGTTATATTCCTATATATTATTTGGAAATGATATCATCTGTTAAATTGTCATTTTGCGCAATTGACACAATTGCCATATATTGCTGTTTGAGTAATATATGAAAACTTAATAAAAACATTACAAAATACAGATTTAATAAATTTTTTCAAAATTGTCAAATTTGATTACTGCAAATATTGTGATAACTTCAATTTCTCACACTCAGTACCATATTATCCCAACACTACGCACTACTGTGCATTCTGTCAAGCACGACTGAATTTAGAATATATTCAATATCACTCAATTCTAAATATTGTTTAGAATATAATCGAAAAGTATTTCTTTGGTACATTTTTTGGAGGCATAGGCGACATGGATGGATGTACGTACAGTTTCCTTTGTACTTTGTACAAGCTGAGAAAAAACAAAAGGATTATTTTTAAAAATCAATCCTGTTTAAAAACTCACCTCTAGGTAACCGCCAACATCATGTACATCATGTCCCATTAGATGCCCAAGTCCATGAGGCATAAACAAACTTCCAAGTCGAACTTTCATCATTTGTTCAACATCTCCATGAATCAGTCCCATTTTGACGAGTTCCTCCAATTGAACTCTATCAGCCAGAAGATGCATATCAACCCATGACACGCCTAGTAAACGAAACAGCGAATTGATGGATGAGGTAATTATAGAATAGCATTAATAATACTTTGCATGGTGAACCTAAAACTTTATGAATAGCTGCTCAGGACACTGGGGTCAAAGGTATATCATCAGTCCTGAACAAGTTTCATCTTTTTAAAAACAATACCAAGATGCCACATTTGATGGTAATATTGATCAATGTTGGAGAGACTCAAGTGATTCAGCTAGAAATGTCTTCTCACAGACTATAAGTCAGACTTGAGTCCTCCAAATAAAACGAATAGATTTGAACTCAACTAGCTAGGCACCAGAGGGACATGAATTGAAACTCAAAGAAGATCTTGCGAAATCTTTTTGAAATAGAAAATAAAAAATATTACTGTTAGGGTTACCTAATTGTATTAATGTTGATATAACTCAAATTAAAAATTTGTATAGGAAGGCATCATGTTTATCTATTTCAGTTGTCCATGAAATCTTCTATGACTCATGACTCAGACTTCATATGTGATTAGAAAGAGTTGCGACACGTGGCTCAACCCATCGCTCGATCTTACTCATGCTAGTGATGTGAGCTCAATACTGCAAGCAATATATGAATACCTGGTTTTAAAGCCTTAAGCACAGCTCTGGATGCCTTCAACACTGCATTGTATATTTTCTTCTGGTCATCAGTAAATTTGCCATTAACTGGATAAGAGCAAGTTATGTCACTTGCATAACAATAGTATTCTCCTCCCATATCAAACAAACTAATGAAACAAAAACGTATTTGTGTTTTGTACAAGATTGCTGAAATATTGCCACTCGTACCGAAATAGGTAAGCGATCATGACTTTAATTTAAAAAAAATTATAGATTGAATGAAATGAAAACAGGCCTATATAAAACTTCACTATTTGCCATTTTACTTTACAGTCTTTACTTCTCAAATAAAATTTTCATACATACCACATATCCCCATTATTTATTTTCTTATCATTTGGTGCACCAGCATGTCCATAATGCAAGATCGCGCAATTTTCTCCAGTAGCACCAATGCAGGTATAGGCAACATGACGACAACCCCCATGCAAGTAAACATGATGTTTGAACAAACTAAAAAAGAAGAACTATTTTATTATTGATAAATATTCAAAGTGACTCTATTTGAAATTAAATATGGAGCGAGTAGCAACTGGCACCAGACATGATATAAACATGTACAATATCCATACAGTTTGCATTCAATTGCAATTAATGTGCAATAAGAAAGATGAAATAAACGCCAATTATGAACAATTTTCGGGGTGACACCCATATTTCAAGATTCTCTCATATCTTCAGGATAAATTTCCAAAATCAGGTTTCCGAAATTACAAAAATCTATAGAAATATTTGCTATATTACCCATTGAATGTCGTTAGCAAAGTTTTTTAGCAGAGCCAATCCCACATAATTACATTTATGATACATAATTTTAGAAGTGTCAATTTTCAAATGCCTAGAGTCAGGTACTGGTAGTTTTTTAGGTGCTCCCGTAGTATGTGTGCCAGTCTAGGGTTAGGCCATAATTTTATTTCGATTTAATGGTACACTTACTTTTGGAGTGCCGTTTTTGATACACAATATCAAAATTACAGAAGCGCATAGCAATAAAAGATCACCTCTCTGCTTGATATTCCATCCATCCCGGTCTAATTCTTCTCATCAATTCCATATGTGCTTCACTACTGACTTTGTTTACATATCTCAGAACTTCCAATTCCTGAGCTGACTTGATAACTCTGAGAGCTGTTATTTCCTTATGGAGCAAAGTGTTGTTCACTTTGAATCTAGAAAATGATTTGTTTGATAAGTTGATCACTTTATAAAAACTAAATTATTCCAAAAATTTGATTGGTAACAGAAACGGCTAATTGATTGGTAAAACGGTTGTGCCTCATATTGAAGATAGATAGCTTTCACATATCGCTATCAACAAGGTATATATTTATATTAATTCGGTTTAGAATAAGTCAGACAGTGTCATAAAACACAAGTCTGTAAACACAAAAATAATGCAATTATATACTAACCCACTGATTCCATCAAAAACGGCTTCTTTTGTCATTTTACCGCTATCAGTATTGAGCCCTCTCTGAAAAAAGCATATATACTGTAATTATATACAAATGTTCAGTATGCCTATTGCATACCCACATACCAAAACATTTGACAATGGGAAAATAAATGCTTGGCTTGTGATATCGAGGTGGAACTGAGTTCTGGTTGCTGAATTGCAATATTTTTATTTAGAACATTGTCAATCGCAAAGGAGCAAAACTGGTTGTTGTTGTACTAATTTATTGAGAAAATAATAAAATACTGCAAGAGTGCGATATTTTAGGATATGCTTGCTTATCAAGCCTTTAAATAACAAGTAAATCGGTTTCGGCATTTCTAATAATAAATCCGTTATCCAACCACACATTATATTTGGAATTCTCAAGTACGGTAAGTAAATACTTCTGACTATTTATTACAGTGCAGAGTATGGAATACATCAATGAGTCGCATAACTCTTCAGCATTCTTCACAAACAATTTGTAAAAAGAATAGGAATTCTATTTTCTGTGCAGCTTTTACATATTGTTTGCCAAATACCCACAATCGGTAGAATCGCCAATCAGCAAATTTCTTGTCCAAATAATACCAATGTTTGCCAATAGCTCGCAACTACTATATGCAGTAGTACTAACAAACAAGAGTTAATACCAGTATCTGTATTTTAAATTTTTTGTTTTTGAGGTCTATCATAATCCAGCAAATTCTTATCATAATGTATTTCCCTGAGCAGCCACATATATATATATATACCTGCTTTGCAATGGAAAATCAAATTTATTGTTGTATTTATGATATATAATTTTCTAGACTTACATACCAGTGTCAGTAATGTTGAAGGGCTTGCTGCTTTCAGAATTTCTGCTACCTAAAATGAGAAAAACAAATTATGTATTACAAATTACAATATTATTCTAATAATTTTGTTCCAAATCAAAAAACCATCATTATGGTCCACTAAACTATTCTATAAATAATATTAGATTTGAAGTAACGACATTTACTACACATAAACGAATTGAATTTTCATTGGAATGCATGGAAATTGGGACTGGTATCAGTTTCACAAATACTACATCCAATTTTCAAATTTTGCATAAGTTGATAACATTGGGTTTGAAAGGATATTTTCAACCTCTGACACCAAGAATGTTTTAGTCTGTAATGGTAGTCTCTAATACATCACTCTATACAACACAATGCTAATTTCAAGAATCTTACTTAGTCCAAAAAATTTGCAACAAAAGATTTCATAAATTACAAATCTAGTATTATGAAATAATATTCTAAATCACAAATTGAATTATTACATGGCCAAAATCATCATGTATGATATAAATTGTTATCTGAACCAAATTTGAGTGATGAACAATCATCTTAAACTAGAGACTTCAATCTTAATTTCAAAACCATATATCTTACATCTGCTGTATATTGAACATCCTCCACCGCATATTTAGCCTTGAAATGTCCAAGAGAGTAAATTTCACCCAGCCACACTTTGTAGGAATCTGGAAGTTTCGGCATAAACAATGTCGCTTTGCCACTGTCAATGTCAATCACCCCATAACAGCCAGGCTCAGTAACACCGAAACACCATTGGAAATAGGATTCCTGAAATGAAATCATTTATTACAAAAAATCTGCCAAGATTTTAAACTCATTTGAACAAAATCAATAGATAATAAAAATGTAAAATAATTTGATGGTCCAATAGTAAAGAATTCCTCCTGATTAATTATAACTACAAATAAATGTCTCACTGAAATCAGATTAATAATGGCAAAAAGAAAAAAAAATTAAGGCAATCAAACATATGTTGATAATGAAGTCTTTTCCCATGGGGGATAATTATGTGCAAGAGGATTGCTAAACTCCTAACTTCGTAGGGTGGTTCACATAACCGCCGGTAAGTTACGGCTTTCTCCACCATTTGAAACAAATAAATGATCAATTAATTATTCACATATCAGACATGAACTGTTAACCAGACAAGACAGCCTCTTGACATATTATAATAAAAAAGAATATATATATGGAATATATATGAATATATAGGAATAAATATGTAAATCCTTTCCTATCTTTAACAACAAAATCAATTTTCACATAAACTTCAACATACTTGTCTAAATATGAGATCTACATCAGTGGAATCTTGTGAAATCTCATCGCCACCTTGCAGCAATACGATAGATTTTTCTGAAACATCAGAATTTCCTTTTAATGCTTTACAGAGACGTTTTCTGTTGTGTGCAAATAAACTCATAGGAACTGGAAGAGTCTGTTCCCCAAGACAATAAACTGGCCTGTGAACCAAAATTAAGATAACTAATCAGATATTAGAATTTAATAATGTTATCACAAATCAAAAAATTTAGTAGAGCCTGATGGTGATTGCTGGATTGATATGCCTGGATGCTTTTGTCGCATGTTTTAGAATGTTATCAAACTAGTTAATGGATTGAAGATTGTGGTATGATTAAGCCATATTAGTTTATTTTTTGTCAATAGTTTATTTTTTGTACATTTTTTATTGTAAAAAAACAATAATTATAACTTACTCGGCTTTCGCGGACATCTTTATTCAATTATTGCAGTAGGTTCCAAAGATATGACAATGCACTCAATATCAGCAAGTACTGGAAGCCTTTTATTTATTTTATTATTTTTGCCAGATTCATATTTCAATGTTATCATAGAGGTTATGAATTAGGTTTTTGACCAAATAAAAACATCAAGTGTTAGTATAAATTTTGGTTTCGATAATTTAATTTTGTAAAACAATCACATTCTGATTAATTTCAGAAAGAATAATATAACAATCAATCATTTATTTTGGTTCTCTGACATAAATAAAAGAAAAAGTAAACGAACATAACAAAATGCAGAAATACCTGGGAGACGGGCATAACTCAAAATAAAGATAAAAAGCGTACAATGTACGTGCCTGCTCCCCAAAAAAAAATAATAATAAAACAAACACAGAAAAACACGATTTACAATCGGGCAGTACTTTGAAGGCAATTCAACAAAAACAGCAAATATGAAGTACATGAATGCAATAAACTTCTGACAACTTCTTCCGTCTTTGGTTGATGAAACTTTGAACCACATGTTGGTATCCAATTAGGATTTATTGAGAGATCACCAGAATTAATATATAAATGAAGCCGATTTTGAATACTGCAAATACTGTGTGGGCCTATGGAATTCTTGGATGTGTATAGCACAAATCCGAATAAGTAGAAAGCTATAGGACACATCGTTTGAAAGAAATACCTTGAGCAAAGTTGAAATAAGTGATAGAAAGAAAGTTAAATTATGCTCATGTCCTATGTTGCGGCATAAACACAGTACAGTGGCTGCAAATTTCATCAAAATAACAATTATTGGTAGAAAAAGAGCAAAAATATATTATTGCAATAATATCCACACACTAAGGTTACTAACTAAAAACTCATGATAAAATAGAAAATGAGTAACAAAAATATGAAATAAACTACATACTGAAACTATCTATTTATAAGAAAATATTAGCAAGCAATATGCATACATTGCATATTTGTAGAACATTGCTTGCAAAATGCAGTGCTAAAAATCACTTCTAACGTGGCCAATTCCTTGTCAGATCTCCAAGCCATTCCACCCACTATCACAGATTTTATTTATGCTTCGCATATATCCAGAATAACTTCCAACAAGCAATATAAAAAAAATTTGAACAAATTTCGTCAAGTATTAGAGAAGTTAGAGCATTTTGAAGATTGCCATTATTTATGAACGAGACAATCTTTTGAAGGTTTTATAAAATCAATTATTAAACATTTATGTGCTTTTTTTAGATTATTTTTTCATTATTATACTCAATTTTTGGTGCTGTTGAAGAAAATACAATTGCGCCTCAGAAGGGTAACAAAAAATTATTTTTTCACGTTCCGAACCTCCTAAAATTCCTGATTTAAACTCAAAACAGCCTTCAGAATCAGTCATGCGCGACGAAGACTTCATCTTCAAATTACAAAAATGGGTAAGTTTTGTTTTTGATAAAATGAATATTTTCTGAAAGCTTGGTAACAATGCAAGTCTGTGTAAAAATTTCATTTTGTATTTTAAAAAATAGAACCTATTTTTGCTCTGTCAAAGTCGTGTTCAAATTCTAGGTCAAAATGTTATATAAAGTGATATTTTCTCTATGACGTCATAATGGTGAAAGGTGATACCACAATAAACATAACACATTTATGAATCAGATGCCCAATCAATTGGAACTGAACATAGTTTTTTATTAAATAACATAATAAACATATTACCATATCAAATAACAGGCAATAATTAATTGAGAATCACACACAGTTGGGAATATGAACAAGGAATACCCAAATTACTGCTGGGCCCAAAAAACAAACCATCCAATATTACAATTTTACAACATTTCAAAATAAAATTTTAACAGAAGAAAGAAAGAATTTACTATTAGTTATACACGTTTTGCTTCACCCACCAGCTCAAAATGCATGAAACAGTGTAAAACATTTAAATTATTCTCTGTTGGGTCGTTTTTGCGGGAATTTTTCATGCCAAACAGTTGATATAAGGGAAGACGATTGTTCTGTTAGTTGATACTGTCCCCTAGTTGTTTGTAATATGGGGCATTCTATTGTGCAGATCACATTTTCAAAGGGAACCCAGCATCTGTCATTATTGGTTGGCCAGTAAAATGAAACAGCCGGTCCAGCTGGATGGAAAAAAAATCGACATTCAAATCACCTTGGGCTTCATCCACCTCTGAAACCATTCCTATATACCATTTTTCGTCATAAACACAACATACATATTTCCCAACATTAAAATTGTTTCTAGGTGTTACATTTTTGTTAAAGTTCCAAATTAAGCTGTATTCATAATCTTTACTAATCCTTTTCATTCCTATTTGATAACTTGAGAGTGGTGTAAAATTGTGGAATGTTCTGGTTCCTTTGATGGTCGAAGCCCCGATCCGAGTTTGCAGTTTGGACCTCGATAATTTTAAATCTTCAGAAAGAAAGTGAAAAAAGTGAATCGATGGCATATGTCTTTTACAGAATTCCATCATTTTAGAAACATCATCAATCTGATGTTCTGGTTCACTTCTGATATTTTTTAAAGCAGTTGTGCGTTTGATGGTACCACCAAGACCATCACAAGCGGACTTACCATGATTAGTGGCAAAAAAAGACCATGAGGCTTTGATGTTAAAATCTTTGTGATGTTGGCAAAATTAAAAAAATTTTTGCAGTTTTTATACTGGGCAGCACACCCATCACTAAAATACTCAACTGAAGAGAGGTTGGGTATTTTATCTTTTAAGAATTCGATCGATTTTTTTTTTGAATAAGGTACACCATACCAACATCATGTTGGAGGTCTTCAGAAATAAAGCACATACTGATATGTTTCGGTATCTCATCTTTGTAGTAACACACCACTGGATGAACGGTGCAATGATTTTGTGTCCAGTGGTATCCTTGCGCTTCATTTTGAAATCGAAAACGATCATTTTCGCTGAAATCCATCAGTATGAGAGCTGTTGTTTGTTCCATATTTAATTTTCGGTTTTTGAAATAATTTGATTGGGCCTTCGAAATGTATGAGTGAGGTGCTAGAGCCAAAATTTTTTCCACTAAATATTCGATGAATTCTTCTACATTAAGGGTATTATCAATAAGGTCTGTTCTATCTGTGTTAACCCACTGTTTGAAACGCACTTCCTCTTGACACTGGAGTCTTTCTTCCAACCATTCAACTAAATTACTTTCTTTTGGACATTTGTCACATTGCCCCAACATACACTGCCTGTTACTGAGACTGCATACTGTCATTTTAATTATATCCGAATATGTTTCTTTAATCTGTGCGGCACGTAATAACAGGATGACATTTTGGTGTATGGTGCATACACACACTCTGTGCATACCAGGAGATGATACGGACATACACCATTTGGGACGAAGGGCACAGAATGAGGAAAGCCAATTTTCAATTGCGGATACTTGTCTTTAAAAGCGATATACAACTCTTTTAGCGTACATAAAATTAATCTTTTTTGCAAATAACTATTTTTTGCTATGCTAACTTTATCTTTAGTACCAAGAAGCAAACGCGTGAATTCATCATCTTGAAAAAAATCCTCAACATGCTTGATCACTTCTACTGGCATCTTCTTACCACTTGGTTTAGGTGGAACAGCTAAAATTCCTTCTTTTTTCACTAGAGCTTTGGCTGATTTGACCAAACTTTGATTAACATTAAAATAATTTGAAATCTTAGTGCGAGACCAGCTTTTAGGGTCAATGTCAAAAGTCTTAATTTTTCTGATCGTGTTATTGCATCTCCAATTTTTTCTTTTAATTCGTCGAGTGTGTGCCATTAAAATAAGGTGACAATTTGCAATCCATATCTTCTACATATTCAGCAATTAACCATTAAATCATCATCAAAGTATCAGAGCTAGTTCGGGTCAAGAGAAATTTCAACAATGAATTTGTGATTTTCTCTAAAATCTTTCATTTCAATCTTGTTATTGTGAAATACCTTGAGATATGCTGAAGTGTTGATTGGTACCCAAGTGAACAGAATCTTCAGTTGTTCAGCGTAATTGCACAATGCTGTAATGTAATGGTATTCAGCTTTCTGCAGTTCTGTTATTTTCTAACCTCAAGACAGATTGCGATAATTTTTATAGTCATAACACTCATAACCAAATTACGCTGTCTTTTTTTTTCTTCTGGAAATGGAAATATGCAATATTTAATACATTAATATAGATCAGAAAAGTATAGTTAAAATACAGCATGATAGTAAGTAAGGGAGTAAACAAAGAGATGTTTGTTTATGATAAACTGTTTATATTGAACAATTAATATGATAATTAATAATACAGCAATTATTTGTCAAATTTTCCTATATTGACATAGGTAAACTATCCTTTTTTTTTACTATATTGTTAAGAAGGTTAAGAAAATATTGATACAGAAATGGGCAAAAAGTTCAAATTTTGTCAACATACTGTAATAAACTTATAATACCAGGCATTTCCAAAAACCACTTAGAAATCTATCAATATTGAATGGTTCTTCACAGTTGTTTCAGTATTGAAATTATGCAAACTTTTTTTTTATCAGAAAAATATTTCAAAACAATGGTTGATACTAAGATATCAAGTTAGATATATAAACTGAGCATTATACCATCTATATACACAATTTGAAAGATAAAAACTACACATTTAAATACAGAGTATCATAAATAAATCAATAAAGTTCAGGATCTGATTGATTTGTGTAAACTCCCCTGTTAAAATAATCCAATTTATGATATAGGCCTATTCGATATCCATATTTGAAAATATTATTTTGAAATGTATTTGGAGTAGTTAATTATTCAGATTTGGGCATCCTTCGATAAAAAATTGAATGAGGGCAATTGGTTTGAAGGAATATATCATGTTTCAGTGCAATATATAAAAAACATCAAAAAATACAATATAAACTGTGAAATCATAATTCTGTAATGTATATTGTTGTATTGGATAAATCAATTTCAAATTTCCAGTACTTGAAGACGGAAGAAGATGCCAAAAGGCCATCTTCTTCTTTCAGGAAACAAGCTTACTCTGTTAGGTCTGCGTTGTCACGCATCATATATTCTAATATGCACGAAAGGGACACGACAAAATGAACAATTATGCATTAGTACAAATTTTCAAAATTTTAATTATAGAAACTCCTGGCCGCACTGTAAAGCCTTTTCGTCGCTGATCACATGCACAAGAAAAAAGTACCACAGTAAAAATTTTCTCTGACGATCTTTTGTATGAGAAACACTTTCCACGTTCTTCTAATCTAAAACATGCAGTTCTTACGTGTATGTTCGGGTACTTAATGACTCAGCCTATGCTTTCACAACGATTAACGCAAGTAACTATGCTATTCATGTTGTTATTCCTCAGTATGAATCGGTAAATGTTTCTTGTGAATAAATTGTGGTTGAAAATACCATCTTACGTTCTTGGCACAGTCAAGACTTCTTTCAATATGAGTTTGCTCATGTTTACGTAAACTAGATGAATGAGGAAAACTCTTATCACATTGTTTACAAACATGAGGTTTCTCTCCGGTATGAATTCGTTCATGCCTGTGCAAATTGGATAATTGCGTAAAACCCTTCTCACATTGTTTACAAACATGAGGTTTCTCTCCGGTATGAATTCGTTCATGCACTTGCAAATGGGATAATTGCAAAAAACACTTCTTGCATTGTTTACAAACATGAGGTTTTTCTCCTGTATGAGTTCGCTCATGTTTATGTAAATGAGATGATTGTGAAAAACACTTCCCACATCGTTTACAAATATAAGGTTTCTCTCCAGTATGAATTCGTTTGTGCAAATGCAAATGAGATAACTGGGAAAAACCTCTGCCACATTGTTTACAAACATAAGGTTTTTCCCCAGTATGGGTTCGCTCATGGCCACGTAAACTAGATGATTGAGAAAAACCCCTATTACAATGTTCACAAATATAAGGTTTCTCCCCGGTATGAGTTCTCATATGCATGTTTAAATTGTGCTTCGTTTTCAATTTTCTCCCACATTGTTTGCAAACATATGGTCCATCTCCACTGCAAATTTGCAAATCTGACACTGGTCTTTTGTTGGTATGAACAAGTGAATTAGCTTGTAACTTTCTGTCTGGTAAAGAGGTTATGTTAAGTTGCTCGCAATTATGTGCTGGGTTAGTTTAATCAATCAACCAACTTTTACTACATTGTGCATGAATATCGGATTTCTCTCCGCCAGCTCTTTGTAAGAAAGTTTTATTTGTAATAACTTCTCCACAATGCTCATTAGAGTTAATAGACTGACTTGTTTCTGCAATGTCAATGTTGATAGTTTCATATTCATTCAAATCTCCAATTAAATGATTTTCATCGTGAATATGCAAAAACATGTGCTTCTCCAAACTTGGCCCTGATGAGAAGTTTTCATTACAGATGAGGCAAGGAAATACATCTTCGGCGGTTTCTAATATTTTTATAAAATTTTCCATAATGTAGAATATCTTAATCAAAGAGCAATTATGATAGACTGAAATAACATGTTTTTCACAAAAAATTATTATTTTAGGCTCTGGTTACAATAACATATATTCCTGTATTCAGGCTAGAAAGCACAATCGAGCAACAACAGAAGGGTGATGTTATTAGCGTTGACGATTCAACGTAGCATTTGTAATTTGAATGAATCTAAAATAAATGAAGGGATTTCTAGACAGTCAGACAGTACGGTATATTGTCAACATTTCAGCATTTTGAGCGAGATAGTCTACCATGTCTGCATGTTGTGGTTTCACATGATGATTGAAATAGTTTCATCATTGATAAAACCAAAGTTTTGTTTTCCGTCTGACTTATCTGAAATATTGCAATAGACAGATACCGGTAGTGATGATTGAAATAATAAATTAGACTAGACTATACATAAGTCAGAGAAGGGCACCGTCTGACCATAGATTTTACATAACAGCATAACAACAAGCAAACTAGTCTACATAATAAAAAAACACCGGTAACTAAATTAATTCAGACGCCAAACTTTTTACGGGTCTCCCTAAAACCAGGCACTTGCGAATTCAGGCACTTTTTCGGGCACTTTGATATTTTTTATTTTTACCGTACGTCATTGGGGTTTTTGATTTACTTGACAAAATAATTAGACTTTAAATAAATTTTCGCATCCATATATTGCAATAAAACAATATTATTCCCAATTTATTAGGGTATAATTAATTTTTTAATAGTGAAATGTGGCAACATTGGTGACAAAATATAGAAATCAGGCACTTGGTCAAAACCTATTTTACAATGTATCTGATTACTTTAAAGCAAAAAATTAATAATACACACTTTGTATGATTGAATTTACAACATTTTGGTAAAATACAATACCGTTCGTGACTGATGGAGACGTGTCATATTCCGCAAGTGCCTGATTTTCCTCGGTGACAGTTGCCATATTTTTCGCAATTATTTTCTTAAATTATTTGCGTCAGAACTTACTAATTTTTGCTTTCTAACGCAAATTCATTGTTCCACAACAATTTGAGCGTTTTTAATAATGCAATTAGCAAAAACATTTGACAACATATGGTCAACCATCGTACTTTCTGGATTTTTTTGAAATTGAATATGAATGATAAAATCTGGCAAAGTCAAGCACAAAATACTAAAACCAGGCACTTGTGAATATTCAGGCACTTTGTAAAAACCTATTTCTCGATGTTTCTACTTAATTTGAAGCAGAAAACTAAAATATACACTCTTTTGTATGTTTAGAATGACGTCTTTTTTGGTAAAAAACAAAAACGATTGGGACTGGTGATGAGGGGTCAAATTTCGCAAGTGCCTGGTTTTTCATTTTTTTTATAACACTTGCCATATATTTTCGCAACAATTTTCTTAAATTATTTGAGTCAGAACTTACTAACCATTGCTTTCTAAAGGAAATTCCGTGTTCTACAACAATTTCAGCGTTTTTAATAATGCAATGAGCAATATCATTTGACAACATATAGGTAACCATCGTACTTTTTGGATTTATTTGAAATTGAATATGAATGATGAAATAGGATAGGATAGGATAGGATTTACATATTTATCCCGGGGGAGAGAAAAGCCGATAAGACGGCTTATCCATATGGCGAACCACGGCCTCTCGTCCGGTTACCATTCCAATTCGGGTATGGGATTAGTTATATTGTTTGTTTTCGGAAGCATGGACTTGGGTCTGGGACTGGCAAACGCAAGCAAAAATACTGAAATCAGGCACTTGTGAAATTTCAGGCACTTTGTAAAAAACTATTTCCCGATGTTTTTGATTACTTTAAAGCCGAAAATCCAAATATACATATTTTGTATGACTGGATTTGGTATTTTTATTGTCTAAAACAAGAAGAACTGTCACTGGTAGGGATGTGGCAAATTTAGCAAGTGCCTGATTTTTTGGATTCGTCAAAGGTAGTTGCCATATCTCTATAATTTTTGTCTTTTTTATATGTTGTTTCCCTATTGCATCATTTTATAAAAGTCAATGTTTGTATGAGATCTCCACTTAGCATAAATGAAATTAAACTTTTAACATCAGTATCTACAGCCGGAAATCGGTATTTAATTGAACCAATCACGCTTTTGCAAAACTATTTGCATATTGTAAAGCGTGAATGACATTGTGTTGTTTATTTTTATTAATTCAAAAGTATGACATATGTATTATTTAAATACGGGTTTAAATTTGACAGATCTGTAGGGAATATTAGTTATTCAGACAACATTTTTATAGTAATGTTCGGAACCCTTGAAATTGGTTCAAAACTTCTTTTAATTTGTTATAAACATTTCGACGTAATATATTACCCAGGTAGTAACAATCGCATCGTTAAAAACAATCTAATTTGCCTTTTGGCAATATTAGTTCAAAATTCCAGTTTTAATTGTTATCGGACAACGATTTTAATAATTTTAATTTGGCCTATGACTTCATATAAACTACATAACAGAAATAATTGACTTATGTCGTATAAAATCTTTTATAATGAGTATCCAAGTCACATTATCCCCTAATAGTACATAATTTTGCGTTCACAAAATGTATATAAGCCTGTGCAAAATCTATATTGACAACCAGCGGTGTTCAACCACTGCTTTGTTCAACTGAACTACAACTACAATAAAGATGTTCAATCACTTGCTGTTGTATAATATTCTTTACAACCTGAAGATCTGACTGTAATATCTTTTCATGGATAGTTTACGTAGAATTATTCGTACATTATTTCATGCTGTAGCAGCTAACTTTAAAACACGTAGTTCCTAAATAGGAAGAATGGCTACAGGATGGTAAATACGAGATGGCAATGTCACCTAAACAAAATTCGCTCGGCGAATGACATCAGGTAGCTGATAAGCCAAAAGTTAGGCTTAAAAGCATCGTTAAACGAATGTTACATTAAAAATCCTTTAATATTCAACACGCCAGTAGTCAGCCAACGAATTTTTTTGCGTTATTCAAAAAGTTGCAAATATATAAAAACGTAAAACAGTAATTGTTTTCTAATGTCACAGAAGCCGTATTAAACTCTCGATTATAATTCTTCCCTCATCAGTAATTGGGGATATATATTTGAATTTAAATTTAATCAGGAGATAAAACATTTAAAACACAACTTCACAAAGGAAGGGTATGAGTGAACACTAATTGAAGCTTTCAGTTTGAAAATCATTAGAAATATTGAGTATTCAATAAAAATCCTCACTATTCGTTTTATTTTGACATGATATGATTTACGTATCTTGCAATTAAGTAAAACCACAGATCTAAGAATTGAAAATTTTAAATGTCAGTTCTGAAATTAAACATGAAAAGGTTTTGTGTATATTTTTCTTCTTTTATATGTCGGGCGTATAGTTTCTTCATGTCGCGAATGAGCATCAGAATAGGTGGTGCAGAAAAGTTGGCGCGCAACCCGAACATAGTATGTGTACCAAAATAGAGGTATCAGGGAGCGCCCTGAAAATACCCACATTTGCAACACCGACTTACGGAATACAAATTTTACACTTCCACAATTTCGCTTTCGATACTTTCTCACAGGTATCGTGATACCAACGCTTGCAAACGCAGCATTGGTATTGTAGGTGCTCCCGACCTGCTCCCGTATACATTTCGCACTTTCACAGACACTCCAATTATTATTTTCCAGAATGCAAAATTCATGCATCGGAATGTCAGAGTATATGAGTGGCGACGATGCAGTGCGACAAAGTTCCAAATGTGATTGAATTTTTGTTGTCTCCGTTTACTCTTGTCTTGTTTACTCTTCCATCTGGGCGTTTTGAAGAGGTATGTACTCACTCCAAATATAAATACTTGCACCATCTACGGGCAGACGTCGAATTGAAATTAGCGAAAGGAATAGCACTCAATATACATCGGATTGTCTTAAAAAAACATTTTACGTAGAAAGCAAAGTATAGTAAGTACTAAGTTCTGACGAAAATGATTTATGAAATGTATTGCAAAAATATATGGCAACTGTAATCGAAAAAAAATGAAAAATCAGGCACCTGCGAAATTTGACCCTCATCACCAGTCCCAATCGTTTTTGTTTTTTTTACCAAAAAAGACGTCATTTCAATCATACAAAAAAGTGTGTATTTTAGTTTTCTGCTTCAAAGTAAGTAAAAACATCGGGAAATAGGTTTTTACAAAGTGCCTGAAATTTCACAAGTGCCTGGTTTTAGTATTTTGTGCTTGACATTGCCAGATTTTATCAATCATATTCAATTTCAAATAAATCCAGAAAGTACGATGGTTGACCATATGTTGTCAAATGTTATTGCTAATTGCATTATTAAAAACGCTCAAATTGTTGTGGAACAATGAATTTGCGTTAGAAAGCAATGAATAGTAAGTTCTGACTCAAATAATTTAGGAAAATAATTGCGAAAAAATATGGCAACTGTCACCGAGAAAAATGAAAAATCAGGCACTTGCGAAATATGACACGTCTCCATCAGTCACAAACGGTATTGTATTTTACCAAAATGTTGTAAATTCAATCACACAAAGTGTATATATTTAATTTTCTGCTTTAAAGTAATCAGATACATTGTAAAATAGGTTTTGTCCAAGTGCCTGAAATTTCACAAGTGCCTGATTTCTATATTTTGTAATCAATATTGCCACATTTTACTATTGAAAAATTATTTATACCCAAATAAATGAAAAATAATATCGTTTTATTGCAATATGAGAATTCAAAAATTTATTTAAAGTCTAATTATTTTGTCAGGTAAATTGGAAATCCCAATGACGTACGGTAAAAATGAAAAATATCAAAGTGCCTGAATTTGCAAGTGCCTGGTTTTAGGGAGACCCACTTTTTACGGAGAACGAATTGATCGCAGTTGTCTTGCTAATGTGGCCCAAAGCTGTTTCTGACATAGATCCGTTGGTACCGGTAAAGTGCCTCACCATTAAAGGCTTTCCTTTATGCTATTTTGAACAGATGCTTTTCGTGTGATGACCTTCCGGTATATCCAAAGTGACTATAACATAGTTTATAGTCACTTTGGGTATATCCTACCATTACCGCATTTCCCTACCACTTCCCGCATACTTGTTCTCTACTATTACGAAGATTCTTCAAGGTTTTCTTACTGACTGACTGAAAACGTCACTTCTTCTCAAATGAGTCCGCGGAGCGTTTGAATGAGTCCGCAACGAGCCAGAAATTCTCTGCGGGCCGCAAACGTTTTTGCGAAACTTAGCCATCAGCCAAGTTACGATTTACGTTGGAATTTACATAAAACATAAAAAGCAAGTTTATTCACATAACAATAATTACTGGATACTGAGTAGGGCTGGGCATATATTCGAATATTCAACTATTAGAATAGCAATTTACTATTTGAAAATTTGGTAACAGGTGAAGCGACAGGTCACTTGCGCGTCGCTTAATCAAACGATTGGATTTCACAACTCACTTGGATTTCCGACAAAAACACGAGTCGGCACACGCGTGGATAGATACCTAAGTGGTGTTTCTCGCGAGCTCGAACAACGAGAAATAATCTTATTTCTAGTAGGTGTCAATGGTGGCAACCTAAATTTTCTGAATTGAAAAGCGACAATACAAAATACTAAAAATAAAAGGGAGAACAGTGTAAGTTTTGTTTTATGATGGTCCGCGACCGATTAAAAAAGCTTTTTTAGACATTGCAAATCGCAAAATTTCGAGTGCTACTGTAGTATACGTAACAAGGCATTTCCCCATAGAATTTTTTGCTTTACTTGCTCCACATTGGTATACGTACTTTACTAGAGCGCCGTAAGTGTTGTACCAACAGCTCAGATTTGTCGAGTTCACAAAAATACGAATCAGAACAAAATATAATCGGGCTCTTTACCACGCATTTTTGTGTTCACGGATTATCATGATATTTTCTGAGTAGTATTGCTTTTATTTGGTCAACACAACCGCAGATTAAAATGATCACAATTAAATTAATATTAAAGCAAGGAAATGAATATATTTTCTTTTATTTACTAATATACTTTGATTACATTTTTAATGAGTACTAAATCAAATTGTACTTTCTGGAAAGTTATAGCAGATAGTAGGATTTTTCTAACGGCGAAAACAAAATTCGCAAGATCGCAAAAAATATGTATCAAAATTAAATATATCTCACATTATTATGTTCGCAGATTGCCGTGGCATTTCAAAGAAGTAATGCTTTTATCTTGTCATAAGTCGACGAAACCGCGAGTGACCAGGAACACAAACGAGAATATCGGTCAGAGACCGAACTACTTATCGATCGAGAGTTAGGAGATCCCCCAAAACAGGAACTGCGGTTTCGATTCATCCGCTCTTACTCCACAGCGACACCGTGTGTCCAGTCACTAATTAATTAATAACTCGCTAAATATACGACATAATTCATCCAAGTAATAATAGCTTCTGGTCCGAGATATGATGGATGCACATGCAAAATTTGGAAAAGATTTAACTTCGCTTTCGTGAGATATCGCGTAACATACGAAAGTGTCTAACAGACAAACACACAAACAGACAATACCTATCAACATACTTACCGATCTTAAGATCGATAAGTAATATTTTAAAATAGAAAGACATTTCAAATTCTCGTAGTTGTCATGGATTGAATATTGTACGACAGAAAAGGCCATTTGTACACTAAAAAGGTCGGCTCTTTTAACAAACGCGTAATTGCGGCGAATTTTCGATTTTGAAATTCGTTAAAATTCTGTTGTGTTTGGTTTTATTACATCTTCACACAGAGTACGGTTGCAATAAACGCACGTTGAGTCCGCAAAGGTTTTCGCAGGTGAGAAAATAGTCCGCGACCTCACCAGGAATAAGCGCTACTTAAAATTTATAATCCAGCTTCATTTTATGTCATGGGTGCAAATGTCCGTGGATGCAGATGTGCATGGGTACAAATGTACGTGAATGCAAATGTACATGGGTGCAAATGTCTGTTGGTGCAAGTCAGTGATCGTTAATTAAAAAGAATTGCCCGTTTGTTGAAGGGGAATTTTTCCGCGAATTTATGTATGCTGCATGCTTGCAAGTCATTTCTCCTGATATAAAAAGGTAATTTTCTAACATCAGTCTTTCTAACAACACAATTGTGAACATCAACAAATCAAAACTTTGCTCCAGGCTGACAGATATTCACTTGAATGCGTTATTGCGAATACAATGTACGAAATTGGAGCCACGTTTTGAACATATGATATACAATGTACACATACACTATGTTAACTAAACTGAATTATGTTGGCATTTTGTTTTTCCATATATACAATTCAGTGGCGGCGCGTCAATAGGGCCAACCGGGGCAATGCCCCGGTTGTTTTTCGGTATAAAATAAAATATTCGAAAAATACCTCAATATCGGTTCCACAGACTGTCTACACTAGCCATATTCTCCCGACATGGTTCATTTTTCGCTCGCAAAGCCTTCGCCGAACGTCGACGGGGCGACGCCGATTTTGCCCCGGTTGCTCATTGTATATCGTATTCTCTCTTTTATCTTCCACTCGCCGCGTTTGTCTCGTTTGTTTTCTGTTTCTTTTACTAAATCATCATGGCCGATCGGGGCTAGCCCCGAAATTATGACGACACAATGCCGACGTTTCTTACAACAACGTACGTGTTGACATATTCACGCATTCCTTCTCGTTCGTTGGTTGCTTGAAGAGTTGATAGTTTCCTCGCCTTCGTTTTTGTCGCTTGTTTCGCTATTTGAATCAGTTAGAGACCTTTAGTCCACTTGCTTTCGATTTTCCACATTCCTTTTGAGCTCCTCACTTCTTTCCGGCTTCGCATTTCTTAGCCTTAGACCTCATAATGAATAAGGTTGATGCACTACTTCGCACTCCGTTTTCGCAGCTGCCGCTGGAACAAAAATTAGAGGTACAACGTCTTGGGCCTTATCAACCAAAAAATTGTTCACTGGAACAATCCCATGACGGAGGAAAGCGTCGGCGTACATTATGCGCAGAAACTTGGTATAAAAAACACGAATGGTTGTGTTACAGCGAGGACAAAAATGCACTTTTTTGTTTATATTGCCTACTTTTTGCTACCGCCCGTAAATTGGTGTAAATTTGGTTTTAGAGATCTTAAACATCTTTCCAAGCGTGCCAGGGATCATCAATCTTCTATGGAGCATCTGGACAATGCAGTAAAATACCGAACATTCGGAAATGTTAATATTGTAGCACAGTTGGATGAAGGACGCGCGGTTTCTATTCGTCGGCACAACCAAAACGTCGAGAAAAACCGCCATGTTCTCGGTCGATTGATAGATGTTTTGAAGTTCATTGGTTGTCACGAGCTGTCCCTCCGTGGGCACGATGAACGGACTGGCTCTTCTAATAGAGGGGTATATTTGGATATGGTGGAATACACCGCATCCCTAGATACAGTATTGAGAGATTATCTTGATGCCGCAACTGTTTCGAAAGGGACATCTAAGGATATCCAAAATGATTTGCTCGACTCAATGTATAAAATTTATTTACAACATTTGGCTCTGGAAATTGAGAATTGCCAGTTACTTTCGATTCAGTCTGACGAGACAACTGACATCACGTGCGTTTCCCAACTGGCTGTGATTTTTCGGTTTGTGAAAGATGGTAAACCTCAGTGGCGGCGCGTCAATAGGGCCAACCGGGGCAATGCCCCGGTTGTTTTTTCGGTATAATAAAAAATATTCGAAAAATACCTCAATATCGGTTGCACAGACTGTCTACACTAGCCATATTCTCCCGACGTGGTTCATTTTTCGCTCGCAAAGCCTTCGCCGAACGTCGACGGGGCGACGCCGATTTTGCCCCGGTTGCTCATTGTAGGCCTATATCGTATTCTCTCTTTTATCTTCCACTCGCCGCGTTTGTCTCGTTTGTTTACTGTTTCTTTTACTAAATCATCGGGGCCGATCGGGGCTAGCCCCGAAATTATGACGACACAATGCCGACGTTTCTTACAACAACGTGTTGACATATTCACGCATTCCTTCTCGTTCGTTGGTTGCTTGAAGAGTTGATAGTTTCCTCGCCTTCGTTTTTGTCGCTTGTTTCGCTATTTGAATCAGTTAGAGCAATGACATTAAACAACATGATGCGCAACTCCGGCATTTTTGTCCGAAGATCGTATTCGATAGCACGCTCCAATGCACATACTTGACGAGACGAAAACGAGTGGATGTGTGCTGCTTTCAAGGCGTAGCACGAATGGTGTTCGTGCCTGCTTTGACAGTTGTTGTCGATTTTAATGATATTTTTGAAATTTGGGGTAAAAAGAAATCGGTAAAAGGTAAGGTGAATACTATTGTTGTATATCACACCCGGGCATCGCACTGTTAAGTAGATGTGGGAAAGCCAGCCTTTGTCAAATACTACGAAGTTATTAATTCAGTACGGTACGTAGTTGCCCATTTGCCGAAATTACATATTTACTTACCCCTTATGGTTTCAAATAGTTCATGCACCTCCAGTTAGATTTTTTTAATCAGTGAGGATATATACTCATTGTTGATTGCTGCTCATTGTAACATACTATTACGCATTCACTTTTATTTGCGTATTGAATCAAAGTGTTACCAAGTTCACCTAACATTTCACTCATACCGGTCTATATTGTATAGTCTGATTTCTCAGGTATTTGGAGCCACGAATGCTTGTAATTTTCTGACTAAACCCTTTTATTAGTTGGTTTATATACCAAATTCAGTAAAATATTTTTTAAATAAAACATGAGATATTGGATTTATTAGCTTATCCATTCTGAATCATATAGACTGCTTTATTTATTCTTAACGAAAATTAATAAATCTCCTCTCTTTCTTCAGATGTGAAAGTTGTGGACAAACCTGTCTAAGCATTGTGAGACTCTTGCAGCACAAGAGGCAATAGCAGAAATAGTAAGTATATCAATCAAGAAATTAAGCCGACATAAAGCAAAACTTTCAACTATTCGTCTAATCTCAATTTCCTATTATTTATTCACAGGACAACTATAGCAGACGAGGAGATATCAGAAGTCTGGCGACATATCAGTGACAGTGTGATTCCAAGAAATATAATGCAATTGAAAATAGAAAATTGCAATAGAAAAACAACCTATGGCGGCATGCAAAGACATTTGACCCT